CTTGCTGAATGCTTTGTACTTGCTGAGACACAGCACTGAGAATACGCTCCTCAAGTCGATTGAACTCGTCAAAACATCCCCATGCACCAACTTGACAAAGCCCGACGAAGATGCGACCCATGGCTTGAAAATCAAAAGTCTCGTCGCAACAGAAGACCAAAACGAAACGCCCCAGTTGAACACCAAGAGCTTTGACAGACTCCGTTTTGCCTGAATTTACGTTAGTTTGACATCGGAAGATAAAGACGACATTCTTACCTGTACCAGCAGGTCCGAAAGGTGAGCCTCCCAACTGGTTGTCGAGCGCTTGAGTCAATGTTAAGTACACTCGGTCTGTCAATGGTGTCTGGACAAGACGATCTGGGACACCGAGATACTCCCATCCGTAAGGGAACGATGCATCAGCGACGCAGATGGCAAGCCTGTCTAGTGGGTTGTCCACAGAGCGATCCAGATAGAAACGCATTTGTGCTAGCCACGTAAATGCCTTGGTGTCTGTGACACGCTGCTGGATGAGGGTACGCGTAACATCTCTTTGGTGGACCAGTTCGGTAATGAGGTGCTCGCACTTGCGGCGGGTGACGGGACTCAGTTCCTGTAACACAATGTCCGCAAGAAGGTCGAGTGCCTGACTGACTGTTTCAAGTGGTACTTCTGGGAGATTCCCAGACTCAAGAGTGGCATCAACTGCAGTAGTCCATGCAACTTGAACAGCTAGAGTGACCAATTGTGCAGGATATTTCTCCATCCATGTCATGAGCTGGTCCATTTCCAAGGGAGAACCAGTGCCATAGAAGGACTGTAGCTCGGTGACAGCATCGCATAAAAGATCCGCAAGGGACAATCGCATCGTGGATTCGAGCTTGGCGAGCCAGTCGTTGATCTTGGGGAAGTCCTTGAGTAAAATAGGCTCAGTGAATTTAACCTCCTCCCCCTCGCGTGAGGCCATGCCCTGGATCTGAGTGAGGTCCTCATCAAGCTTGATGGTTGAAATACCAGCAAACATCTTTTTGAGGTGCTTCATAATGCGCACGATATCCTTGCTGTTGCCGATGATCTCCAGCAGGTCTTCATCACCAACAAAGTAGAACCGAGGGAACGAAGACCGCTCGCGTTCGAGGTATTCACCCAGCGCCTTTTGGATCTTGTTCAAGAGGTCTGCCAAACGTTCCAAGCTCTTCTGGATGCCCTGAATGTTCATGACATCTATGACAAATGGCGACTTGTACACTTTTTTCATCACGGTAAGGAACTCTGCATTAATGTTTTGGAAGCGGGAGCTTTCCACCGGAAGGAGGTGCTTGATGTCCGCACTGCCTGAGAAGATGCCCTCTAGATATACCCATTGACGCTGTACGTCAACCCAGATATCTAGACCAACATTCAGTGGATTTCACAGAGGAGAATAACCAACAATCATACCAAAGAGTACATGAATCCTGTTGAGTTTATCTTCCCATGACCCTGCTTCTTCTTCGAAGACTGGAAAGCAAGTTAAAACGGCGTCGATGTAAAATCATGTCGCATACCCTTGTAATAAGGCGACAATTTCATTGCAGTCAAGGAGTTCAAGTTCTCACTGCACTTGTTAAAGAGGTCATCCCATCCTCTGGAAGTAGTATGGTGAGCATTCTACATGGCCTTGCTGAAGATAGCTTACTTGATCAGACGACACTTGTTCTGATAGTTGATAAGATCGAGCGTGTAGTTCGTCCATATCTCCTTCACTTGCTTGATATACTCTTCGAGGGCCATCTTCAAGAGAGCGTTAAGCATATTGAAAGAAAGATCACGATGCCACCTGCCTCCCCCTGCGCTTGGATGATAACCTCGCGTATGGGAGTATCATTCTTCTTCAGGTCCAAATCGTAAACATGGCCAAGAGTCATACTGTACTACAATCAGCACGTATAACCGATGAGTAATGGTATAGAACCAGCTCACAGGGTTAAACTGATCTGGGATGGCAGTCTCAAAACCTTGAAGAGCTGCTTCCAGTGTCTATCCTTTAGCGCCTCCGACTTCAAGTCCGAAATGAGTGAGTTCGACTTCAAAAGTCCACGCAGTACATCCTGGACGTATTCGAACGCTGCATATTGCCTCATACGTGTGGGCATGTCCCTTGTCGACGTCAAGAGGCCATCGAGCTGCTGCCTCAACTTCCTCGGTTGGACTACAGACCACGACATCTCCCTCAGGTCGCTGATCTGGCTCCATATACCAGAAAGCGCCGTCCACACTGCTTTGAGGTCACGTAGCTCCTCGAAGACTGGTTCAAGGCGCGTATGACGCGTTAGCTCGAGGTCTAGAGCCTCCTTCGCCCTGCAAACGAGGTCGTACTCTTCCTGCACGCGAGTGAGCTTCCCCTCGAACACGTTAATAGTGTTCATAGCCGTATCTGCACGAAGGCTGCCTTGTACGGGACGTGTCTGTTCCCATTCCGACAGGATATCGTTGATCTTGTTCTCTACGATCTTGTCTTCTGCAACTATTTTGAGTTGAAGGCCCGCTACACGAACAGATCATGAGTCACAGGTGATAACGCAAGTTCAAGAGAATAACCCCGTACCCAACTGCTCTTGAATGGAATCATTCTTTCTCTTGAGAATCTCGTTATATGCGCTCCACTCTCCTCTAAGTTGATCGCTGTATAGCCAGTCATCTGGGAATTGGTACCGAAAACGCTCTAGTGTCTTCTCGCCGTTGGCACATAGGTCTATCATAGGACCCCATGTCTTGGTCTTGCGCTTGAGGTCCTGTACGAATGTAATGAAGGTCACCGCTGCCGCGGTTGATGAGTTGGAGGGACTGAATGCCTAGAGAACTGTCAGGGCTACGATAACCTCAACGCTTAGCTTCTTGTGCTCACCTCCATGATTACTTCTGAAAGAAGCTTTGACGCGTCTGCGAAACTTCAATGTCAAAACACTCGTGGGAAAATATACCGTAAGCAGACCCCTGCAATTGTTTTGCCAACGACACGGCAAGCAAGCTAGCAATACGCCTCATCACATCATCGCTCGTGAAAATATCCGCTTATCATGTCTGGACGCCAACAAAGAGTGTTGGTGCAACCCATTGTATGTTCCATCATCCAAAGTCATTTTCTATTCACCGATGATCTTTATTTGCACAGAATGTGATCTTCAAAAACCTGCAGCAGGTCTGTTCCAGTATGAATGTTCTCCCTTGACACTGACATATGCGTATAGCGAACAAAAGTCGTCATATGGTTGTATGACAACATCGAGATGCGGATCGAAGGGCGTATCATTGTACGTGCACTTTCTCAGTTTCGAACATTTTTGGGCGTTGAAGCGCGTCTTTGGCAAGGCCATGGCACTCTGTGTTTGCGTGATGCGCGGCGATCTTTCTTATTTTTCTCCTTTTGCTTGAATTATCTTGAGGTCCGTTGAACTGACGCAATGCATCTGTTCTTCAGGGATTTGACGAATTCATGAATGTCGTGGTCGACGAGGCTGCAGAAGTGTACGTCAAAGACGCCAAACCACGACGAGAGCTTGGTGAGATCCCTTATCTGATGGATTCCATGCATGGATCGCTGATATAGCTCCAGGTCGTATACTACTAAAAGGCGATAACATTACCCTCATCCAACAGGTGGTATGATATATTGGCTCTGTTCATGTAAAACCTTGTCTTTCTGCACACACCGGTATATGATGTGCTCTTACAATGTATCATAATAATTTTGTGCTGCTACTGACGTACCTCAGCAAACGTTCGTGCTACGCATGAGGACAACCTGATAATACAACAGAACAAAACAAAATACGACATCAAACTATAGATTGTAAATCGGCAATAACCTCGTAAAACTAAGTGCTTGTCTACACAAAGGACACTCTGCCTTCTCCCGTCCCCATCCTACGATGCACCCCCAACAAAACAAGTGCCCACACTCGGTTGCACAGCTATCAGTTCGTTCTTCTAGACAGAGTGTGCACGTCCTCCCTGCCCGCTGACGCGAAGGTATCGATGCGATATCTAAGATTGTGTTCTCGTCCTCTTCCGCTGGTTTCACATCAGACTCGGAGGCAGAGACGCTGAGTAAGGTTGAAACAGGCCGATCGTCAATGAACATCTCATTTGTCGAGTCCAGCGAACGCTTCCCTGAGGACTTCTCCGAAGCAGCTTGAGATCTACTGCGCAAAAATGTAACAAGTCGGTGGAGAAGGCGTATCGCAATGAGTATTCCAAGCAATGAATATGACGGCGGGCGAGCATGAGGGTTCTCTGGGATGGAAGACACCTGTCACCAAATATCTAGATCGGTTTCTTGTGCATCGAAAGGAAGAGACACGACCTACATGTCGAATCCTTAACACCCTCTTCACTAGATCATAGTACGTGCCCCGCAGATAAAACAACGCTAGGTTGATTTCCGTCCCTACTTCCAAACACACCTGTAGCGCCTTGAGCAACTCGCCCATTCTCGGGCTCAGGGCACCAATGTGGGAACCCCAACGCGCCAGAGCATACGAAGGAAGCGTAGGGAGGAGGATAAGCGCAGCTCGGAGAGAACGCGATGGTGTTCTTCCATCAAAGGAGTATTCCCAGATATCTGTGTATTCCTCTCCGAGAGTCTGGACAGCTAACATGTGGTTAGCAAAGGGTTAACCCTCGCAGAAGACATAGTACCTCGACCAACGGATAGTCCGTAGTACATGAGTTTCACACCTAGCTCGACCTCCTTGTCCCATCGCGTGAGCCACCGTGTACCTTTCCATTCCCCATCAGCACCAGCGGTAAGGAAAGGATATGAGAACGCACCAAGCCACGATCGAAGTACTGACTCTGCTTGTTCCCTCAACGATGCAACATGGAATAAATCTCTCTGGTTCGCCCTTACTGCATAATTATCAGCATTCCTTGATGCAAGAAAAATGAGACAACGCACTAATTTGAGCCTGCTGAGCGTCGGGAAACGTAGGCAGGCGTGATGAAGATGCAGACATGTTTTCGGTAACCTCGGCCTCAATTGCGGCCGCTCTTTTCTGCTACACACGAGTACTTGGTACTTACTCACTTGGTACTCATTACATATTTCACTTTCACTCATCACCGCGAGTTTACTACAATGCCGCCCATGCCCGCAGCAAACAGAGCACAAGAACCTTCCACATGGCAAAAACGTACGTCCAACCATACATGTCACATCCAAGAATAATTTCTTATGACCGATTGACAGTGAAGTAGGTCCTAGCTATAGCTACCCCATAGCATAACCCTTTTCAAATATACCCTTTATTTCAGAATGGGCGCGATGATGGGCGGAGGCGTCGGTCTGACGATCGGTTTCATTTTTGGATCATACAGCATCCTTCGGTAAGAAGCCAACCCATCTTCGTTTTCACTCACCAAACATATTGCACAGAAATGGTTCCGGTCCTCGAGGGTTGCTAGCTACGCTTTCGCAGTACATGCTTAGCAGCGCCGCGACTTTCTCTTTCTTCCTTGCTATCGGTTCCGTAAGTATTTTTTCTCTCCGTGGAGTATGAGCTGTCCTCGAAGTGGGCCTCTGACATCATCATGTACGCAGGTCATCCGTAATGACGCGCTCCTACCACCACACATCGAAGCCGCCCGTCTCCAACTCCTTCCTCCACTCGTGCGCTCTAAGGCTGAAGGCGCTATGCTAGTGCGTGCACGCTGGGACGCAGAAAGGGCGCGAAGAACAACTGCGTAGTGCATGTATTAAGACCTATATGCGTTGATACATGGTTCAGATAAGAATATGAATGATCTAGCTAAGAGCATTGCGTGTGTCGGGTGGGCAGTGAGTGGGGGTATAACAAAACATGACATGCAAGCGCGCTCTGCGGCTCTTGTCCAGTATACGTATGGGTGGACATGGCTAATACCTTAAGCATCAAATTCATATCTTTTCTAATCATCCTCTTTAGAACCACAAGTCCGAGGCAGAAGTCCACTCCCGTATGAGGTGAGAAGTGATGGTGTCATGTAAGGCAAGAACCTGGAGGTACGCAGTCTGCAATCACCGCCATAACTCGATGGAAATTGACTTACGCGGTGTAGGCGGAGTTAGACGCTATCGAACCACGCTCGTTACACGTACCCAGAACCGCTTCAGTCTCCCGCATTGAGTTGGTTTGGAACGTTGGCTATACACATCAACCAGTGATGCGGTATGGGCTAGGCTATATGGGCCAGATATAGTTGGTCTTGGAGGTGGAGTGGGTTTCCACCACCGTGCGAACCATCGACTTGGTTTGCTTTTGCTCTGACCTGACGGAGTTGCCAAGGGGGAATGAGGAGGTGAAGGAATTGGTGAATAGGCATGATGGCTATGATACACCGTTGGTGCTTCAACAAACTTCACCGACGGAGCAGACCGCTTTTTCCTGCGAGATGTCTTTGTTGTCGTCGCAAGGGAGATTCCTGAGTCATGTCGAGTGAGGATAGATTTTACAGGAGCGGGAGCTGATTTTGTGTACACTGTCGAAGAAGAGGCGATGGATGAAACGCTCTGGCGTGCACGATGCATTGGAGGCCGGATGTACTCCGAGCGGTATCGCGAATAAGAGGGCATTCCTGGGTTTGCAGGCATGGAGGACTCGAATAGTATGCTTCTGCGTCTGCCTGAGGATTCATCGCACTCTAAAGGTGGGGTCTATATAAGAAGGGTGGGTTATGGGTTACAGTATCTTTCATGGAGATAAGACGCACCAGAACTCTTCGAAGGCTGTGGGGCATTGAAGAGTAATTACCCTCGAATTCCTCTTCTTCTTCAGGTATTATGTCCTGACTTTGTGTTAGGGATGCCACGTGTCGCGTTGATTTGACGACTCACCGCTAGATCACTCAAAGTGTTAACTGGAGAAAGATCAGTGATAGACTGCATGAACGGTCCATGAGAGACTGGTAGCACTACAGCAAGATGGATGAGCTCACGTTGACTATAGTATCGGTATCTAGCCAATCTCTCAGAATCTCGTCGTCGGGTGCGGAAAAGTAGGTGGGCTGCTCGAACTTTTCTGAATGCTTTCAGAGTTGCTATATGGTCAGTCTAAAATGACATAAGAGATCCGCAAGGGCGCTTACGCTGAACCTGTGAGTTTGAGTGACGGACATGGTAGTTGCAGAGAGTGAGAGAGCCAGCGTGCATTCTGAAAGGGCGATTCGAATATGTTCCGAGTGCACGTTGCAGGGCCGGGGCTATGAGAGTTAGGAAATGGATCAAGAACGCATGAAGATAACGCTCGGAATACCGGATGTGAGTCATCTTGCAAGGTGGCAAAGGCGTGTTCGGGTAATGATTACGGGTACCTAAGGCACATTCCAGCATGCATGCAATATAGATCATGATTAAGCCCATCGTGTGCAGCACACGAATATTGCTTCCACATAAAGGCCATCATGGGAAGCAAGTCATGCAAAATGACAGCGGGGATCTCTGTCGCTTACAGTCATTCTCCATGTACATGCCATCTTACATGTCATTCCAACGTAGGTTATTACCTTGGAGATGACAGGCGATTATGTGTATTGATCCACCCACCGATGTCGTTGATGCCCGTACAATAACGAATGTACCCGATGATACTCCAACATGCACAACTAGTGCTCCTGTCAATCCGAGGCAGAGGCAATAAGAACGTGCACAAAGACGTTAAGCGCCATCTCCCCTTCGTAGTCGATTGAACTTTGGTAGCATCTCACGAAGATACTCTGCATGTTTCAATCTCAAATCAGCCTCTTGAATCCGCCCCCTTCCACTCCAAATCCTTCTTTCTGCAGCGGGTCCGAATATGGACGTGTAGTCGTCGAGGGTCTCGTCGTCTGTAGGAACTACGAGGCATGCAGCACCAATGACGCAGTAATTTGATATTCGAACAGTATGGTGGACGCGTGCACGCGTAGATATAGTGTTGAAGTTACCAACGGATGGACATTCGACGCCTGTGGAAGAAGTTCGTGACTGAAGGTATGGATGGGGGAAAGGACATACGACAGCCAATCTCGAACAAATTGTTGTCACCAACTCTCATCACTTCTTTGCGGCGATTGACTATTATAGCGGCCTCTTCTATGATACAACCTGAACCAATTACGATGGGACCAGCTATTGCGAAGATGGTGGCTTTGGGGTGTACGACTGTGCCTGGCCCGATGGTGATGTCTCCCTTTAACTCCACATCTTGGCAGACCACCGCTCTTGAATGGATTGTGAACTTATCGCGGCTGCAAACCACAGCGTCACCACTGGACGCAGGTAATTATGAATACAGCTAACTTACATAGGTGGCATGAGTTCAAGAGCAGCAACCCTAACCCTATCAGAACGTGTCTAACATGGTTATTACTTTTAGATCTACTATGGGACCCTACGACTGTATTTTTCATCGTCTGCGTGTCTCATCTGTTCGTTATCTGGTCCGCTTGCCATTGGCAAAATTGAACTGTCAAAAAATAAAACCAAAGATACATCTATAGTGTCCTCCCTTTATCTGTTCTGGTTGCCTCACACGTTCCGTCCTCGGTGGCTGGTAGTTGACGATGTGTTCTGTGAGTTTCTCCGAGGCCGCTGTCAAAATATACGCGGGTCTGAGCTGGGGGTTCCGGCTTGCCCTAAACGCTGCCTGTCGCTTGTGCAAGTCGGTTCAATAATTTTAGCCCGTCATGCAAGAAGTGCCACTCCACCGACGACGGAATCTCCTTTGTACCGTTTTGATGAGCCACTCGCTCAGATATAAAGCGTGTGCTCACTTTCCGTACCATTAGTGAATCAATTCCACTTACTCATCTCTCGTGATCCATCATTCTACATCGAACTTATTGCTTACACCCCTGTGCTTGTCAACGTTCACTCATTGATGCAGCATATCGTGGAGTTTGGTGTCCCTCTCCTTGCGATCAACGAAGCGGAGATTGATGCCAAATTGATGCAGTTGCGGAACCATGCGGCAGCCCATGCCACATAGCGGGGAATGGTGAAATGAACCAAAATCCGCGGACTCACCAAAAAGATGTCTCATCCGGCCGAGCATCAGAACTTCAGTCTAGCTGAAACCAGGCAATTGACGAAATCCGGTTTTATCGCAAGAGCTGCAGAATTCCATTAGACGCGGAGTGAGAAAAGGTACGATATGGATATGATAACTAACTATAACCCCGTCTATATTTTGAACGGCGTGTCAACATGCAACCCACTCCAAATGCCTCTTGCAGCCTCTGTCGTACTCTCCACAATACGGCCTCTTTTCAGCTGCTTTATCTTCGCGCCCGAGGAGTCGAGGAGTAATTGAACTTTTTTCTCCACACCATTAACTTCGAACTCCTGCAGTGGAATGACCTTGTCACGACCGTTGACTACGATCAGGTCAGATGAGTGTTCGGTATCACAAAAAGAAGCCACACAACCATAAAATCCCCTTGCTATTGGTTCATGACCGTTACGCTGCTTGACCACGAATTCAACGTGTGGATTCTGCCATGCAACACGCTGCAGGTCATTTGAGATGAAAGTACGGGTATTGGTGGATGAAGGAAGATTCTGGCAAAATTCTAATACTATTTTCCTGGCCTGTGGGAGGTATGCAGAGTGCCCATTTGCAGGATACGAGCGTAGCTGAGCTCTAAGGATTTGTTTTGTGGCCATGGACTGGAGAAGGAGGGGTATCGGAGTATGAACTTGTTTGCGGGTGAGACTGATCGGAGTATGAAAAGAACGAGGAGAGAAGACTTGGTTTACATCGACTAAGTTGTCTGCGTGAGGATTAATATTCTAATTCGACCATCGACGCGTTGAGCCCTGAACGCGTTCATCCCCTAATCTTTCCTCGCCACATTCAAAATCTATAAGAACTACGAAATCGGACAATTCTATCATGGCTAGAGCCACTCGTTCAGCGACACAGCAGAATGAAAAAGATAAACAGCCAGACCCAGGAGTTTCACAGCGCGCAAAGCAATCCACAAAGAAACGCAAGCGCGTTTCACTCCCAGATGATGACCAGCCTGCACAAAAGCAGCACCGTGCAGAGAATGGCATAAAGGAGGAATCAACAGACGACAAGTTGTCCAAGGGAAAGATGCCCGAGCTCGACCATGTAGCCGATGTCCCTCTAGACACTCCAATCGCGCAAAAGGTCCTCGAAATCCTTGAAATGTGAGTCGAATACTGTTATTAATTCATCTTCATATTCTAATCACCCCTACAGGGTCGACTCTCAAGGTCTTCTCGACCGTGTCTTTCCTCTGCCTGCCATAAATCCATCCCAACCCTCCACTTCAAAATCGCAAACGGGAACGTGTTCTCTACGTACCCTCCTTAGCGATTCATCACAGCACCCGCTCAGGGTGCTGCATGTAAGTTTCCTGCATTCTCTGACATTGGATTGACTCATGAATGGCTTCTAGTCCGCAGTCCAGAATCTATTTCCAGAGGTGCATCACGCGAGGTCTCGTCCATCCTCTGCTGCTGCACTGCAACTGCGCTTTTGTAATCTTGCTATCTCCCTCCTCAACCAAGCATCCTTCCACTCCGTTCCGCTGCCGCTTGACATCGAATCCATAATTCCAGTCAATCCAGAGCCGTGTGTTGCAGATGCACCACCTCTCAACCTGAGCCTTCCTGATAAAATATCTCATACCGGACAGGGTAAGAAATATGCCCTTATGCAACGCCTCCCATCCGGCACCTGGTGGTCATCCCTTGGCTCAGACCTCTTAACCGACTCAAAAGAGTTCAAAGACCTCCAAACTGCCAACGCAGAACTTGTTGCCATCCTCCCATCACCTTCGTCTCTTGCACACTCTGATGCCACCTCCAAGTCGACCATCACTCTCACAGACACGCAGGCTCCAATGACGCTAGGTGCCTATGTACCGAAGAAGCCTCCAGGACATCGGTCGAAGCTTCTCGGCCCTCGGCACGTGAGCTGCGGGTCATTTTTGGACTATGGTCCCTATGCAAGCTTCGCTCCGACCTTTGATCAGGAAGGAGTGGAGATTGGAAGAGAGGCGCTTGGGGAGGTCTTGTGGAGATGGGAGGATAGGAAGAAGCGTTGGGCTACTGAGAAAGCGCGTGCTGCCGAGGAGGCTGCACAGTGTTCGCCTATGGCGGGGTTGGAGGAAGACAAGGAAGAGCAGAATAACGTCATCGACCCGTCACTTGAGGAGAGTCTTAATGATGACGAAGAGGCTTTGGAGGGCTTGCTTTCGAAAGAGCAGATTGCCTCACTGAAATCTGTCCTCAAGAGCTTAGAGTTAGAGAATGCCATTCAGGAGCTGTTAGATCGGAATACGAAAGCTCTTAGGCGGTTGGAAGAGCTTCAGAGACAACGGCTGATGAAAGATGGGGGATTTCATCCAGTCGAAGAAGGATCAGAAGAGTGGGATACTGGTAAGGGCATCCTGGAGAAATTCTGCTGCCAGACTTAGGTTTTCTTACAGCTCAAAGCATTCTCGAGTCACTCACCTTGCTGGCATCGCTACGACCTCGACAGTCGGGAAGTGCTGATGTACCACTCATTCCCTCCACAGCCACACTTCACAAACTACATCGCACGCTCCCTGTTGCACCCTCACAAGGCTGGCATGGTACCCTACCTACAGGTCGTACAACAGCTCTTCGCGACAACTCAACACTGTACATCAAGTCCACCGCCACCGCAGTGCCCTCTCTACCATCAGCCACGCCTACGCCTGTCCCTGCGACACCCGCTACTGCTACACCAGCTGCCACAACAGCTGCAGTTGCACAGAACTACCAGTACTCGTACAACTATGCAGCGGCAGGCTACCGCGGGAGTTATCAGTACAAGCCAGGGCAGACACCCTCCTACTACCCCGCTTCGTATGGCACACAAGGACAGACCCAAGCTGCCACGCAATATTATGCTAATCAGCAATACGCAACATCAGGGCAACAGCAATATGCCTACTCTTCCTGGTATCAGTATCAACCTCCAACCCAAGCTGCTGCCGCCAGCACTAGTACAACAACTGCTCCGGGAACACCTCAGGCGGGTGCAGTTGCAGCAGCAACTGCACCTGCAACCCCATCTGCAACGATTCCAACGAGTTATGCAGGGTTTTTCAGTAATACTGCACAGGCTGGACAGCGCGCAGTAGCGAATACTGTCACCGCAAAACCACTCCAGGCTGCTGCAGGCACAATTTGGGGCACAGGAACAGCCGGCGCGAGTGGTTACGTTCCTCCGACGCTCCCTCCACATATGCGAACCGCTGCTGCAGGCGGTACCGCACAGCAAGGGGGGTATACTTACCAGCCTAATTATTATGGGGCGTATCAGCCTCAACCCCAGGTTTCGACTGCTGCGTCTCCTGCCCAATGATAGCAGTGATGGGTGTTTTGATCTTTTGTTTTATGTCGTAGTTTCAAAATTATATTTCTTTCCGTTTGCTGTGTGCCCCGCTTGGTGTGATTTAAACTGGGTGGGGGATACAATATGAGCTATGCCATGGTAGTAGATTGTTGTGATAATTAATAATGATTAATTGGAGCTTGGAGGTTTGCAACAAGTGACTGGAAACTTGACCAGAACATCATAACATGCTCACTTCAAGCTCAAGCTTCAAGACTCTGTTCAGTTGGAAAACAGCCCCAAGGTGTGGTGCTCGTATGTACCTGCAGGCAGGCTGGCACTGCACAAAATTTTGACTTTTGAATTTTGAATTTTGAATTTTTATATTTGGCCACGACGACACGTGACCTCGCTGACGTGATGAGGAACTTGGTTCGCGCATCTGCAGCTCCCATTCCGTTGCCGAGTAAGTACTCAGTACTGAGTACTGAGTCTTCACACTGCAGGACACATCATGTACTATCCCATGTCCGAGATGTGATTATCATGATCTGATATCATACAGTATAGCACGTTCAAAATTCGCTGAGCAAGAGCCTTCAATACCGCGGCTACTAGTTCTTACTAAGCGATGCTAGTACTACAGTCGATTGGAAGTGAACACTGTGCTACAATCACTTTTGCTTGGCTGTGTGTTTTAATCCTGATGCGGCCTGCTACATTGATCAACTCCTGACACATACAACAAGGTCCTGATACAACACCGGTTATTTGTGTGGTTATATTCAGGATGCAAGCTACTTACGCATTTTGGTGTTTTACAGGTGGTGCAGTCACTATCATGTTTGCAACCGAAAGGACAGCCCTCAGCTTCAGCGTCACTGGCATATACTGATGCTGTTAAAGCAGCGACAAGAGCGAGGACAAGGGATAAACACATCATATGAGATGTGATACGGTATCAAATAAATCTGAAGAACTTCGACTTGGATATGCAGTAGGACTTGAAGATATTTTGCTTTTATATGCTGAATATTGTTCTTTATGACGGTAGTAGGAAGAACCGCTCTGCGATGCCAGCAGGCCTGAATTCTAAAGGGGATGTTAGACTCGGTGGCTTGCGGTCGGTTGACACCTTACCGTTGCCCTTGCATGAGTTGCCTATATGGACCTTGACTTTTACCTACTTGTGACTGCAGTGCCGTTGGCTTGGACCTTTGCAGGGGACCTACCTGTCATATCCCACATTCTGGACCAACATCTGACGACGTTCCCACGCCTCATCCGGACCTCCGGACCTCCTGTCCATGTCTCCAGACCCAATCCTCTATCCGTCCGGATCCCTGTACTCCTGCATCTGATATCTGGACGCCAGATCTGATATCCACATCTCCGGATCTCCGGATCCGACCTAGCTGTCATGTCCGAACTCAAACCTTAAATCAGCGCCCATCCCCTTATGGTAATCACCTGTCTCCGGACTTCCGAACATCCGGATCTGACCCACCTCTATCTTCCGGATCCGACCCGTGTCTATCTTCCGTGCCTTATCCCTTTGTATGTTCCTTCTTGAGTTAGACTTCCTCATTTTCTGTACCTCGTTTCATTTCCAGCTTTATTTTCCTATGTCTTCATCTCCGTCTTCATTTACTATTTTCCGATAGACTAGTGTTTGACTTTTCTACATCCTCCGTCCACAGCCTCGCATAGCTTCGGACTGCACTGACTGACTCTCCATTAAATCCTCTGTAGTATATAAACTCTGTAGAATCTTTGTACTTCCTCAGTCTGAATATCATACACATATTAGTCCTCGCACTAGTCTTCACACTAAGTCCTCGTAACAGTTCTAGTCCTCCGACTTAGTCATTATCCATCTCAGGCCTAGGGAGGAATTCCCTAGGCCGGAGCTCCGCTCCTCCGCTCCTCCGCTCCTCCGCTCCTCTGATCCACCATTCCTCCAAGTTTCCGGAAGTTCCTCCGGAACTTTCCCGCGGTCCTCCGGACCTATTCTGCTTCGGACTTTGTCCTTGCAGCCTTTCCTCTGTTTGCTTCTACTCAGGACAAGTCCTGAGTAGCCATTACACATATCCCCGTCAGGACGAAACTCCATCGTAATTTCCGGAAGTTCCTCCGGAACTTTCCCGCACTCATCCGGAAGTTTCTCGCACTCGTCCGGAAAGTCCTTCCGAAGTTTTCCACGCTCCTCCGGAAGTCCTTCAGACTTCACTGGACTTTCTCCGGACTTCATTCTGAAGTTAAGGGCACATACTTGGGTAAGGGGCGCAGCGCACGAGCTGAAGCCAAGCCCCTTGGAATCAGTCCTACCCTTTGTGCATGGTCTTAACACTACCATTGAACCTTGCGAACTCGTCGCAGCCTAGAGCAAGTATTATTAAATATCAAATATCCATTTGGCCCACCACTGGCACAGCAGTCATCAGGAAAAAACAAGGTGACTATATAGTACTATATAGCCAGGGTAGACCGTATAGCCAAATAGCTATCCCCCCTCTATATAGCATGTGAGGCAACTATGTAGTACTACGTAGTACTATATAGTGCTATGTAGAACCAGGTAGCGCTACTATGTACTACCATAGTTCCCTTAAGTTCTACTACAGGCAGCTACATAGCACTACATAGTTCATGTAGTGCTACTACTGCCGGCTTCAAGCAGCTATATAGTCACACATATCACATATTAGTAGTAGTAGTAGTAGTAGCACGCGGAATCGCGAAAACAATTGAATTTGAATGCCTAATAATGAACCAGTCAACCTATTTTACGACTCGCTAGCCTCCGCATCATCCTGCTCCTCAAGTCGGTACTCTCGGATGGCATCTTCGAATGCCGCGTCACTGATCCGGGATGCAGACGACGAGATAGTGAGGGTGTCAACACCTGCATGGAAACTTCAAAGCACAAAAGTAAGAATATCATTTTGAAAAAGAACACTGTTCAACGTACCAAGCCACGTCGTGCAGATTGACACGAATTTTGTCGAGGAGTTTGTAAGGCGCCATCCGCTCGTCGAAGCGCTGCAACGAGCAGAAATGTCCATGGTAGACAGTTCCATAAGTAGCTGACGTGAATTTTATATCTTCCTTCAGACCTTGTAACCATTCGTCGATACAACATTCGATCTACCAGTGATTCATCAGCGCCATCAAATTGAATATAGAATAAGAGACTCACAGTTGTAAGCACAAGAGCGATAACTTCGACGGGCATAGGATCAAAATATTTATGGTGGATGACGCCTTTGTCGTGTCGATTCGCGAACCACATGATGTTGATGCCCAGTTGCAGTAACTCCGTCTTGTAGATTCCCTTCTTCGACTCCCAATCCTATTAGTCCAAAGAGTTAGTACTTGAAATACCATGTAGATCATCAAAATATGTACCTTGAAAGCAAATACAGAACCGTCTTTCAAAGACTCTGCTAGATCCCTATTCTGTTGTATCACATTGTTGGAATTGCTCGACCGAAAACCGAAAAAAGATGCTGTCAGTGAACGCATTTTCGTTTTGAGTTCCCCGCGAACTTGTGATGTGCGGGTCAATAGCTTCGCAAAGTATGATATAGTAAATCAGTTGAAGAACACATGGAGATCAGACGACTCACCATTTTGACACCTGAAGGCGTCAATTTGACATTGATGCCTTTGATTTGACATGCCTCATGCCAGGCTGCTTTTGCCAACTGCGTCTCGACAGCAATGTTCTCGGGAAATGGCGCCTGGGAGACTATCAGACACCGGAAAATAGAGGCTGCTGTCCCCAAAATCTCTTTGGACACATCATCGAAGTCGCTGACTTTCATGCGATGGCGTGAACCATCTGAATTTTTCTTGATCTTCGGCAGTGCCATGCCATCGTCCAAAGTCTCTGAGTCGTCAAGTGGACGCTTGGACCCTCGAGCTATCGGCGACAGTTCTTCGGCGATGTAGTTGTTGTCCTCGTCGTCAATGCGGTCTTCAGGTTGGCGAGACTCACGGTCTGTTGACTCATCCGACTCAGAGTCATCGGATGGACTCGAAGTCGGAGCTGCTCGATAGTAGCAGAGGCGGATTGGTCTTAGTATACAATCAAAAGACTAGACACATACCTGTAGTAGTAGCCTTGCGCATGGCACTGGTGTTGCGCGACACTGGGGGTATTTTACCAGCACTGAATGTCAGTACCTTTGATTTGGACCGGGACAGCTTGGACACCATGTCGCAATCTGAGAACTAAATAAAAAATTTAATCAGTGATTATGCTGAGTTGCATCAAAGAAAACGGGTGAACGTACCATATTTTCTTCTTCCCTATCAATGTCACTACGCAGCTCAGACAGCTCTTCCTCGAAGCCGTTGGGATCAGCATTGTAAGCAGCCCTCAGTGCTTTTTTCTTCTGTTTTTCTATCTTCTTTTCCTTGGTTTCTTGGCGATAGGTGACGTGCTGAGACTCAGAGACTGTAGAGTCGCTAGTGAGTGAGACGTTCTCGCTCAATATTGTCAGGGCTTACCACGGTAGTTTTCTTTTTCAGTCAGGCGTCGCTGTCGACCACTTGCGGTGCGTGTAGGTGGTGGTACTCGTTGCGCTGGTTGCGCGTCCTTCGATTTTGCGTGCTTCGAGGCGACCTTGCGACTGGTAGCCATGGTTGTCTGCAAGGGAACATTAGCTCACGGTAAGCTGATTTTATAGCACTATGAAAGACATAAACAAAGACATCTAAACCTTGAATTTTTTGTTGATTTCAGGGCGTGTAAAGTTCAGAGCTAAAGCTGTGATCAACAGACGGAAAATGATAAAAGCAGCGAGCGTACCGTTACTGCAGTGCAACATTTCCCTACCATGGTTATCTCAGTCTACTAGCGGTATGTAGTCTGCATCAAATACTCACCGGTGTGCTCTGACAAATTGTATAGTCCAGTGTCCCCAGCCATAGGCGACAAAACCGCTACCAGTAAAAATGGAAATATTATTGTCAAAAGGTTAGTTGCATGTCTTCATCACAGCCCCAATGCTCACCGGCTTGCAGGCCAAAGCTCGATGAGCCTATGTATCCACTTCCTCCGCCGTTTTGCCAAACACCCAGCCCTGTCATGGTTAGTCAGTCCTACTTGCAAAAACTAATTATGGAGCGTTGGGAGGCGGAATTGAAGAATTGCGAGCATGCAAAAAAGTTGCAGCTCTTGGAAATGGTGCCGGGTCCAGCTCTTACCTTACTGCAAGCAAACTTGCGAAGACTCATTGTAGAGCGCTGGGAGGCAGAAGTGAGGCGCTGTGAGGAGGCCAAATGGGCACAACTGTTCGAGTTAGTGCTTGCCGCCCATGGTATATTGAGACTAGTGTAGTGTGGCGCAGTAACCAGGGCAGGGCCTGCATTTTAAAATCACTTATTAGTAATCAGTAGAGAAAGCAACCTCGGAAACACTCACCATAGAGCAATCTTCGCTGTTCTCGAGTCGTACGACCTCGATGTCATCCGTTGGATCCACCGTGACAGGCCTGAAGTGCGCAAATGAAAGTCGTCTCCAAGGGTAGTGTAGTGTGCTGGCAGGGCCTGCCTTTAAAAAAAACCATCAAAAAATGTTTTGAAGTTAGCAAGCAACCCACTCACCATGCCTCACTGCGATTTCTGTGCCAAGGAGATGGTGTCATATCCCGCGTTCTGGGTCCGGACCTATCACACTCATCACTTCCGGATTTCTGGATCCGGCCGACTTCTATGTATCGTCCGGATCCGACCCGTGTCTAACTTCCGTGCCTTATCCCTTTGGTATTTCCCTTATCAGTTAGTACACTTTATTTTCCATCCCTTATTCATTTCCGTCTTCATTTTACTAAGTTCTGATAGACTAGTGATAGTCGTCCCATATGTTTTCTCCATAGCTTTACATAGCCTCGCACTGCACTTACTGTTCTCTGTTATGTCCTCAGTAGTATATAAACCCTGTACAGTCTCTGTAGTTTCCTCAGTTCGAATATCATCTTAGACTCTGCTCATTCTCTCCTCCGTCCGACTTGAGTTTCTCTCTCGTCGACCTCCGCTCGTCTTAGGATCGATTCCTATAGACTTGTCACCTCCGCCTCTACCTCTGGTAGTCCTCTGCTGTTTCCTTTCTAGTTCGGACTTCGTCCGGATTAGTCTTATCTCTTGTTTCCGAACGTCTGCCGGAACTCCCGCGCATCGGACATCAGACTCCGGACATCGCCCGACGCCCTCCGGACATCGTTCGACAGCCCTCAGAAGTTAGGGGCACGTACTCGGGTAAGGGGCGCAGCGCACAAGCTGAAGCCAAGCCCTTCGGATCTGACCCTTGAGCACGTTCTTAACAGATGGGCTCAAAGGGAGGTGTCAGGAGACATATCAATAATCAACCTGACTGTAGAAGGCAGTGGGAGCTGCTGGTTGAAACTCAAAAAGACATCGGCGCACCTCAGGCTCGTTTTGACTCGTATTCCTCGTATTCCCCCCATCACTGCTCACGCTCTGAGTCTTCCAATCCCGATCATCCAGACAACCCAGCAGTGCCAAAACATCAGAGGGTGACCATTGAGGAGGTTGAAGACGAGGACCACGCGCGATATTTTGAACAATGTGTTGGCGCCAGCCAAACACTGCGTGAAGGAAAAACCGGCTTTGAGAGGTTTCAGGAGTATAAGGAGTGTATGGGCGAAGACAAATGGGCTCCCTTCGATGATGGGTACGTACCAATCATTGCCTGTCACATCTGCAAGGCAATTAACTTCAGGTCGCAAGGGAGGAATGGGGACTCGCCGAATGGCTTGTTAAAAACCTCGGCCAGACTCGAACAGATGAGTTTCTGAAATTACCGATAGTAAGTTCAAGTTTAGTGTTGAATTTTGAAGGATTTGTACTCACCATGGCGATAGACACAAAACCGAATGAAACCTTCTTTTCACAATAACAGATCTTTCCTCCAGAAAGTCGACGAGCTTCCACACGCGACAGCCTGGAGTTGCAAAAAGGTTAAGGTCCAGGGAAATAAAACAGATGAGAAGGGCCAGACGCTGCATGAAGAAGTCGAAGTCTGGATGCGAGATCCTGTCGAGTGCGTCAAAGACCTCATTGGAAATCCATTGTTCCGCGATCACATGGTGTACGCACCTGCGCGAGCATACAGAGACCCAGCAGGACTTCACCGAGTAATTGATGACATGTGGACAGCTGACTGGTGGTGCGACAAGCAAGTAAGTACACCCGGAAAAGCGAAAATGATAAGTACTTACCTATGGCATCTAGAAACTGTTGCCGAAAGGTGCAACAATCGCACCCATAACTCTTGCTTCTGACAAAACTTGTCTGTCGCAATTTCGAGGCGATAAATCGGTGTGGCCCGTGTACCTAACCATTGGAAACATTGCGAAAGAGAAGAGGCGGCAAACATCAGCGCGAGCAACGGTCCTTATAGGATACTTACCTGCTGGAAAACTTGATTGCTTTACTTCTGACGTGTGCTCCCTTGCTGGTTACAGGCTTTTCCACCACTGCATGTCCTTGCTCCTCGAACCCCTCATTGCTGCCGGTCGAAATGGTGTTGAGATGGTCTGCGCGGACTCGTTAATCTGTCAAGTCTTCCCCATTGTTAAGACCATGCACAAAGGGTAGGACTGATTCCAAGGGGCTTGGCTTCAGCTCGTGCGCTGCGCCCCTTACCCAAGTATGTGCCCTTAACTTCAGAATGAAGTCCGGAGAAAGTCCAGTGAAGTCCGAAGGACTTCCAGAGAAGCGTGGAAAACTTCGGAAGGACTTTCCGGACGAGTGCGAGAAACTTCCGGATGAGTGCGGGAAAGTTCCAGAGGAACTTCCGGAAATTACGATGGAGTTTTGTCCTGATGGGGATATGTGTAATGGCTACTCAGGACAAGTCCTGAGTGGAAGCAAACAGAGGAAAGGCTGCAAGGACAAAGTCCGAAGCAGAATAGGTCCGGAGGACCGCGGGAAAGTTCCGGAGGAACTTCCAGAAACTCGGAGGAATGGAGGATTGGATGAGTGGATGAGTGGATGAGCGGAGGAGCGGAGGAGTGGAGGAGCGGAGGAGTGGAGGAGCGGAGGAGCGGAGCTCCGGCCTAGGGAATTTCTCCCTAGGCCTGAGATGGATAATGACTAAGTCGGAGGACTAGAACTGTTACGAGGACTTAGGGTGAAGGCTAGTGTGAGGACTAATATGTGTAATATTCAGACTGAGGAAGTACAAAGATTCTACAGAGTTTATATACTACAGAGGACTTAACGGAGAGTCAGTCAGCGCAGTCCAAAGCTATGCGAGGCTGTGGACGGAGGATGTAGAAAAGTCAAACACTAGTCTATCGGAAAATAGTAAATGAAGACGGAGATGAAGACATAGGAAAATAAAGCTGGAAATGAAACGAGGTACAGAAAATGAGGAAGTCTAACTCAAGAAGGAACATACAAAGGGATAAGGCACAGAAGATAGACGTGGGTCAGATCCGGATGTTCGGAAGTCCGGAGACAGGTGATTACCATAAGGGGATGGGCGCTGATTTAAGGTTTGGGTTCGGACATGACAGATAGGTCGGATCCGGAGATCCGGAGATGTGGATATCAGATCTGGCGTCTGGATATCAGATGCAGGAGTACAGGGATCCGGACGGATAGAGGATTGGGTCTGGAGACATGGACAGGAGGTCCGCATGAGGCGTGGGAACGTCGTCGGATGTTGGTCCGGAATGCGGGATATGACACCCATCCTTGCTGCTTATGTAGCCGATTTCCCAGAACAATGTCTTGTTGCATGCTGTAAAGAAAATCGGTGTCCGAAGTGTTTGGTCACTGCCGATGAACGAGGGGATCCGTTAACTTCGCAGATGCAGGACCCTGAGGTGACAAAAGATATATTAGAGAAGCGGAAGAATGGTCAGCATCCAATTCAATTCAACGACAACGGGCTACACGCCGTCTTCAACCCATTCTGGGCAAATCTCCCTCACGCCAACATCTTTCTTGCCTTCACGCCTGACCTCCTCCACCAGGTCCATAAAGGTGTCTTCAAAGACCACCTAGTTAAATGGTGTCTTGAGATTGTCAGTGAAGATGAAATGGACTCACACTTCAAAGCAATGCCAGATTACCCTGGACTTCGGCACTTCAAGAAGGGTATCTCGACTGTGAAACAGTGGATGGGTACAGAGCATAAAGAAATGCAGCGTGTCTTTGTTGGTCTGCTCGCTGGTGCTGTCCCAAGGTAAGCATTAGTAAGCCGTGCTCAAAAAAGGCTGTACTGACACAATTAATGCTAGTTGAGTCTTAGTGGTTGCACGAGCCATTCTAGACTTTTCATATTACGCACAGCTTCGAATGCACACTGCTGAATCCCTCGATGGTCTGGAGAGTGCGCTTGCGGTGTTTCACGCCAACAAAGACATCCTGCAAGAGCTTGAAGTTCGCGAACACTTCAACATTCCTAAATTACATCGAATCTCACACTTTGTTAAGTCCATCACTCTATTTGGTTCCACCGACGGTTTCAACACTGAGCTTCCAGAACGACTACACATTGATTTCGCAAAAGAAGACGCCTATCGTGCCAGCAACAAACGCGACCACGAGGAGCAAATAGCCTTATGGCTTCAACGGCAGGAAGCCGTATTCCTACGTAGTTCTTACTTTGATTGGTTGTTGGAACGATCTCAGTCAGCCACAGCGTCCAGTCACACAGATCCCAACCGCAGAAATGACTTGGATTCAGACTCGGATGCCGAGATTGAAGAGTTTGCTGCCCCCACAAATGCCATTCCGTCATCCCCCACTGTGTCATCCCCCACTGATGTGGTCCGTATTCTCGCCAAGCATCCTCCACACCCTCGGCAGTCTGTTGATCGCCTCATCACTGCACATGGCGCCACCATGTTTCTCCCCGCCCTCAAATCTTTCATGCACAAGCACATGCCACACAATAACATCATCCCTGGTCCACATGACCGGTTTGATGTTTATTGACAAGTCATCATAGTTACCCCGCCTGATCCACACACCAGTGACTCACCAAAGCGGTGGCGCATTAGAGCGACACCTGAAGTGCAGCCTGGTCCTGCCAGCCAAAAACCTTGGTCCCCCGCTAGATTCGATATGGTGCTGATAAGTGATGGTGCTCAGACGACGAATTTGCGGACACTCGAAGGTAAGCATTGGTTACTATTCAACGCTTCAATGTCACACTGACTGAAATGGATACTGTACTAGGTGTGCGAGTTGCACAAGTTCATATCATCTTTATCCTCCCTCGTCAGTTTCTAGTTGGAACGAACTCCCGAGCGCTAGCTTACGTCGAGTGGTTCATGCCGCTTCAGGAGCCAGATCCCTCCTCTGGCCTGCATCAAGTGTCGCATTCGACTCGTCAGCTGCATCGGAATGCAGCCGTGATCCATCTTGACGAAATGGTTCGTCCGTGTCACCTCATTCCAAAAATGGGACCATCTGTTGACCCTGGGTGGACGAGCGCAAACGTCTATGAGACGGCACATGATTTTTATTTTAATACTTTTATTGACCTTGAAACATTTTGTATTTCCACTCGTAGTGACTAGAACTAGCTACTGCTGCTACTGTGCTACAATGACTACAGATTGCTACTACCGTCACCTGAAGCTCTACATAGTCCTGGTTTCGGCTACACCAGTTATGTAGTACTATATAGTAGCCTGGATGTCTACATAGTACTACACCACCTATGTAGCGCTATATAGCTGCCACTATGACTATGAGGATTTGGTGTTTTTCCTGATGTCTGCCTACTTTGATTAATTCTATGGAGATCCCGTAGCAACTTGAACTAGGCGGTTTGGCTCTGGATGTACAAACAAATTCCACAGAAACCTTCGACCCAGAAACCCCTACTGCAGACACTATCTGGCATTTCCATCCGCTTGTCGATGCCTTGGTGGCGTGTGCAAATGCACTCAACGCTGCCAGCACCCAGCGTCTGGCTGCACTGGCCCACACAAGCAACCCTCGGTTTTGGGACTCCAAATTCTGAAGCGAACAATCGATACACCTCACGAGGGATGTGAAGACAAGCGCGAGGTGATTCAATTCATGTGAAATAGCGGCAGCTCCAGTGCTGCAGTGCTGATCTACTGCATTTCGCGGTGCATAGTGAACCCCTGTTTCCCGAAGCAGCGGAGCCAAAACGGGGGATTGCCCCGGAGTTCTCCTTGGAGGATTTCGAAAATGAGCATTCAGTACATAGGCACGTTCTGGAAGGAGACAACGTCAGCCAGCGCCTCGACAGACAGAAAAGGCAAGTGCAACATCGGGACACGAGATTGAATGCTGATATTGAAAGCAGAGGTCCATGTAGTTCATTACTTATGTTTCATCTAACACTGTCAGATGTAGGCATGGATAAACAGCCCGCATCCACCCAACATTCAACTGCTTGAGATCTTTCTTTTTTGCCAGTATTCTAGTATGATCATGTCTGTCTATTTGGCCTGTGTAACTCACGGCGTCGAGAGTAAAGCTTCAGTACCCTGTCAAATTAATATCATAGGTATAGGATCAGTTCATTTATATGGTGTGAACCCTGGTGGTGCCATACCTATTATGTTCCCATTTGAAAGGACAGCAGCGTCGCCTGTCAAAGCAGCAAAGACGGCGAGGACAAGGGATAAGCGCATCATCTGTGATATGGTATCAAATAAATCTGAGAAGTTGAAGATGTCTTGCTTTATACGCTAAATATCGTTCTTTATGACGATGGTCGGAAGGACCGCTCTGCAATGCCAACAGACCTGAATTTCAAAGAGGGTGTTAGATTAGGTCAAGATTAGGTGGCTTATTGTGACGTTGACTGTTTAGCGTGTTAGGCTCGACGACAACGGCACAATAGAGAAGAGTGCGTTCAAACGAAATGACAGGATCAAAGTCTGAATTCTGGGGGTTCAAACGACACTAGTCTAACTCTACGACTATGGACAGTATTTAAGATAACGATACGTCCGATGTTGGGTGGCTTCGGAAGAGTAAAAGCTACTATGGGCTAGAGACTCAGCCGAAGCGTCTACGAACGACTGTATGAGTAAATAAGCGTAGTTAGGAAACTGACAGAGGCAAATGAAAGAGAAACAGGGCAAATTGGACGTGGGCCGTTTGGACGGCCCAACCGTTACATCTCCCCCTCCAGGGAGAACACCATCTCCCTTCACCCACACCTTCTTTCGTCCTACTCGTTCATGGCTTCTTCGGCAGGGGTATGAGGGGCGGAAGGCCCGGCGACAACGTTCGCCGGAGTCATGGTGGTTATCTTTCGGATCTTCCCCAACCCCTTCTTGGTGAGCTTCTGGTCCTGCTTGTGACCATAGTTCTTTTCCTTCCTCTGACTTGCGCGTCTAGCCTCCATCTTCTCGTGTTGGTAGGATGCGCTGAGGGCCGTGTGCCATACCATTTTATCGAGCTGCTCCATTCGCGACGACGTGACGGTAATCTCAATGTCATCTTCCTCTTCCATGATGTCAGTGAGGACCAGGGCAGCCCCGGTGCTGACTACAACTCCGTTCTCGTTGACATAGGATGCCGTGGAGGATAAACCTTCATTATTGAAGGCATGCACGAAGAACTCATACCCCAATGGACTAGGGGGGCAATCGTCGAGGGATTTGTTGCGCAGGGCATGGGAGTACGTGACGAACAGTTTTAGCTGGTCACGGGTGATCAGGTGAGAGTCCTCGGGGTTCTCAGGGTTTCCGACGAGCACGTCTTGCCCGTACGTGTCGAAGTAGAGGAGTTGGTGGTCGTTGGAGGAAGGAGTCATCGCGAACAAGTGGCAGTGGTTGACTGGTGATGGGGACTCAGGTGGGTCATGTAGTGAGTCGGTTGAGTGGGAGGAGGGAAGAGTGGTGATGGGATCAGACGGGGTACTTATACCATTGATTCCTCCTAGCGACACGAGTCCGAGGTAATATTCCGGGTCATCTCTGGGGGGCGTTCCTTGCCCTGCTGTTAACTCAGAAATGTTAGTGAAACCGAGTAAATCCAGGTACTCGCTTAGCGCATCAAGATGGGACACTTGCTCATATGAGAGCCAGGTGATGTCACCTGCTCGCCATTTCACCTCAAAGTAGGTGTTTTCGCGGGCGCCGTGGTGGGACAGTATCTGGTCGACCAGCCACTCCGAGTCTCGACCGTTGCCGAAGTCAACGATCTGGGTGTCCATCCTTCCTGGGAACAGCCTGTCGTCATTCGGGACGTGGATGCGGAGAAGGGATGAATGGAACACCAGGTGAACCCCTCGTTGACGTAGCCGACTGGGCAAGTCAACGAGGAACGAGTTATTACCGTAGTCCCTTAATAGTCGGTAGGGCCCCATGTACTTGGGGGTAAGCTTACGTGCCAATCCTTTGGGGAGAGATAGGTTCTTGGTCGACACGTAAGCCAGGTCGTTTTCCTTGAAGGGACAAGGCTGACGTCTTTTGTTTGCATGGTGTGTTTGTTTCACACGGGCCTGAAGTATTGAGTCATGTGCCATTATGGCCGCTTGCTTCATCTTCTGCAAGTACACCCGCACACTAGGGTACTCATCTTTCGTAGGATTATTCCATACCATGGCCCGAGGTTCCCGGCCATAGTTGGCCTTGAATGGCGACAACAGCGTGGATTCCGAACTCGCCGAGTTGATTGCAAACTCAATGGCAGGGAGCTTTGTTACCCAGTCCGTCTGACTGGGTCCGATGATGGACCTGAGCATTTGCCCTAACGTTCTGTTTGCACGCTCGGTGGCTCCATCCGACTCGGGGTGATAAGCACTCGACATCTGCTGGTTCACCCCTAGCAGTCTGTTAGAGTCAGTCCAAAACGCGCTAGTAAATAATACGTCTCGGTCGCTGATTATTGACTTAGGCAGTCCGTGCAACTTGTACACCTCCGCGAATATCAATTCTGCAACCTCCTGGGCCTTGTAATTCACTCGGCTGGGCACTAGGTGCACCATCGATGTGAGTCTGTCAATAATGACGGTTATTGCATCATACTCACCATCCCTATCCTTTGACATAGGCAATGGTCCTACGAAATCAATCCCAACGGATTCCCAAGGCCGTGAGGGGACTGGTAAGGGGTTCAGCAGCCCATAAGGCTTTTGATTCGAGGGTTTACTCCTTTTGCAGGTCATACACGAGGCGCAGTACACGTTCACATCCGCGACCATGGACTTCCACCAAACGTGGTCTCTCAGGTAAGTGAGCGTCTTCTGTGCTCCTAGGTGTGCTAACAGGGAATGAGCCTGCGATATCACGATCTCGCGGGCATTTCGGTCGTTTATCCTTACGTTCGGGACGCACAGGAGTGTTCTATCCTTGAGCCGGATTCGTAGCATCCCGTTGGATACCTCGAAGTTCCGGTATTCAGCAGGTGAGTCCAGGATTCCCTTGAAGAACGGGTCCTGATCATAATTATTCTGTATCCCTTTGATCAGCTCATCCTCCACAGGATACCAGGCTGGGATTGGAGTTGGTTCTGCCGTTGCTCCCTCCATTTGGAGGTCTGGAGCCGGCTCTACAGATGGCTGTGTGGTTATTCCGCCAGGGTCCTCCCCCTCCTTTCGCTCCCGTGGGCCACGAAGGACGAAATGACCTGCCACGCGCCTGGCAAATTCAGCTGTGGTCTCGGGTCGTCCGGACTCTGCCGGCACGACCGGTCCCCGGCGTCGACGCCCACTGGACTTCGCCACGTTGGCGTCTGTCCCGACCGGGGCAGACTGACTTGGTGGTGCCATAGGACCAGGGTCCTCAACTTCAGGTGGGGACATTCTACTCCCTGCGGTGCGCTGGCCCGCAACGACACGGCCAGCTAATCTTGTGCTACGCCTTGTCGCCAACAGGGCAGGTGAAGCCGCCAATGCTTCAGACCCTACCAGGACCGGCATCGATATGATGGCTCACAGGCCTGGCCTGCGAGCATCTCTGTCCACATCATCGTGCACCGTGAACTCGCTGTCCGCGCGCACGGTCCCAGGAGCATCAAATGAGTACATGCGAGATAGAGCGTCCGGTAAGACATTCTCTTCTCCTGGGATGTATCTGACTTCGAAGTCAAACTCCCCTAGTTTCTCGAACCAGCGCGCTTGTCGTCCAGAGACTTCGCGCTGGTTCATCAGATGCACCAATCCCTTGTGGTCCGTCAGCCACACGAATCGCGCGCCCTGCAGGATGTCCCAGTGCTGTAGCATCCCCTCTAACCCGGCCAGCATCTCTTGCTCGTGGACCGCATAATTCTGCTGTGCCGGATTAAGCTTGGCGCTGTACAGCGCCGCCACCCTGGACGACTTCCAGTCCGTACCCTGAGCCACGACAGCTGCGATGCCCTTGGCACTCGCGTCTGTCATTAGCCAAATCGTAGGTGCATCCTTACCATAGTCCAAAGGGACCCGATGATGATCTTTGCAATTAGCCACATACTGCTTGATCTCGTCGAAGGCCCGCTGGTGGGTGTATTCCCACCGGAATGGTACAGTGTCGCCAGTAACCTCTGACAACACGCCCATAGGCACGTGGACCTTGTGTATGTCGTCCGCCAGGAAACCTACAGCCCCCAGGAAGCTCCTGAGAGCATCTCTGTTCACTGGAGCCTTCCAGTGGAGGATTCGGTTGACTTTGTCGGGATCCATGCGGATCCCGTCATCATCGACTACTCGCCCAAGGATTTTCAGATCCCTACAGAGAAACTGCAACTTCCCTTCGCTCAGATACAACTTCTCACGTTCCAAGATCCGGAGCACAGTCTTGACATGGTCGACGTGTTCAGCCAGTGAGTCAGAATAGATTATAATATCGTCTAGATACACATCTAACCAATTCCCGATGTACTCACCAAATAGGTGGTTCATCAGAGCCTGATAGGTCGCTGGTGCGTTACAATCACCCTGCTGCAGAACCTCACTGACCATGTTCCCATCTGGCGTCGTCACAGTCGACCTGTCCACATGTTCCGGGACGATACGAATTTGTTCGTAGGCGTCCTGGCCATCAATAATCGACCGGTACCTCTTTCGAGCCACCCGTCTCAGGATGCCATCAATGTCCGGGAGGGGTGATGACAATTTCTTCGTGTTGGTGTTTCGCTCCCGCAGATCCACCACTGTCCGCAACTTCTCGGTTCCAGGTTTTCGGATGAAGAGCATCGGCACAGTATTGCCGGCGCTGGTCATTCGCCAGCGCCCGGATGCCAGGTAAGCCTGCCGTTTCTCTCCCCATTGAGGACGCAACAGCTCAGGGCATCTTGAAGGTCGCCACTTGTATACCTTGTTAGGGTCGATGAGGGGGATCGTATGGTTGATCGCCCGCAAGGGAGGCAACCCTGTTTCACTGGCCTTCGCACACAATGGTCGCGCCAGACGATGTAACTCTTCCCTGGTACGTTCCAAGTTCTCTTCGTAGGCCTCGGCCATTCGAGATTCTAACACTGACACTTGCTCACCCTTGATAGGTAATGCAGTCCCACTGCCCACCACAACGCGAGGTGGGTTAAGACCCACCATTACCTGGTGCTGGAACAAGAACGGTGTTCCCAGCACCAGGTCGTAGTTCTGGAGGTTGATGATGTCAAAGAACCTCTCCTCCTGGATCTTTTGATACGCGAACTGCACCTTGGTGCCAAAATTTACTTTGGATCTGGACCCCTGGACCGCTAACTGTATCGTAAGTGGCTTTTCCAGCTCGATCTTCTTCACCCGCAACTGATCTGCGAGAGATGAAGACATGAAATCTGCCAAGGACCCAGTGTCCACCAGAGCTCGAGCCGGTCGTCCGTTTACGTGTACCACTATGACCACCGGTTTAGGTATCAGTCGCTTAAAGTCTCGAGTCGTCGCCGAGTTACGTTGGATCGCTGGGTAAGCTCCCAGGGCAACCTGTTGCCCATTCAATTCTACTAAGTGATACTTATCCCTAGTTTCAGCGAACCAAATGTCCGGCATCGCGAATAGATGATGTGCCACATCTTCCAGTGCGCACGTCATAGGGCTTTGTGGTCCCGTCTCCTCCAGCAGCCTCAACGGGTCGATTTCCCCGTCAATCTCCTTTTCTAGCATGATACCATGCAACTTACGGTAAGCCTTCATCAACTGCTTGGCGTACCAACGTGTAACGTTTAACTTTGGGTTGTTCAGGCATCTGTCATCCATCCAAGTCCTAAACCGCAGGTCTCGGTCATGGACCTCAAACGTTTTTTCCTTACCAAATGCAGTTCTCATGCAGGTAAATCATTTTTGTGACTGTGCGCCAGGAAAGTGGGGCTCATCGTTCAGGATATCGCAGATTCGCCCAAGGGCTGGGTCGCCCATCGGTATCCTGGCGTGCATCAGCCATGCCATGGACTTGTTCATTCCGAAATGCTTGGCCAGGTGAGTGCAGTACCAGTCACTTAGACAGAACTTCTCATTCTGAATTAGGGTTATCGGTACCACAAGGTCCTCCTCCAGTCTGCGAGCTCCGTCCATGACAACATAGTGAGTGTCGGACGTCCTGTAGATCACGAAACGCTGACCAGAGAATGAGGTCTCATTCTCCAGATCATCCCCGGGGTAGGGTGCGTACAGGGCCAAGAGTTGCTCCGCCCTTTCAGCAATAGGATCCCCAAGTGGTACGTCTGTGATGTTCCATTCTTGGTCCGGATCACAAACTGTTTCGTCGCTGATGCTCATACTCCCAACAGATATTTCAGGGATGGTCTCTGTACTGTCTGCTAGGTTGCGGAGGTGTTCAACGTCATCGAACTCCACCGCCATAGAGTAGCTAGGGACGCCGGGTGGCCTGTCCCTTTTATTGGAGGCCACAGCACTCCGTTTAGGGCACTGACGGGACATGTGCCCCGTCTCTTTGCACACGAAACACCGTCCCTCTGACATCAGTTTGTCGTGCTCCTCCTTACTGAGCTTATTGTCCTTAGGTTGCTCGTCCCGACGGTTTTGGTGCCCCGAACGATCTGGTCGTCCCTGTCCCTTGGCGGGACGTTGATGGCTGTTCTGTCGCCGGTCTCCATTCCGATCCTTGGAGGGACCAGAGTGGCTATTTTGGTGCGTAGCACCTTCCGTTCCCTTGGGTTGTTTGTCTGATCTATCCCTTCCAGGTTTCTTGTTACTCTTAGGTCCCTCCTCGCGGGTTCAAGACCCAGAGGCCGAATTGGCCAACTCTATTATCTCCGCCGTTTTCTGTACCTTCGACAACGAAGATACTTCCGGGTTCAGACGCATCTTATATAGTTCATTCTGAATGCTTGGGTTCAGTCCGAACCAGAACTTTACGACCTTATCTTGATCCGGTACGTTTCCTATCATCATCCACAGCTCATTGAGCTCTGATAGGTAATCCCGGACGTGTTTGTCCCCTTGGTAGCACCTATAGAGCTTCTTTCATTGCTTAGTGCTATAGTCCAACGGAAAACAATAGTTGAATAGTTCGGTAAAGAATTCATCTAATCTCCAGTGACTTGGATTATCTGACACTTGTCTTAGGTAGAATTCGTGCGCCTTGCCTTTAAGGAATCGCGACAATGTGAACACTCGACGTCCTCGAGCCACGTTCCCATCCTCCAGATACGCTGTACCTTCGGTAATGAACCGATGGAACGCCCTGGAGTCCTCCACACCATCATACTCGGTGGGAGGGATTGGTTTCAAGGTACTTTTCCTAGATGACTTCTTCTTTTTGCGGCTCTTACGCTTCTTGGAACGTTTCTTCTGTTTTTTAGCTGTAGAGTCCGAACTCTCAGACGAGTCACTGGATTCGCTCGACGAGGAGCTTTCAGTTGCTTCACTGGACGACGAACTTGAACTCTCCGGCGGTTCGGATTCTGAAGAGCTCAATGACGAAGAGCTCGTTGACTCTTCACTCGGTGAGTCCTCAGTGTCTCGTTTGTTTCGTTTCTTACTGTTCTTCTTTTTAGGTTGTATGCGCGTAAATGTGCGCCCCAGATAGCTCTTGGGGGCAATCTGGGCTACTGCATCCATGGCAGGTGGGGTGGATCTCTCCCCATGTTTAGATGGCTTACTCCCCGTCTTCTCCATCATTTCTTTAACAGGATTGGTGCTTTGCGGCTCCCTTCCTGTCCTTTTCACCTTCTCCTTTCTGGGAGGCTTAATTTTAACCTTTTTGGTGGGTGGGTCTTCCCTCTTTTCGAGCTTCTGTTGCAACCATTGAATTTGTTTTTCAAACAGCTTCATCATTCGCTCTTCGGTGGCCCTCACGGCCTCCGTTATAGGATCACTAACATTAGTGTCATTCTCCTTATCGGAGTCCTCGACCGGTTCCTCCCGTGGAACTCCCTTAGCCCACTCATGGGTCTCAGCCCACGTCGAGAGGGCCTCCTCTCTTTGGGCCTCGATGTCTATTTCAGACTCCTCAAGGTTCGCGTTCCCCCAGTTCTGGGGATCAACGGATTTTCCCTTGAGGTTGGAAGGCCCTTCCTCGCGTGACGACATCGTCTGTTCGCGCGAGTCAGCATTCATTTCGGCATGTTTCCTTTCGAGGATACGTTGTTTCTCTTCTGTGGTAAGGAGCTTTTCGGCTTCCTTCACCAGGTCAACCTTAGACGGTTGTTTGTCTACAGCTGCTGGCTGAACTGCCTTCTTAGATCTTCTGTGGCTGCGTTCAACAGTCTTCCAAGGTGCGTCCACCTCGGACTCATCCGACGATTCACTCGAACTAACGAAGGGGTTATCCAAAACTTTCGTAGCTGAATTCGGAGCTAACGATGTTTTATAGCAACTAGGGGTATCCTCGGTGCTTAGAGCACCAGGAGACACAACCTCAGCACCAGGCTGAGGCGTGTCTGCTCTCGTCCGTACCACGTCGCTGAAGGAGCGGCTGGGTCTGAGGACGGATCCATCGACATGAGAGTCAAGTGACTTCTCCACTGTCGAGGTATGGTGATTAGTTGGTACTGTTGTTAACGAAGACTCACTACGGGTATCAGGGGCGTCTTCGACGCTGGCAGTTGGCGCGGAGCGCTGAGAACGCAATTGGTAACGAGGAGGCATGATGTCTAATTGTCGAGCGGTACGTTCGGTGGGCCTAACCGATTGTTGCCGGGGTCGATGATGAGATGGGGTTTAAAGGTTTAAATGATACATCAGGAAAACCTTAGCTTACTTAATCTTACTTAATCTTACTTATTTCAGCCTTTTTACTCCTTTTCCCACTTATTTCAAATGGACCTCCTTATTTTTTTAAAATCACCACCTTGTCAAAAGTTGACCAACAGGGTTTGTTGACAATCATCATATATGTGTGCTATCAAATTTTTGGATTTTTAATTTGCAAGATGGTGCCTCAAGAGAGCATTTAAGGAAGAAAATCATTAGTATTAATGTGCCATTCACACTTCATACTGGTAAACAAGTGTTGGTTTTATGCTATGAAATATATCTCTTAAGTACAATAAACATATTGGAATACTCAAATTTGGAGCAGTTGTTGATTTAAAAGAAATAAGTAGGTCCATTTGAGATAAGTAGGAAAAGGAGTAAAAAGGTCGAAATAAGTAAGATTAAGTAAGCTAACGTTTTCCTGATGTAGTAGACTTTAGGATGTCAAAAAAGATGTGACGTTGACTGTTTAGCGTGTTAGGCTCGACGACAACGGCACAATAGAGAAGAGTGCGTTCAAACGAAATGACAGGATCAAAGTCTGAATTCTGGGGGTTCAAACGACACTAGTCTAACTCTACGACTATGGACAGTATTTAAGATAACGATACGTCCGATGTCGGGTGGCTTCGGAAGAGTAAAAGCTACTATGGGCTAGAGACTCGGCCGAAGCGTCTACGAACGACTGTATGAGTAAATAAGCGTAGTTAGGAAACTGACAGAGGCAAATGAAAGAGAAACAGGGCAAATTGGACGTGGGCCGTTTGGAGAACTTTGGACGGCCCAACCGTTACACTTATTGTCGCCTGAAGTTATCGTTGCCCTTGCGTGAGTTACCTACGACTTTTGCCTATTAGTGCCGTTGCCTTAAACCTCTGCAGAGGACGTACTATTAAACTCGCGAGCTCGTTGCAAGCTATTATTTGTTATCAAACGTTCATTTGGCCCACCATAGCAGTGGAACAACCATGATTTCGGTGTTTCGGCACATGTAGTGCGCGATTATCCTGATAATTCAGAAGGACTCAGACATGTGGAAGATAACATCATGCGCTACTCCTCATCATTCCATTTTCAGCAGTCAGCCAGGTTGTTCACAAATTTCGAAAGGGGCTGAGGTTAATTATTTCAATCGCTGTTGGTACAATGATGTCCTAGAGAAAAATCAGCTGGAACGAAAGATGCCTCGTGAAAAGATTGGCTTGCCGGAATCACCCGGCACCATGCTTCATAATTGTACCGTCAGCCAGAATATCTTTTCCATCCCCATCTCGCAGCGTTTGTTTCGGATTATGGGGATGATATCCGTAATGACAGACCAAAATATGTATGTATGTTGTCATAAAAAGAGAGCATCGAGATATGGATAAAAAGAAGGGTAGAGTGGTAAAAATTTGTCACCGTCCGGCAAGACTCGCATGTTTAGACACTGGTATAAACTGCGGAACCTGTGCGGGAACAGTTGGATGACGAAGCATATCTGAGAGGGGCGCCGGTAAAGGGTCAACATGTTGTGAGTAAGTACGTGAAAAGAAATTATGAGAAAAAAGATCTTCTTTGGATTGCTGGTGGGAGTTGAGACGCACGCGTATAGCCTCTCCCGGATCATCGTCCAGGGAATGCATGATGGAGGCAGATGTGTATGGGAGGGAGTAGTCTTCCTCGGATCTAGGTGATGTAGATGAAATAGTAGCATCTGGTAGCGCATACATCAAACGCATCTGCGAGCGGTGATTGCGTTCCACTCCATCATCATCATCATCCGAAATGACCTCATCCCCATCCGCATCAAGAAGAGGCGCTGAAATTGAGTTTCAGAAAAGTACACCTAATAATTAGACCCACATACCCCATCCCCTGCGACGTCTGACAGGGCCTGAAGACGTCGAAGCCTCACCTGCAGCGTTTGCAGTTACTTCTCTAGGCCACGACCTAGCATTCATAAAATGAGGTAGTGGTCTCTCCGGCACGGTAGGGGGGGCTTGGCTCCGCTCATCTCTAAGTGGTGTTTGGTCGGCGTGATCACTAGTCCACCGCCTACTCGTACCACTCGATGGTTGAGAAGGACGCATTGATGAGTCGGGCACAGCCGCAACATCAAGCACCAAAGTCAAGAGTGGATCATCGTTTGATTGTGGTACGGTAGGTTCCCAGTCCATCTCAGTCCCCGAAGGAGTTGGAACTACTCCTCGTCCCTGCAAACTGGATCTACTGTTCAGGCTTGGTTGCTCAGATCCAGACTCCGCTTGCCGAGCAGCTTCCATGCGACGCATGACCAGCCGCTCAGTCAAGCTCGCTAGATCCCGCACAATGACAGAAGTCTGAATCAGATTATCTTGCCGTTGTTCGAGAGGGGGGGCAGCGTTGCTCTGGCGGTTTAAGGCAGTACGTGCTGCAACTTGTCGCCCGATCATAGTGTTAGGATCCTCGGGATTTATGATTCCAAGTTCGTTGCGGAGGGCAGAACGCTCTTCCAGACTGCCTGAAAGAGTTCTGTTGTTTGAAGGAAAAATCAGATCTGGTAGCGGAGGGGAACGGGGGCGAGGCGGGAGTATCCGAGAGGGTATATCAGCAGGTGTATCCCACCACTGGGACCTATGGCGAGACACTTCTGATGGACGCTCTGAAGTGGAGCCTCTCGTTTGTCTTGACATGCTTTCAAAATCTTCAAGGCGTTGCCTTGTCGAGGGATTGATAATGGTTCTCAACCGCTGAACGCGGGTATTGAAGTCCATATCGGACTCTGGAGCGTCGGACCCGGTCAGGACCAAGGCAGCGTGCTGGGGTGCGATACTGGACTCTGCAGTCCTGTCGCGTGTGGATGGGGGTCCTTCTGCGATTTCCGGTGGCATCCGGTTGAGCAAATTGTTGATGTTCTGTCTGAGTTGTGTGACACGCGCATATGCAGCATCTAGCGCTACAGAGGCTTGTCTCAGGCTGTTGTGAGTCTCCTGTCGGCGACTGATGCTGACGGAGTTGTCTACTGGAACAGATTGTGCATTGAGTTGGTCAGAACCCGGCATGAGGTTTGATTGGTTCGGGACGGGAGACGGAGGATGTGAGATATTATCTCGGAGAGGGTTCATCAGGTATCAACTTTTTGAAGCCCCCGCTAACGCCTAGACGCTAGTATAAAGATATAGATACAGTATAAAGGAGTGAATGATGACTGTGGGTCTTGGGAAGTCAAAGAATCAGACAAAGCGTTTCTAAGTTGATAGTCACTGTGACAAGCAGGTACAAATTGATTGCAACCACTAGTCTGGACTCTGAAACGAAGCAGGCCCGATAAGTCACAATTGCAATGTAAATATTTCGCTATGATTAGAATATGCAGTGCTCCCTATTGTCCACTGGCCCTATGCTACGGTATGGTGCTACTACACATGAACGTTTGAACTTCCAGGTGAATAGGGATATCTATAATGTAAAAAAATGTCCACGTGATGCAAAGTCAGGCAGATTCAGCTCTGCTGACAATATGAGTCCGGCTGGTGTTATGAGTGCTATTGGATTCTTCGTCTGAGTGCTTTCGTATCGAATCAATTGGGTAATAGTGACGCAGGACTTTGGCAAGTAAAGGATCATCACCAGTGTAGCAGAACGCTAGGGTAACGCAGACGAGGATAAGCGCCGAGGTGATGCAACAAAGCGCAGTCCACCCATGTCTCGCATGATCGTATATCTAGAAATCAACATCCAATCAAAAACGTAGCTTTGCATTTGTTAGCATGTATGCTGACCTGTCCTCCTATCACAGGCCCCACTGGGAAAAGTCAGAGGTGAAGGGAAAAGAAAATTATGGTTCTCACCTGCTGTACCAATCCCGAACGCAAGATTAAATGCGCCATAGATATGAGCATCTGTGTGATATTAGGAGATGAAACATTGCATTCCGTTTGGAATACTCACATCCGACACCTTGCATTTTTCGAGAGACAGACGCAAGTTCGGTCGTCACTGGCGCGACGACACCAGAGACGAAGAAACCTAAGCAAGAAAGGTCAACTCGACACATGTAGCCATGGTGTAAACATACATTGAGCGGCAAGAGCAAAAATGAATAGCGGTAAAGAGTGCCGTAGGGTCAAGATAATCCACCACGGTAGTGCAAGGAGCAGACATATAAATGTTATATAGTTGGGGCCCACTCGATCGACGTAAAAACCTGCTAACGGTGATGCTGCAACTCTCGTTAAGACGAGATGACGTTTTGTCAGACTATGAGACTTACAGATCAAGGCTGGGACGACTGCTGCCAGGTAGGCAAGACCCACCCGATCCGAATTAAATTCCCAGATAGATTGGAGATGAAGCGGAAGAGAAGGCTCCTGCATGCTTTGTACAAGTCTGCAGAAACGGTGAACACTCGCCTCGGCAACATTGAATGATACTTACCCATATACGAGCGACATGCTTAGAGCGACCAATGCGCGAGGTGACTGCGATAACTTGATAATCACTGAGAGTAATGGTATTGGCCTCCGAACGAGTGTCGGGTCCATGATTGGTTTGCGGGCTATGGACAATTTTCGTGCGTTGGGTAGTCTAGACTTGTCTGGAACCATCGGATCTTCTACTTCGTTAATTTCTGTAGTGCTTCCATGCACCTGAGCTGTTGGGATAGAGGAGAGTTGTATATCAGATGTAGAAGAAGCGTCCAGCGCCCCCTTCATTATTACGGCCGTGGGTTCCGAGGGGTCATGGCCCCATTTCAATGCAACGTCCCTTTCAATGATAAGAAGACGGAGGCCTAGATCAACAACTGCACAGATCTCTCCGAAGATGAATGGGGCGCGGAATCCGAAGCGAGTATACAAGGCACCGCCTGCGGGTGAGCCAACCAGAAGACTTCTGGGAGTGAGACAATGCAGACATGGTGACGAAGCACTCACCCGATGGATAGGCCGGTCATCGCAATGCCCAATTGTTCTGAAAAAAGTTCATCGGTGAGTGTCATATTAATGTTTTTAGAGTAACTCACTGCCGACATTTTTCTCCGGCGTGGTATCACACCTACAACAGGTATTAGTTTGCATGTGATGGTGCCCACAGATATATTCTCACAAAAGTGCCAGGCCTACGATCCACACCATAGAGGAACTGATTCCTTGCAAGACGCGAGCGACGGCCATGACTGCATAATTAGGGGCCTCCATGAACATGACCTGAGAGGCAATGAGCGCAATGAGACCGAGGATCAATGGCATTCGTCTCATTGAATATCGCTCCGAGTGCATGGCAATAGGGATCGTGGCTGTGGGAATTATAAACGCACTTGAAGTGATGTAGAAGGAGCCAACTTACAAAAGACCAGCCCGGCGGACTAGAGGATATGAGTGAGGTAGTTTACGAAATGATGATTCAGCTCACATATGCACATAACAGCCACCCTGCGAGTGACGAAACCTTACGGTATGACAAACGCTCCAACTGGAATGGCAAGACAGGGATGACGATGGAGTAAACCAACAGGTCTGTAGTTATGCCTGAAATACGCATGAATACGGATAGTATGTGACATGTAGGCTTACTGACCGAATCCAACAACTGGCGGGCGTGAAATGATTTGAGTTGATGAATTAAGTGATTGGAAGGAAAACGTACCTGTAGTGATGAACCAAACTGATGACCGCCAGCGAAGCCCCCATGGTTTTCGATTTGAAGAGAAGGGCATCCAACGACCCATATTGCAGCTTGTGCAAGGGGATTAACACTGACCGAAGAAGATGAGTTGTCTGTGCGCGGAGGGAGAGGAGTTCTTTTATTATATATATACTTTTGGCAATCAAAACTTGCTCAATGGGCGACTATTTAATATATATATTATCCGCTGAAATACTGCGGATTCCGGGATGACCAAAAAAGATTGGTTACGGAAGTAGAGCCGCAATGCCGTTGTTGATTTGAATTTGGATTTGTAAATCATTAATGTTGCCTTGACCCCTCCAGAGCTATAACCTCCAACTCACTTGGCTCTCCCAATACGTTAGTCTGCTCTAGTCAGACCATGTAGATGGAAGACAGCCGTCCTTAATATACACAGGAACAAGTGCCCTAGCCAAGCTACCAGCTGGTGAAATTAGACCAACTACTAGTTACGAACTGCGACCGGTCAGGGTACGAGTTACACAGTGCCAACCCCAATTTCTCTCTATATGATCTGCCAGGGTTCCGGGTCTCGATACGATCGAGTCGAGCTTGCTCTACTCCACCAACCAGCGTGACTGCTAACATTTTCGTGTCTTCTTCGTCATCATGCCTTCTCCGTGGTTCACTGTAGGTAGTAGACAAAATCCGGTTGCTTATCTTTTGCAAATATTTTCAATGTCCGTAATAATCTATTGTGCATTTTTTTCCCGTTAATATTCAATATCTATTAATATACCGGTTGTGCCCAGTGCTTAGACGCTTACCCGTGGCCCGGTGCATCGGGAAATTAGCTGGTTTATTCTAGGTGTACGTGAAGATTTGGACAGTGCGACCCCCTGTGCGTCCCCATACATACACGAAGCACAGGCATCCGCATGGTAGTAGTAGGATTGTATGAGCGTCCCGGCGCATCCCTGCGGTTGATCCATAGTACCAGATGAAGACTCGGAATCAAAGTGTCATACGGAAGCAAATTTTGTCCGTCTGCCAATTGCCGAACGAGTGAATGGGAAAATCAACAAAAGGACTTGCTCAAGTTACCCACTCGTCATATCGTTGCCGCCTGAGACTCTAGGTCTTTGTGAGCTGTCACGCAGTCATGCCTGTAGGTCCTTGCCAAGCTCGTGGCCTGAAGTAAGTATTAATAGCCCAAGTTATGCCCTGGTTCACTCACCCCGTTGCCGCATTAGCCTCATGCAGCAACCCTCCTCTGGTCAAAGGAAACATAACCATTTGGGTTGAAACCTCCGAGGACAACCACGTCTTCCAAGGCGATTGTCTCACGAGGACTTTGAGTGTCTTTCACGGGTTAGTAATAGTTCCGATGGGATGACTGAGGGTATACGTCTATTTCTTCCACTGTACTAGTACATAGGGAAATCACTGGTCGCGTTGTGAAAGATATTGGCACGCTTGGCAGAGCTACCGTGCTCTGAGCTCTTTTATAATAGCTACCGTCGGGACTCTTGGGAAGGAAGATATTTCTGCATCGAGCTCGATGCCCGAATGACTGGGATCCTAGACGTCGTCTTCCGTGCATGCTTCGATCATTTTTTTCAGGGTGAGAAGCCGGTCTACCCTCCGTGAGAGTCCTGAAGGCCTGACATATGGACAAGCACTTTTGCCAATGACTAATCCAGTTTTGCCAAAGCTATATCGGTGACCTTTGGGTCTGCTACTTGCCACTCAACTCCCAGCTTTGACAGTCCATCGACACCAGACACTGCAATTGCATTGGCTTTTTCCGGCGCACGTCGCCTGGGGCGCCGGTACATCTGTCCTGCCATCCAACCCCAGAGAAGAACCGCCTATATCTGAACTAGGCCTCGATTCAATTTTATCCACGTCTCCGCTGTGGGAATCCCAAGCCCTCGTCCTGAAAAGATCGTGGCCAATTAAGGCTTTACTATTAGACCAATCCTTCAATGCAGGCCCGTCGGGAAACTACCTTGGCTAGTGAGGGATCTTACTGTCTTAATGTTTCAGCCAATGGAATCTGTCATAATTATATCAAGCAAGGGTCCATCCTGTACAATCATGATGGTGAGGCACTCTGCAACAAGCTCAGGTCCAAACTTTGGCTGATGTTTATCGAATAGCTATACAAATCGACAAATACCCCATTGGATATTCAAATATCGCCCCACCTCCGTCAGATGATTTACTGATCACCAAAGCCTCAAAAAGGGGAAAGGTAAGAAAGCGAAGCAATATATGATGCTGGTATCTTTGTTTCCTCGGCTCTGCTTGCACAATCAGGCGTTTTGAGCCTTCGGGGGGAATCTGCAACTGTCAAGTGGATCACTATTGGCTGTCACCTCTGCTTTTGTGGCCGAAGTCTAATGCGTTTATAAGCAAAGAGCAGCGATGGCCGAGGTATATTTTCAGTTCTCCAACTTCATACTACGCTCACTCCCTTGAAACTTCGCAGACCACCAGCAGCGCAAACAAATTTTTGACACTCAATTGCATTGTCTATAGTGTTGAAGCACCAATAACCGCCGGGTTCAGGTACTATTGCGCCCATCAGTCATGCTTCTGTCTCCAAGTCCTATTTACGGTCTTTTCCTCACTACTATGGCGACCTTTGCTTCATTTCGCGGTGTTGTTGAGCCTTCAAATCGAAGCAGTCATCAAACTGACAAAAATATTTTTTGGTGTTACGATGGATTCATCGGATATTTGTGTAAATGGACAACTATTAATGGTCCTATCGATATCATCGACCTTCTCTTCGCCTTCGTATTTTTGCTCATGCATCTATCTATATATAACCTCTTCTCGACGACACTTGCGTCTTTTCAACATAGCAGGTACCGGTAATGTCTCGCCCAGTACCTAAAGGATTCCTCCGCGTTTCACCGTGGCCCGCTACTACTAATCACATCATCGTCCAGGGCACCATGCATAGCCGCATCACTGCGTAGTAAATGTGAAAGACATCGCTTTTGTGTTCCATCCAAACCGTTCGTCGTGGATGGTGGTGACTCGAGGATGGTTTCCTCTGCGACCCGCGCGCGTATGTAACTACATTTAATGGTTGTCAAGGATTGTTGCTAGCATGGACCGTGCTCTACTTTCCAACGGATCTCTTTCCTTACGGCCAATTGCACACAGCGTCGTCAAGGACGAGGAGATGCAATGTATCTATTTGCAGAGACGAAACCAAGGATGAGATTATACTAATATCATATCTCCTGCGTTGCTGCTGTAAACATAATATATTGTCCAATGGCCGACCGAAGGGGTGTTCACAGGTTAAATGATTTAAAATTCAAGACCATCAAAAGAAAGAGCACAGATTCAGGAGAGCTCGAGAAGCGCCCTCGCCTCAAAAGGCACTGATGTACACCTTCAGCTACAGTTTCACCCCATGTGTTCATAAACTCAATTGTCATCCTCTATTGTTTTGGATTACACAATACTCTTTCTCTCGCTTTGTGTGAAATGAGCTGCTGCATCGGGTCTCATGGCACCATACAGAAGTCTGTTGTGCCAGTAGTAGAAAGCACGTGCGCGGCAGGGTACTATAATCCCTGGGGAGCCGCTGAAGATTTGAAATGGTGACACTAACAACATTTCGTCGCTGATTACGGACAAATATCGATGGGCCCATCTACCCTTACGCAGCTGAGGTACCTATGATGATTTGAATGAGTGTCGGTCCGACTCCACGAAACACGTCATAGACATTCAGATGATCTACGCTGCTGGCAAGAAAAAGTTATTGGTCTAGTAACTCCAGTGTGAACCCGGTTGGCCGCAGGAGCTGATGGATATACGTGTCACGACTCGCAACTCAAATCAAACATGATGCATGACTGATGTCATCAACAAGTGGCATAGCAGATATCAACGCTCTTTTGCTCCTGCTCCTGAAATGTCAACGCTTCACTCGAACGCTCAAGCTCAAGTTTTGTTGAAACGTATAATCGATCTGCAGTACTTGCAACCTGAACGACATACTGAGAACTTACATCGAACTTGGATTTCATCAGGAGACAGAAAGCATGACGATGAATTCGGCGACCCACTAAAATAACATTACATATGCTCAAACAAGCGAGGAGTGTTTGGGAGGAAGACTACGAGAAAACAACAAATTCGAAAAGAGGTGTAAATGAAATTAAGATGTCACTAGATGAGAGACGAGAACATAAGTTCGAGGTCAAAGACACAACAGCAGACACTTACTGTAAGTAGCGGGATCAATGTGGTCGGGAAGCTCAGGTACAGCGACCTCAAATCGTTGTTGGATTGCAGACATGACTTGTTGGTCCGCCTCACTCGATTGGAACGTGATCGCTAGACCCTTCGTTCCGAAACGACCTGCACGACCGACGCGGTGAAGGTAACTGTCCGCATCTGGTGGACAGTCGTAGTTGATCACGATATTGACCCGTTCAACATCAATGCCGCGACCGAAAATGTCGGTTGCGACAAGGATGCGCTTTTCAAAGGCCTTGAACGCAGTGTACCGATTTATACTATTGGGCACTTAGTAAGAGTATTCAAGAGATCCACTGATGGTTGTTACTCACCGTTCCTCTTGAGCCAAGCCTGAATGGATGCTGATACTAGGGAAATTACAAGAGACTAAAAGCTTGTCCAGCTCCACAGCTCTTGCGACCGATTTGACAAAGATCACGACCTGGTAAATCATAAATAAATGTCTTGAGAACAAGGTGATGTGGTACCTGGTTGAATTCTAGGGTGTCTAGTAGCTCGTTCAACTTCCTGTTCTTCGCGTTCTCGTCGAGCTTCACGTAGTGTTGCTGTAAACCGTGTAGTGTCAACTTCGCCTCGTCATCAACAAAGATCTCCAAAGGCTGCAGCAACCGTATCAGCAGGATATCCATAAGCAAAAGTGCATCACATACATTTGCCATGAATTTCTTGCACGTGGCCCTAATTTCTTTCGCTAGCGTGGCGCTGAACATCATCACCTGCTTGTGGTGAGGTGTTGCACGGAAGATTTCTTGGACGTCTCGGCGCATGTCTGCGAATCAAACAAAAGAACAACGAGGAGATGCGGTTAGACTATTGTCGACATTTCGAGAGGGGAATGGACTCAAAAACCGTCAGAAGACGATATGACAAGTGTGGGGGATGTGCAGAAGAGATACGATGATATATCTTATGTATATAATCTCATCAACCCAACAAAGTTCCCAAGACCCTGCATCTACAGCGCGTTTCAGGGCGCACAAGGCGCCTGCGCCCTCGGCGGAGGGAGGGGACGTTGACGAGACAAGTGCCTCTTGCGGCGGCGGCAACCGGTACCAAGATACCGCACAATCGTAGCCGAAATCGAATCGCAGGATGAGACTAACCGAGCTGTTCTAGCATTTTATCGCACTCATCCAAAATAAAGTGCTTGACATTCTTTGCGTCCAAAACTTTGTCTCTTGTCAGGGCATTGAGTCGTCCGGGAGTAGCCACGACGATGTGGGGACAGCGCGTCTTGTCACGAAGAGTCTCCGCATCCTTTTGAACGGGGGTGCCGCCGTAGAACGTGCCAACCCGCACGTCTGGCATATACTTAGCGAAACGTGTGTACTCATTCTTTATCTGGAAAGCGAGCTCGCGGGTGTGACAGAGGACAATGACGGAAACTTCTCCATTGACTGGCTCCAGTTGCTGCAAAGTCGCGAGCACGAAGACTGCCGTCTTACCATGCCCAGACTTTGCTTGGCAAAGGACATCCATTCCCAGAACAGCCTGAGGAATGCATTCTTGTTGAACTGTTGAACGAGTGCCGTGAGTTGAGAATAACATTTTAACCATAACCGAAACATACCTTCTGAGGGGTGCTCAAAACCTAAATCACTGATGGCTCTCAGAAGCTCAGGTTTTAACAAGAAGTCTCTGTAAAAATAAAAATAAAAAAGGAGACAAATTGTCAAACGGTCGTTGTTTGTAACAATATAGAGGCAAAACCAACCTGAAGCCCGTCGAATGTATTCCAGAGAAGTTCTTCTTGTCTTTGTAGACCTCACCATCCACTGCTGACGCCGCCGTCCCATTGGCAGGAGCTGCGGAAGCTGTGCCGTTGGGGATAACGTCGTGCTCATCCTCGTAGTCGATAAGTTCTTCGTTGTCGTGGGAGCTCATTGTGCTGCAGAAAGAGAGTAGGTTGACGAAGGGGTTGTCGACAGAAAAGGAGAAAAAATAAGCAAGAAGAGGAGAAGGTTGAGATTAAAGAGCAACACAAAAATGCGTGCGCTGTTCAAAACGCGGCGCGCTTACTAAGTTGGAATCACGTGCGCACGGACCCTGCCTTAGTCCATTAGTGCCTACTGGTTGGCGAGCAACTTGAAGTAGTAGTAGAACTTGAAGTCATCGGACATGCACAGTGAATATTTGTGTCACTGCCGCATATTTTTAATCATTAAGGAATTGGCAGGTCAGGCTGCCCATCATTGCAATTGCAATAATAGTAACCCAATAGTATGACATGCAAACCTGCAGTGAGGTATTTCTCTACAAATACTACCTGGAGGGAAGCATATGCATCAGTGCCTACAGTTTAAATCTGTCTGACAGAAGATCCCATCGATATCGCATTGTATCCCAGATATTTCGCTTAGCCCTCCGAGTCAACTTTTGGCACTGGGAGCGTGACTAAACCGCCCCTTGCCCGGTCTTATCAATTGTCGAGGAGAGACATGCAGGTGTTCCAGTCTAATATATGGTCCGGCTAGTGCAGACCAAACGCAGACGATACGTGTAACAGATCGAGCGGCCTCCCGCATCCCGACACTTCTGATTTTTCTTTATTTGTCTGTGTATTTGATAAATTTGTAGCCTATACAACCCTAAATTTTCAGCATACCACGATATCACACGGCGCACATATGTCTCGGTTTTAATCGGTACAGCACTGACACAGGCGGGTACGCGTTTATAAGGGGAGGCGGGTGTCATGTATCTGAAGCAACGAAATAAGATGCCCAACTATCCGTTTTGGTGAGTCTCATGGCAGTTGAATAAATCCCCCCTCCACAATGTACTAAAGTACTCTGATTTCAAAGGCTCGGAGGTAAGATAAGTTATTACTCGTATTATCACGCACTGCTCATCATCATGACCAGGCGTCGCGGCATCCAGTAAGCAACTGTGTACATCTTCAATACTGAAATTGACGTCTTGCAGTGGCCGCATGCTTTACACATCCCCTTGACCTGGCCAAAGTGTAAGCGTGGTTCATGCAACCCTCGTGATGGGCTTGCTCATACTCGCTCAACAGGCGCATGCAGAGTCTTGGTCCTACTGTACCAAGTCCATCTATGCTCAAAATTCTGCGCCACTCGATATCCAACTATGGACTTCGTAGTGTTTATACCGGTCTCTCCGCCTCGCTTATGCGTCAAATGACCTACTCGCTCGTGCGTTTAGGCAGCTATGAAGAAATGAAAAGATTCATATCTGAGAATGGTCATCCCCCATCTACTGGGAAGCTTCTTCTGGCCGCTGGCGTGGCTGGTGGTTTAGGAGGAATAGCAGGAAATCCAGCAGGTCCGTCCATGTCAGGCTGTGATATCACTGTTATGCATAATAAATAAATTGTTTGCAGATGTTCTACTGGTTCGGATGACCAGTGACTCCATTCGTCCGCCAGAGAAGCGCTATAATTACCGTAACGCTATCACTGGACTTATCTCTTTGGTAAAAGAGGATGGCCAGAAGGGTCTTGCACGCGGCCTCGGGACAAATACAGTTTGTGCATTTGATATCACACCTAGCTTTCACTGACTATGAGCACCTCAAAGACCCGAGCAGTCTTGATGAATGTAAATTAATTTGCTATTTTCCATCAGTGTAATGCTCACACGACATACTATACAGACATCACAGGTTGGATCGTGAGTATGGCGTTGTTATCTCTTTGCCGTTTCAGTTTATCAGGTCTCGACAGCTATGACTTTTTCAAAACCACTCTCTTGCAATACCCTATACCCTTGGTCAACTATCAATTCCATGATGGCTTCTTCTTGCATGTAGTTGCAAGTCTTGCAGCCGGAACATGCGGCACGAGTTAGTTTATCCATTCCTATGAAGTTACCAGAATGCCACTGACTGTTGCACGATTCAAGCCGTGTGCTCTCCTGCTGATGTCATAAGAACAAGGATCATGGGCTCTGTACGTACTTCTTCAGATATCGAATGCCCGTGATGGAGTTTGACAGTCGCTTCCAGTCTGGAAATGCTAGTCCAATAGAGGTCCTAGTCCGTTCCCTGCGCGAGGAAGGTCCCGCATTCATGTTCAAAGGCTGGACGCCCGCTTGGATGCGTCTTGGTCCCAACACCGTCCTGATGTTCGTCTTTTTCGAGGTAAGTTCAGAAAACTTATCCCATGGCTGCACATCGACATATTCGTTCCCAACAGCAACTGAAACGTGGCTGGTCCTCCTTGGTCCCCTCATAATCTATATTCAATTCTGCTGCACATCGTCGGGCACACAATACCTCATGTCTTCAAGTTGTCGGATTGACGCTTGGACATTCACATGAATGCCATTAAGACGCTATATGATATATCCTAGACATATAACCTTGGATTCATATCACTTTCACACTCTATTCACTGATAAGTATATCATCTACTGAGGTGGATGCTTACTCGAACTCACAATAGCTAACCTGGCGGAAAGGTAGAATAGCTACATACTTGGGACAAGCTTAGGATTTGCGAATTTTCTCAACCAACAGCTACTTATTATAGTACTTGTCGCGCACGCAATTAAGAGACCTATGTATTAATTCTTTGCAGCGCCGTTATTTCGCGGTTAGCGTCCAGATTGCTCCAAGTTCATAAGTTCCAATCAAATCGGGAAGTGTGGTCTATTACTGTCACCCACGTGACTACTAACCATCTCGGCGTCCGGTCGTACTCTTCCACTAATTCAGCAGGTCCTCATCGACCGTTCGCTAGCTGCGCGCTACAGACATTATGGAAGCATTTCAGCTTCTTTCTCGAGGAGGTGCACGATTTAACAAACAAAGATTCAAGTCTGATGTCCAAATATTCAATGTAAGAAAATGTATCCGTCAGCTGTTTTGGTGGCTCATGTCTTTTCAGAAGGCTGCACCACCAAAAGATGTCAAAGGAAAGGGGGTCCTGACGCAGTTACCTCCAGAACTAGACTTTTTTAAATATGCCAAAGCTTCTTCCGGGAAGCGGAAAGCTGAGGACAAAGAGGGGGGTGTTCATGCCGAAGGCAAGCATGAAAAGGTGGAACGCAAGCGTCGGAAGATAGAGGACGAATCAGCGGACTCCGACGATAATCACATTGGCACAGAGGAAGAGGCACCGACCATGCAGAAACACCGCGTGACTGCCAAAGGATCAGATGTGCCTAAACCAATCGCGTCCTTCGAGGACCTGCGCGAACGATATAACGTCCCTCCACGTCTACTATCAAATCTTTCTGAAAACAGTTACAAACATCCTACTGGAATCCAGGCTCATGGAATTCCAATTCTACTCGAGGTGAGCCCGCCAAACGTTCTTTCTTATCGTTCTGAGGATGCTGATGACTCTTACTACAGCACCGTGACCTCGCTGCCATCTCGCCGACTGGTACGGGTAAAACTCTAGCATATCTGACGCCCATCATATCCGCCCTGGGTTCCCCGATATCTAGTATGAAGAACGACGGAGGTCGTGGGGTTAGAGCTGTGATTCTTGCACCGACTCGGGAATTAGCACACCAGATACACAATGAGTGCCTGAAACTCGCCGCTGGGCGTAAATGGCGCACGGTCCTGTTTAGCAAAGCTACAGCTAGTACCCTGAGCGACAAGAACGTGAGAGACAAAGTAGGTACGCTACATCCACACGTCACACACACTCTATCCAGACTAATGCTACACAGACATCATCATCAGCACGCCCCTTCGGCTAGTGGTCTCCATTCAGGAAGGAAACCTGGAATTGAATAAGTACGTCATGACCCGCTTGTCTTACTGTGCACGTGGCTGACTCTTATCACCAGCGTGCAGCATCTTGTATTAGATGAAGCCGACCGAATGCTTGACCCTGAATTCTTGTCTCAAGTTCAAGAAGTTATCGCAGCATGTACTCATCCGAACATACAAAAAGCGGTCTTTTCCGCTACTTTACCTGCTGGCTCAGAGAAACTTGCGATGGGTGTCCTCAGGAACCCTATACGAATTATTGTTGGTCTTAAGTACTGACCGATCACCCAATATTTGTGTACAGCCGCTAACTTCCTTCTTTAGAGACACACCGCTCCCTTTGATCGCACAAACTCTTACATATGTGGCCGATGATGCCTCTAAGCTCCCAAGTTTGTTAACGTATCTTTCTCAACCATACAATCCACCTCTCCTCATCTTCACATCTACTCAACCAAGAACAACGTCGCTTGCAGAAGAGTTGATAATGAACGGCATTTCAAATGTGGATTGTCTTCACGCCGGGATGACAAAAAAACAGCGTGATGACGCGGTGAGCAGGATGCGCCGTGGCGAAAGCTGGGTCATGGTGACCACAGAAGTCATGGCTCGTGGCATGGACTTCAAAGGCATCCGGGAGGTGATCAATTACGATTTTCCAACCAGTGTCCAGAGTTACGTCCATCGAATAGGTACGCCCCCCTTTTGTGATCAACTTGTCTCGGAACTTAATCTTCGTAGGCCGTACAGGTCGCGCCGGGCGGGAAGGGAAAGCCGTGACTTATTTCACAGATGAAGATGGACCCTTCTTGAAAGCGTACGTGAAACTCGGCCATCTTGACCGACATCTAACTGATGTCCCCTTACCTAGCATTGCCAACGTGCTGTTACAGTCCGGCTCTTCTGTCCCAGAATGGATTCTTAAACTTCCGAAACCGTCAAAAATGAAGCGAAGACAGATGGGCAAGGTGAAGCGAGCAAATACCGTGAACGCGGCCCGCAAAATAGGTCGCAATGATGCAATTAAGAAGAGGTTGGTTCATTTAAAGCTTCGGGCACTACTTCTAGCTCATGTCGATGTAAAGGGACATGATTGCGGGCTCGAAGAGGCGGAAGGAGAAAGAGCTTCGTGAGACCGATAAAAACAACGGCGTCGGGGAAGGGGATAGATCAGATAAATGATTCTTCTTTGGAAAATTTAAAAAGCACGTCGTTTTTACTGTCAGTGTTAGAAGGCTTCGAGTATTGATGAAAATGTCATGACGGCATTAGCAGCACTAGTGTTCTGAGATTCTTTAAGCTCTTGGAAGCTTGAAAATGCTATGTATTTCCTTGCAAGGAACTATCCCTGGTCAAGATAACGACTTATTCGATCGGAACGTACATAATGATAATCGATGGTGAGCTGACGAAGTCTGACGATGAGCAAATCCTTTAATGTGATAATGTGAAAGGTGAAGGGAGGGCGAGGGTGATGATGATGTGAAGATGTGACAAAGATGCGATCTATCATGGATTTCGGAGCCCTGAAGGTTTGCTTCCGAAGCGCATTGTGTCAAGGTAAAACGCCGTGCCGCTGGGATGAAGTCTCTCCACGAGGCTATTCCTGGGAATCTTTGTATAGGTGAGTCCCACTCAAATCAGGCTACAAAGTGAGTTCAAGCCTCAAGGTCGCTGTTTTCGGCTGACTTTGGGGCAGGAATTCCAGTGCCGCACGTTTTGCAGCACGTTTCACTGGTAGGTCGTAGACTTCGATACTGCCCTGCATTGAAGCCTATTGATTCTTGAAGCTTATTCGTATCTTGATTCCGCTCCTTTCACAGAACAACGGTCGCAAGGCGGAAATCTAGTAGACTCGACGGATATGGAAGGGCTCAAGGGCCTTGTGACCTCAAGGCAGCCTCGAGGTGACGGGGCAGAATGGTCGTACTAGCTCTCCCCCATACAAGGCTTTTGGCCTTAACACTCTTAAGCGCTCCATTATGTGGGTGAACCGGGATCCTTAATCGACTGTGATCTTCCTCTACGCCTCTGCGCCTCTCCCTCAGCTTTATCTCTGATACTACATATATCTTCAAAAAGCCTTGTTATCATGCCCAACGTTCGCAACGTCGTTCGTCGATCTCGTCGATTATCACATCAGTCACCGATTGCAGGTACGACGATCATTTCCTTGTTTGACCTTATGGGTCCACACGTTTTCGAATGATCGCTAAATTTTTCCGCAGCTGAAGATTATGTTTATGAAGAGCCATACTTCGCTCGCTCGGGCTATTCAAGCGTTAGGACCGTTGGCATCCCTTCCATTCATACCACTCCCCCATCTCCTGTTGGAACTACGATCTCTTCTCCCCAGATCTCTTCGTCGCTATCCCCTGTCCTATCCCACTTGTTATCGTTCCCCAATCGTTCATCGCACTCCCGTAAAAAAGAAGAAGGTCACATACCCCGCCCTCCCAACGCCTTCATCGTCTTCCGCTCTTGCCTCTGGAGTAATGAGGATTTCAGAAGCCTAGAATCTGATCATCGCAACGTTTCACGCATAGCCGGCGAGAGATGGCGTAACTTGTCTGACGACGAGAAGGAACCTTTTGTGCAGATGGCGAAAGAAGCCAAGGCACTGCACGCGAAGATGTATCCCAACTACAAATACTCTCCCTCTCATCGCACCAACGCGGGACCGAAGCGAAAGGGGAGACGCAACAGCGATGAGGAGAGAACCAAGTGCGACATGATCGCTACCCTCCTGCAGAAAGGAGTCGAGGGCTCTGCATTGGCGCACGCGATGGCACACGTCAAATCTGAAGATGAAGACGAGATCGTACCGACACCCATCATCCCTCCAAAAGCACCCATAGTCGCCCCCAGGGCTCTGCCTCCTGTCCAATTGCGCGAACATCGCAGAAAGAAGGTCGCTGCTCGTCCTCGAGTCTCGCGCTCAACCATCACTCAACATCGCACCGCAGGCCCTGACCTTGCCGCCACGAGTGCTTGTTCGTTCCCACTTAGTTCTACTTCCCGGGAGGCCGCACCTACTTCGGAGCAATTCAGCGGTACCCCTGAACTACTGTATCCAAGCGACATGTTGGACGAATTCGTTCCTACTGATGAAATACCGCCTCTAAGTCTCGATGCTCTATATGATATGAAGGTGTGCTATTTCCCATACACCATCGATTTAACGTCACTCATCATTGGTCGGGAAGGTTGCAGAACAGGAAACATCTGACATCTTCTACTCAGGCACCAAGCCAGCTGCAGGGCTTCCTTACTTCGGTGCTGAGCTCGAGGTCATGCCTTTCAATGACTACTTCCTTGACGCCGCCCTGCAGCTGCCCCCGACTCCTCCCCTTATCGAAAACAACGACTCTCCCCTGTCGAGTGACTACGCGTCTCCTCTTTTGACACCTCCTCGGTCTCCAATTGTCTTCACCAACCCTTGGACTGCTTTCCTCACGCCTTGTTCACCGGATAACGAGCTCGATGAGTTCTTCGTCCCGTCGATGGACTCCATGCCATCTTTTTTCCCGTCCCCACACAGCCCTTCCAAGGACGACGACATAGCCAGCTTCACGCCTGAAAAATTTGACTCTATTACCAAAGACATGCAACCCGAGGTCAACCTCGATGACTGGATCCACTTCAACTAAAAACCGCAGATACACTCGCTCTATGCTCATACACTTGCATCATTCAAGGAATATACCACTCACGCTCACGTCATTGACGATCTCTTTTCCACTTTACCCCCATCTCACATTTCTGCATACCCAGCAAGCACGGATTTCCAACACAACCCTTGTCGTGTACCATGTAAATTCCTCTGTATTCTTAGAAAACCCTGTTGTTACAACTAGCACATGTATGCCATTAGATGTCCATATATACCATCCGATTAGTACATATTTGAATCGCTCATCGTTTGACTTTCTTTGAAGACGCCACTTTACCTGGATTCGCTCTCTTGTTGCCCATGGTTGCAGCCTTTAGCTCTTCCAGGTCAATGCGTCCTGCACTTTTGTCTTCCTTCAACCATGCAAGGCAGTCATCTTGAGTACCTTCGGGATGTCCGAGCTGCCATTCAAGCACCCTGTTGACCATTGCCTTCATCCACGGACCAGGCTTTTCATCCATGGCGTGGGCAATTGCTTGGCCCTGTGATAATTCAACCCCAAGCCAAGCGTAGTAAAATCAAAAATTCTCACATCTAGTATCGGCTTAGCATCCACTGCTTTGTCCAACCCAAGCTCTTCGACCCGGCGCGTCAATGCGTTGTAACGCTGGACGCACTCTGCTGCTTCTTCACGGCCAGACGCTGAGACAAGCTCGCACACGAGAGAGAACACAAGGGAGCTAGCCCACTGAGAACCTGTGTTTATATTATGGACACTTTCTTGCCGTAGCAAAAGTCCTGGACGAAAGACAGACACCCATCATCAATCAAATAGATCGTACGATTATCAAGCATACCTATAGCACCTCTTTCCGAAGGCAGTTTTAGCCTGTCCTGTCCCAGTGAAACACCATTCAAGAGGTCGGAAGCGGAATACAGGGCAGGTATGCCATCCAGATAATGATTTTGTCTACCCAGTTTTAGCCCATCCTGGATTGCGCACTTGACGAGAGTTTGTTCCTTGCCTTTTGAATCCGGGTACGTGATTCCATGATACGAATAGAGACTGGCTGCAAGGAACAGGCGTGCCTTGCACCCGGGCTCTTGCAGAACGTAGGACCGGAGAGTGGGATGCAAAGACATCGAATCCTCGCTGGTGGACGAAAGGAGGCCATTCAAAATAGTAGCGGCACGCAAAGAAAGCTCGTGTGGTTTCGGAGTAGACGAGGCGATGTTGGTGATTTGTGGTGGGACGTGATATATACTTTTGTAGAGTTTGAGATCATTAATAATACGTATCGAGCGGAGAGGATCCTGCCCTGAACGTTACGAGAAATCTGTCAGAGATTCTTTCTCGCGGGATAGTTCACACTGACCTTTCATCATTTTATCAATTTCCTCCCCCACTCGTTCTCGGCTGATTTTTTGTGCAAGGCTATCTTGAATTATCTCAAGCTGGGCAGCTTGCTGCAGATCAGACTCTATTTCAAAACCGAAACGGCTTGCGAAGCGAACGCATCGTATCACGCGCAGGGGATCGTCCAGGAAAGTTTCACGTGGCGGCAATGGGGTCCGAATGATACCATTTTGTAGATCATCGAGACCCTATCCATATTGTGTCAGTACCATCAATGTCAGTGATATCTGTTTCATGAATTCACCTTTTCAGTGAAATCCTCAACTGAACGAGTATGAACGTTATAGAACAGTGCGTTAATAGTAAGGTCCCTCCGTAGAGCATCTTCCAGTGGTGTACCAAATTTCTGTATACGATCTGGTCAAGTACTGCATGTTCTTCAAAGAGACCTTGGACACACAATTTCAGTTGGTATGCGACTGTCTTCTGCATACTCCTCGCTTCTTAGATTTACGAAATCGAGGTCTATGTCAAAGAGAGTAGTCCGCGCAGTTTCCAAGTGTTTGGATTGATCAGGATTGCTCTCAATTTTCGAGATTTTGTGCACATGAAGATCTTTCTGCTCAGACAGAAACGCTATGAAACCTTCAGCAAAAGTCACACCCATCATATCGGCGAGACAGATGTCCATATCATTGCTCTGCATGCCCAGTAACTGTAACACATGAATGAAATAACATGAGAGCTTGCCCCAAACGATGACAGAGGCCGGATTGACCTTGTCCCTAACCCATCCCCCGTTGATCCTGCACGCTGTTATGATATTTTTGTCCTCCTGGAGATGGCGCGTAAATTCGTCAAGTAAAGTGCACAGATGATCCTCGGCGTCGGTCAGTTGGATCACTTTCCTGACAGCAGGCGCGATACGAGTTGTCATGTTTCTGCAGTGGATATGGCCCGATAAACGTCGCGAACGGTGATATCTGGTGAAAGAAGCAAGTTCTAGGATATTACAAGTGACTCGACGAAGCATGCAGCTGAGTCTTGCCGTCGATTGCCCGTTTCAATCGGAACAAGTAACACAGTTGAAGCGGAGATGAAACACCTTCCGTATGGGGCGGCGCTGGCATCCGGTGCCGGCGCTCCACCGACCATCGTCCATTTCGAGCCCTGTGCAGCACGACAACCTCCTCCCATTCCTCGCACATAACTTTCTTGTTAAATTTCATAAATGGGTCGTGTATTGCTCAAGGTCCGTTTTCTATACTGCTTGTGCAAATCTGTCTTATTACTGTGTAGCTGACTCGTTTGGTTAGGTTATTATCTTAGGCGACAGTGGGTACGTGCTGCAAAGTGTTTAGCCTTGACCCATAGAATTGAAACTTATCATTCTGTTCTCGTTTGTGTAGTGTCGGAAAGACGTCACTCATGAACCAATATGTGAACAAGCGGTTCAGCAACCAGTACAAGGCCACCATTGGTGCCGACTTGTAAGTGCCCTTTCACGTTCGTGGCTCCGTTCGAGGCTGAGACTCACCCATTCTCAGCCTTACAAAAGAAGTTATGGTGGATGACCGTCTTGTCACAATGCAGGTACGTATTATAGTAGGGTAAATGCGTCATCCCCTACTGATTAGGATACTCAGCTCTGGGATACCGCCGGACAGGAGCGCTTCCAATCTCTAGGTGTGGCCTACTACCGCGGTGCAGACTGCTGTGTGCTTGTATATGACGTGAACAGCGCTAAGTCGTTCGAGACGCTCGACAGCTGGCGTGATGAGTTCCTTATCCAGGCGAGCCCGCACGACCCGGAGAATTTTCCCTTTGTCGTGTTGGGGAATAAGATCGATGTGGAGGAGAACAAGCGACAGGTCCGTCGAAGGCAGCGTCATAACATATGTTTCCTTCGCTCACGTGCTTTCTAGGTAACGCAGAAGCGTGCTATGACGTGGTGTCAATCAAAGGGCAATATCCCTTACTTCGAGACTTCTGCTAAGGAGGCTATCAATGTGGAGCAGGCATTCCAGACCGTCTCGAAGAATGCGCTGCAACAAGAAGCAGAAGAACAACTGTACGTTTGTTCAATCATGCTTGGCCATCTTGCTTACAACAAGTGATAGGTATGTTGATTACCCGGATCCAATCCAGATTGACCGGGAGAGCACACAAAACTATGGGTGCAACTGTTAATGGATAATCTATGGACTGGGATTTTCTTCTGTTGGTCATGCTGTCTACGGCATATTTGCCGTTTGTTACCCCTTGCAATTACGTCGAGTAATACTTGTTCTCTATCGCGTACATCATGAACGCTGTTGATCTCATCTATTCACGACGCAGGCTATGGCGGATGTAATGGGCACAAGTGAGATAAAACCAAAGTGAAGATGCGGCATTGAAGGTTGGTACAAGTACAAGACACATTCTTTCCGCAATTCCTTCCTTCCTTCCAAAAACTTATAGCTTGAACTCCGACCTCTGATACTTGACCTTGGCTGAGGCAGCATTGTCAACATACCAATACACCTGGCCTGGGTGCGATGGTCTGACGCGAGAAGCAGGCAAGCCCGCTTCTGGGTTATCAATTATAGTGCTGAGAACATCAGCTTTTCCCTCGCCCGCTGCAACGAACACGACGCGTAGAGCATGGTTAAGAACCGGGAATGTCAAGGTGATGCGTTTTGGTGGAGGCTTCGGTGAGTCCTCGATGTACGCGACCCACCTGTCCTCTTCCGTCAACAGAGGATGTTCCGGGAAGAGGGAGCAGGTGTGTCCGTCTGGACCGATGCCGAGAAGGATGAGGTCGAAGACGGGAAAACGAGCAGAGTCTTTTTGAGCGAACTCGTTAATAAGCGCTTTCTCGTACGCGTCTGCGAGCTCTTCGAGATCGTCCAAGAGGGCGACATCCAGGTGGTGAATGTTTTTGGGTGGTATGGGTACTTTGCTGAATAGCTCTTTCCGGCAAAGATTGTAGTTAGAGTCTTCGTGATCCAGCGGAACGCAGCGCTCATCGGCGAAGAAGACCTGCCTTTAGTATCTCTGAGAAGGATGTTTATTGCGATCTTTGAATCGATCCTCACCATTTGTCCCATTTCACAGCTGGGTTATCAATGAGCTTATTCAGCTGCTTTGGCAGGGAGCCGCCTGAGAGAGCAACAGTGAACCTGCCCTTTTTATCGATAGCTTCTTTCTGTGCTTTAGCGATGAAGGCTGCGAGCTTCTCGCTCAACTCATTCGGGGACTCAAACGAATAGAGAACGGGAGGGCTTGGAGGTTGGTGAATGGAAGACATGATTAGGGGGACAAACGCTGGGAATACGCTGATTTCTTCCTTGACCATATATACCGTACCGTGTGACGTCAATAAATATAGACAAATACGCGATGTGGTTCCGAATCGGAAACTCAGGAAAATCGCACAGAAATTGTGACATCGCTATAGAGTCATCGCCGACGTTGAAGTTCGACTTAGCCTTGGCGCCCAGTCCTGAATTCCGTCGTCATCTAACCTTTCTGCTACATCCACGTCGGCATTCCCAGCACTCCCTTCAACTCCCATCTCTGGGAAAATGGACAATAATAACGCGTCCATGATAAAGACTGCAAGGTGTGCATTACACGCAGCGTCGCCAAGGGGCCTGATCATTTCCTCAACAGTGCGTTCTGGCGATGATCCAAGAAGGACAGGAGCCAGAAATGCTGGCACCTGTTCGCGCAGTCGCCGAACCAGCTGCTGGTGAATAATAATTTGTTCTTCTGGAGTGGGATCGATCGGAGGCGGGCCTGGGTATCCATTTGGGAATAAAGTATGCTTGGACAGTCGTAGTACAAATAATATAGAAGACGCGCACAGAATCCGAGTATACAGTAAGTGGGTTAAAAGTCTCGAGGAACAAGAATTAGAAAGCGCGTCGTTAGAGATAGTAACTGCCTTACCGGTCCATGAGTGGAGTCGTGGCCGCACAGATCATACACAACGTATGCATTGCTGCGCTTGTAGCAAAGCGCTCGTGCATTGTAAACAGCTCGGATATCATCGTGAGAGGCTCTCGAGCATAGTGACTGGATGAACGCTGAGGGTTGGGTTGAGGAATATCTGCATGCAGGGAAAGAGTAGACGATGCGGCTGAAGCATATGGTGACAAAGGTGGTGAGATTGATCTTGCATTTCTCATAGGCGATATAGGAGCTGGACGAGCTTTCCTCCATGGCTCACTTGCTCGTCGTTGATTAACTGTTGGGCGCGTGGAGTGATTAACGAGTTTGATGGTACTAAGCGTCTGCTTATATGTTTGAACAAGGGCTAGGCCTATCCCAGAGATGGACTGCACAGCAGAGAGGAAGAACACAAGGAGGGAATGAAAAGAAAAATGAGCGTGATGAGTATGTGACGGTGGCGATACGTTTGGAGGCTATAATGACATTTGTTCAGAGTTTGATACAACAACATATGAAGCAGCAAACCTTATCAGACTCTGCGTCAAGTGATGGACCGAGTAAGTCCAAGATTGTTCTCTGAATAAACCAAGGCTGGGTGACTCGCGAAATAACATCCTTGACTAGTACCTTGAGGATGATTTCACGCACAATGTATCGCTCAGCCTCTGGAGTATAATTTTGAGGAGGTAGACATGATCTAAGTACATGGTCGAATGCCTGGCGAAAGTATTCTTCGTCAATTTTACCCTCGGGAGAAATTGCCACGTGAGGCTGCAGTTGGTGAAAGAGGTGTGGAAGTGGAATAGCACCACCCATTGCATACGAAGTAGACGCCTTGGACGCGGCATGTCGGTAGTCACGATAGTGTTGCGTTATTAGAGCGGGGGCGACTGAAAACATGAATAATGAAAAGTCAGTGGATAGCAGGCGTGTTTCGAGTGTCCGAAGGACGGTCGTGAGGACAATCGTGATTTCTGGAAGTAATTCCTTGTCATAGCGAGTAATCTTGGTCCACCATGTATTGACGAAGGCGCGCAAAGCAAGCGCAAGAAAATCATAGGCCTCCGCGTTAAGTTCGGGTGAGCATGTTGGTGAAGCAAACAACGGCGGCAAGTCTGAGCCTGGTGACAAGTGCGGAAAGAGCAGGCGCTTAGCAAGTGTTGCTGGCTGCTGCTGCTGCTTTGTGGTGTTGGACGTGATACTGTTAGAATGCGTTGAACGAGTGCGGAGGTTGCCCGCCATAAGTTACAAGTGCGCAGCCGAAATTCTTATTGGTAAATCCATCATAATTACGTAAATGTTACCGCATCAATGAATTTCCCGTCCGTCCCTTGGACTCCTGTGGGATGCACGTTCACAAGTATCTCCTTCACCATCACCGACATCAAACAGGTAGACGGTTCAGTCCACTCGTGCTGTCCGTTTGACCTAGCATCCATCCGTGCGTTATAGATTCATATCCTTCTATTCCTATGAAGCTGACATACATACATGACAGCAGTGCCATCTACTAGTACCCACCCTGTCATTCGTTTATAATCCGACGCTCTTTACTGCCTTTCAACATGGAACAGAAATATGACTATAGTTCAGCACGTAGCACCTTCGCCATGAAGATATTTAGCGGCACCGATGTCAACCACACAACTACCGTCATTATCGTGGTTCTTTGTGTCGTCGCGGGCATGTTGACCTTGTTCGGTCTTTTTCGGTTCCTACGCCATCGATTGGCTCGACGTTCAACTCCCCTACCACCTGTGCAACCTATTGCTCACCATCGTAAGCAGCGGCTGACAGAGTTTGCTGAACGGCCCACCATGTCGTCAACATACTCCTTGTCCTCACGCCTTTCCCCGTCAATTGAATTATCGCCCGCCGCGAGCGATCCTTCCTTCACTTCAAAGTATGACCAGACTTTTCATTCGCAATCAAGTCTGTATCTTGCGGATAAAAGCTACGGCCAAGCCGCGCCGCCGTCTCCAGCGAATGACGAAGAAGTTCTACCAATGCCAAATCCCGCATTTAATCATGCCAGGCGTTTTAGTAGCAGCTCTTTGGGCTCTGCTTCTTCCACTCCCCCCTCAGCTTCTGTTTCATCACATTCGCCATCGCAGGCTACGCTTATCCATTCGTATTCTCGTCATATTGGTCCTGCGTTAGCAGCGTCCAGCACCTCCATCCGAAGTAGGAGTTCTGGAAGGAACACTATCGTAGGCGCTCCGCATGGACCCCTTAGCCAGGTCAGACTCGTACTACCTGCCCCTCTCGCTCCTTCTCTACATCCATATCTTTCTGGTTCAGACGCAAGTAGATTAGGCGTGAATGCTGAGACGTCAATGCGCCCAACCATGGTCGATATGTGGGCACCCCCGCTTCACAGGTCGGTGAGCTCTGAACATATCCGTAAGTTGCCACTATGCTTGTTTTCCGTGAGCTTATTGTGTGGTCAGGATCAAATTCGCCCGCAATCCCTGCTACATACCGGCACGGATCTTCACCCTCTAGACCTCGACAGAGGACCTCCTCCTGCCATACACCGTCTTTGTCATCTTATTCCTCTGCGGTTGGTTCCCCTCCTGTTCCCCCAATCCCTTCCCAGTATAGGCAACTGAATGGTGCATCTGACACCATCCAACATCAGCAAGACCTTTCTACGAGAAGCCCCATACTTGCACAATCCTCTTTCGAAGGGTCATATACCACACAGCACGAGGACCGAGAAGAGAATAGTCGCGAGTCCTCGACCGCATCCCGACCGAGTAATAGATGACAGGTTGCTGTGGTATTTTGACTCTGTGACGACCCTTGATGAGTTGATCGATATCATTATTATTTTTTATGTGTACGTGTTTCCGCACGCCAAGTCATCGCACTGCCGGATTCATTTGACGTGTACTTTTAAGACATCGCACTGCCAGATTCCTTTGACGTGTACTTTTAAATCACACGAGGAACTTGTCAGGACTACAGTCTACAGGAACTTTTTTACCCATTGTCAAATTGAGGGCCGAAATGCAGGCTTGATGGTTAGCTAGACCTGAAAGCACCGGCCCCGTTTCTTCTCCCGCATTTTGATCAGAATCAACATGCACGAGTTATGATGGACCACGGCGCTTCAAGATATTGAGCGCAGCGACTCGAATCATTGCACGAGATTGTGCATAGTTTGATGCCTTCCGTAATTCGTTTGTGACAGTGTCCCATGAGTTTTGTGTTATGGGCAGTCGATATTGATATATTAGACTAGGTGGTGGGCTCTGCAGTGGCACTGCAGCTAAGCGTTAGGGGACGATCTAGCAGTGCGGCGTTTAACCGTTTGACATATTTCCTCCGTTCCCACTTCGAGGCTCATATCTGCGCGTTCGTCTCACGATGTGGCGATTTATTACACTTTTCTGGGAGTGCGTCGAAGATGACATTTACAAAGTTGAATGCGAAAACTCTAATCACTTCTTATTGACGAGGAATCTTGCCAGGGCCAAGTCATCCACTACTTGCATTCAGGGTCGGTTCACGTCATGTTCCTGGGCAGACACAGGAGTTCATCGCAGGTAGCCATGATGAGCTGGACCTTAAGTCAGAGGCTCGCCACTTTGCAAACGTATATAAGACCCCTAGATGCCTTGACAGTGCCCGTTCCTTTTTACAGCAATCTGGTGAGAGGTTTTCTATATAATACTGGCGCCACTAATGGCTGTAGTCTGGTTTTTAGTACGCCAAAGACATTCATACGCTTTACATCTACCTTGCGTAGCTGATAACGAATGCGTTTTCACATAGTAAAGTCTCAGGAATGTAGGTGCAATGAGTTGCCTATGGTTCTCTGGTTTCTTACCCTTCCTTCTGCCTACTAGTATTTCTCCTACTACTGGCGCATTCTGTCAAAAAAGTCGCTGGACTCGACTGGACGCAGTGTTTGACCAACATCAAGGCGAATGCAAATGCCACCCAGAGTTTAGCTGGTCTCCTCAATAGTAACGGAGATCCTGTGTCGAATGTTGCTGATGCGACAACGATAAGCTACTCTCTGTGTACCTCCTCCTGCGAAACCTTGAAGGGGTGGGAATCCGGAAGTTTTGATGTGTCTATATTTGCACAAGATTTCAGCTCATGGCTACTGCCATACCTTGCGCTGATCTCGCAGCTCCCCTTTGGAGCACAGTATAGACTTGATAATCTCATGGCTGCTGTATTAACCGTCGGGTCACCGGCACTAGCTGGTTACTCTCTGTTCATCACCCTCCTCAATTCTCGATGGATCAACCGCCAATTTAGTCGATCGGTGGACTATTCAAATTCACGATCAGCAGTCTCTATCATCAGTAGCCTCCAGCAATCACCACTAAGACTGCATCCCGATCGCGCATGCTTCGCATCTCTCGTTGTGCTTCCGGAAAACGACTTATGGTGGCAATATTTCTCTGAATTAGTGGACTACACTCATACGTGGTCCATTGCATCTGCGACCTCCATCGCCTGGGTTGTCGTTGCCTATATTCTGTCTATCGTCAACTCACCATCAGATTCTTATGTAAACGCTCAAGCCGGCGCCGAATCCACCAGTTCAATGTGGTTGTGGTTGATTCCAATAGTCATGGGATGGTTGCAACTCTCCCCAAAATGCGATTTCAACCGCTTACAAGCAGCTTATGATCGTGCCGACCGACACGCGCGCGCAGCAATGACAGATAGACTTATTGTAACACCACCTGCATTCGCCCAAAGAGCTTTAACAATAACTGCTCAGGAGGAGGATGTCATGTCTCCAGACGAACTCCTCACACCTCCGGTGTTCAATTACTCGCGTTCGCTGGAATGGGCTCATACAGCACAGAATATTTTCCTGATGTACAAAGCGGCATCAGAGAAGGCCCGAGACCGTATTCCTGTCGTCGTCGAGAGTGGGTGGGTCGAGTCTGACGATCTTAAATCTATCCACCCTCGCAATCGATGTGGGTCCCCTCAGGAAATTGCCACGTACTGCGTGCAACCCGGCCATGCTCGGCGAAGCCACTGGGCACCTGGCATGTTTACAAGAATGGTTATCGCGTCATGTGCTTCGCTTGCATTGCAATGTGGAACAATCGGAGGAGCCTTTATGACCGAGTGGTTTATTCCAACAATAGTAGGTTTCTCCTGATATATATGATATCATGTCGGCTAACTTCAGACAGGGCTTGGGGTGTCGATCTCTGAGTTACCTCATTTACGGAGCCCTATCGATTGTCATTTGGATGATGCTCCTGACATCCAGTATTCTCGCTCACTATTCTGCAGCTTATTCTTGTCGAGCATCGCTGTCTGCACGTGTTGCTCTGGCGTTCTCACACTTGCTGCGAAGGATGGGAAAACTGTTGGCCATTGCAAATTCCCTCTGGGTGGTCTTGACGTGTATTTTCGCGTATTCCGACTTCTACGATACATGCTTCTGCAATTCCAATATCATCAGGGGAAATGTCGATGCATACGTTACTATCATTGAAACTACAACCCAGGCTACACTGGCCAAGGCGGCCTGGATCGGCGGCCTCTTCCTAGCGTGTACTTCGGCGTCGGCTTTCGTCGCCCTAGTGAGTCTTTTATTGGATACTCTCTCGACATAACCCTTGTCGCGAGTAAACATATTGTGCAGTTATTCTGACTACTATGTACTTGGAAGATATCCAGCTCACTTGATCGATATTCAAATTACATCCGAGTCACACATTAACTTCTTTCTGAAAATTAAAACATATTTACAACTTATTACATTTATTCATTTTATACCTTAGCTGGTTGTTTTGACAAGTCGAAAAGAAGCGCGTGACAAATTCAGGTGCCGAGGTCGACTGGGAAAAGCAGAAAAGTGATTTCATGTGATATCGATCCTGGTACTTCCTTCTGATCTGGATTTTCCCCCATACCCTACCTTGAGTCTGGGCATGCTTTCCAAGTCGTTGTTTTGCCTCACAGCATTCCGTCACATATGAATACCTTGTAGTACAAAAACTTTAACGTACAATTGCGTGCTTTGAATTCGACTTAACAGACAGCTGCTACTCCCCCATGAAAGGGGTCAAGGTGCTGTGAAATAGATGGTCTTTGTTAGCAAGAGTGTACAACCGTTCAAGCGCAGCTTTCGGCTCAGGATTAGCGACCATCTGCCAATGAGCCTAGCAATCAACAGTATCAGTACGTCCAAAATTGCGATAATCTCCACACATACCTCAACGCTCTGCCAACCACCAACAACAATAATCACAGTCTCATCTTCAAGCGTAGGACCAAACACGAGCATCTTCTCAGTCGAGTCCGAGATCTTGGTAAGGATGTCAAACACCTCTGTGCGATGATCGGGGTTCTCGATGGTGAGGAGGAGAACTTCCGTGACAGGCTGCTGGAATGCGATGGGATGGGCATTGAAAGTCGCATGGTACATCTTCGACCAGCCTCCATATGCGGGTTTCAGAGCTTCAAGCAGAGTCGCGTACGAGGGGGACTCCAGCATCGCCTGATGGTGCGCTAAGCTATCCCAGTCTGAAGCCAGAGAGTTGTTACCTGCCCCTTTGGAGACTAGCGAAATATGTAATACATACTCATGAAGACATAACCTCTAGCGGGATTCTCAATCTGCGTTCCAACGTAGGCAGGCCTGTTGCAATAATAATATGATTAGGGAGCCCTGTATTATATACTAGCAGGGGAACGATACGCACTTCTGGATACCATCAGACTTTGAAATTATCTCGAATGCAGGGCTCAAAATTGAGCAGTCATTACGAACCTCCTCCGTAGTGTCGAAAATGACGAGTTCAGTCGTTGGGATAGACATAAGTGTGGGCGAAGCTTTGGGAATAGATGCTCTTTACAGCAGCACCCACGTATAATATCATGGTCGACGAATTTCACCACCCGGTACTTTCGTTCCGGCCAGAGATCTGCTCGGCTGAAGTCATACAGATGTGAATCACACAAACCTGGCACCAGTCTGAAAAGCCGAAACATTTGTTGGTTCAACAGCATTATGCAAAGCTTCAAAACTTCATTGACTAGATGGAGATTCTGTGTGCGATCACCGGCATCCGTGACGGTTGACCTACAAGAGCGCTGTTAGTAAGTATATCAATAAGGATGTCCGCAGGTGACGAACTAACTAAGACCCGTAAGGGTAGCCGACAACCTTGGGGTCAGGCTCTGAGAATCGAATGTTGAGATTGTGGATCATCTCGTCGACCTGCGTGGCGACAAAAGCCAAGCCATGATTGATGCTTGCATCGACACCTCTTGTTGTTGCACTGGCATACAGTTCTTTCCATGATAGCAGCACGCCACTCTCGAAGAAGGACAATATTGGGGGTATCATGTCATGTTCTATAGAGTCAGACGTGTAAAACCCTATAAATGATAAATGATCAATAAAATAAGATCCGATGTTAACAGCATCAAGACTAGTGTACCTTTTGCCTGAAAGATGGTTGAATACATTCCTTGAAAGGAGTGAAGTGTCACAATTGATATCCGGTGGAACGGTCTTCCCAAGACCTATGCGAGACTTGTCTGTGCGCTATTGGACAGTTACGCTCCTGGCATATAAGGCGCACACAAGAGTATTTGTCATTGACGTCCTTACTCTTCTGCGGTGCGGTGTAAACAGCGCCAGGGGAAGCACCTATTGAAAATTTGTCTCCTTGAGTCTGCTGCATCTGCAGTGGCGCACAAACGCACGAATGGGAGAGATTCCACGAGTCTGCGTTTAACTGGTCGAGCCCATAAGGGTCCGCAATCAGTTGTGCGCTAATAAAGTCAGAGGAGAATCGGGGATGGCAGAGTAACTTATCATGCTCTGATGAGGAAGCCGTGGTACTTTGATGCATCAAGAGGGGTAGTGGTTGGATTGTATGGCCATGACACAGATATGAGCATTTCCAGATGTACAGCGCTGAATATAGATCCTTGATGTGTTGATTGTACTTATGGATGACGCCAATCTCGACGCCTCCCTGTGGAACCCGCTTCAATCTGCCACTCGTAAACGCCAACTTATGCATTCATCTGAACCAACGTCCAAAGCTTCGACATTACTACGTAAACCAGCGAGCTCGTCTACATCTGTTTGGTCGTCGTCATGTAACTTGCAAGCCACTGATAGCTCTGCCAGGACCAACACTAGCAGGAGGGCTTGTCTGTAGCAACGAGGAATGCTGATGCAGAAGTATTAATCAACGGAGATCAGAAAGAAAAGATACTAACCGAGAAATTACATCTATTAATTGCAGCTATTCTTACCCAGTTGTTCTTTCGTTGTGGCTGGAGCCCTTTGCCAGGCGGCGTCTTTGAATGCTTCGGCTGCAATTCTTTAGGTGTTCCTTCATTCGCAAGATACACGACATTATGGACAGGAAGAATGTCTGATTTGTGTATTTGAATAGGAGAATAGAGTCGGGTTGTGGCTTCTTGGTCGAATCAGATGTGCGACTAGATCTGATAATAGCTCGGTATGCAACTACGGAAGATGAGTTGGGAGCGGAAAGTGGGATGGCAGTTGGGTGGCAGTGAGAACTGCATCTGAATCATGCAAGAGTGATTAAATGGCGTCAGACTGGTGGGAAGCGTAATTCAAGCAGTGATAAGTAAAATTAATGGATGAGAACTGGAAGTTCCTGATCCTATCAATGCCGTCGTCGAGACAGTGACCGGTGCGCTTCAAAGTTTCAATTTTGTAACGGAGTGCGGAAGTAAGTTAGATCCGTGTTGAAGGCTGGTAGACCACGTGCCACGCTAGGCTGCCTGCAGGTCAAGCGTTCACGTTACTGTATAAAATTGACCTCGTTAGATATATCTCAGCATACCCTTAATCCGCAGTATTATTCATACCCACGAGCTCAGCAATGTCGTCCGTGCGGCTATCATTCCACCTTACTAGGCTTACGCAGTCTGCAACACGCTCATCATGGCGAGCTACTGCCATTGGGAGCCGGTACATGTCCCAAAATATCTCTACGACGGAGGAAGCTGCTGTTTCGCTCGATATCGAGGTATGGACAATGTTTCTGTTTTTTCTCTCTCGTTTTAACAATCTATGAAGCCCTCCCGGCTCACTGTCACCAAAACAATGAGCCCCAAGGAACTCCCTGCTTCTAAGAACCTTATGTTCGGGCGGACATTCGTGAGTCATTTTCTCAGGTTCTTCATGTGTCGTACCTCATTGTCAGTCCAGTCAGATCACATGCTGAAGATCCGCTGGACTGAAGCTACTGGCTGGGAAGCTCCCAGTATTGAACCTTGTAAGGCTTACCGTTTTCGTCATAGCTTTTATCGTTATCTTTGCTCTTATGTTCTAGTCGACACCATCAATCTATCCCCTGGTGCTACCGTGCTTCATTATGCCCAATCACTATTCGAGGGCATGAAAGCCTACAGACACGAAGATGGCACTGTGACGATGTTCCGACCTGACATGAATATGAAACGTATGAACAACAGCGCAGAGCGGCTAGCGCTTCCCGTACGCTCTATTATTTTATTCTGAGCAGATGTTCATGCCTATCTCCAACAGGCATTCGATGGAAATGCATTTCTCGAATGCATAAAGGAGTTGATTTCTCTTGACCGTCAATGGATACCTAAGGAGCCCGGACACAGTCTTTACATCCGACCTACATTAAGTGAGTAGTGCAACCCTCGGTTTTGACACTGATACTAAGAAACACTGCAGTTGGCACTAATGGCACGTTAGGTGTTGCACCCCCCACCGAAGCACTACTCTTCGTGATTACCAGCCCTGTGGGACCATACTACCCTCATGGGTTCAAGCCTGTACCTTTACACGGTACAACAGAGTATATTCGCGCCGCGCCTGGAGGTACGTCAAGTTCTTAGCTCACCTTTCAGATATTGTAATCACTACACCTAAAGGTACCGGTGCATATAAGCTTGCCGCGAACTATGCTCCAGGTGTTGTGGCACAAAAAAGTGCAGCAAAACAGGGTTACGCGCAGAACTTGTGGTTACATGGTCCCGAGCACTGGCTCACAGAGGTAGGCACCATGAACTTGTTCGCCGTTATTAAGGACAAGGACGGCAGTAAGCATTCATCTCAGCGGTGTCTCAAACCCATGTTGAATTCGTTGCCTTCGTAGTTACTGAACTCATTACTCCCCCTCTCGACGGAATGATTCTTCCAGGTGTCACACGCGACTCTGTGTTAGCCCTTGCCCGTAACCATGCCTCAGGGGTCAAGCGTCTCGGAGGTCTTCCTGATGTTATCAAGGTTTCCGAACGCCCAATTAACATGGGCGAGATTATCCAATCCTCAAAGGAGGGTCGACTTATCGAGTTATTTGGTACCGGCACGGCTGCTGTTGTCACACCCGTGGACAGAATTGGGTACAACGGTGGTGATGTCACGATTCCTACTGGTAAGGACGGTATGGGTCCCATCTCGGAACCTCTTTGGGCGGAGCTGGTGGGTATCCAGACGGGGGCTATCAAGAGCAACTGGAACTACGTGGTGGCGCAGTAGTGCAGCTACCATTCATCTACAACAGGAGATCTATTTGTGCATTTCAATAGAATCTAGAATTCTCTGGTGGCCGATCGTAAGATGGCAGTTTCAGTTAGTTGTAACGCCGAAGGTTTTATGACATCCTTACGTGCTAGCTAGCCCTCTGATTTTTCTTGTCCAGGTATCTGGTTCTTTTTTCTGTTACTGTATTAGTAAGCGCTGGCCCACCGACACACCATCTGTATCGGGACCGTGGTTCTCAGTTCTTCAGCCTTCATGCTCTACCAGTTTTGATGACCTGATTGACCATCACGCACGAATAATTATGCTCGCGGTGCCACGTTGACCGACCTGATCAGACAACGCGGTGAGTGCGCTGCTTACGTTCTTGATGGGCATCTCGGATATAGATACAATTGGGGCTAGCAGCGGTAATCAGGCGGGTATAGCTTGTGAAGCAGTGTTACTCCTAGTCATGCATGCCGTAACAGTCGGGGAGACTAAATTTTTGACACTCGGCACTGGATTTGTTGTTGACGACAATGACAGAACAGGAAGTTATTGGGACTGCACATGCTCTACCGGAGGTCTCTGCGCCTCAGTCGTAGGATTCGGCCAAACATGCCTGCAGCTCGTATCATCTGTGCTGAGCGGATCTCCTTCGGCTGTTGACGGATAACCTGAACTAGTATGGCAGGTGGCCTCCAGAAAGGGGAGCTCCTGCGGAGATGATACACGAGGTATACTAATTACACAGATTGTCAAGGCCAGAGTCCACTTATGTTCACTTCCAGCCGGGCTTTGACTGCGTGCGTGATTTGGGTTTGAAGACATCATCATGGGTATATCTCGCAGGACTGTGTGACAATACTGTCTTTTTGATGTCAATGCATATCCGTTCATTCCAGCCCATGGACACGAATGCTATTCGGATGCTCAGGCCGAGAAGCAATCGTTGGCACGCCATGTAGTGATTCGACGTGACTTGTTTGAGTGTCTTGATGAAAATCGTAGTACGAAGTGTAGCTATCGTATCGGCGACCAGCAGCGATCGATTAAGATCAAGCACACCACTTGCCAAAGAACGGTTATACTTGTCGTTAGTAGAGGGGCTGACTAAGAAGACATGCCCTTATAGCTTAGTCATCAAGGGCAAACTAATCATCATCCTTTGGCAGTTGCCTCAAGCAGAGCATCCACCTGAGCATTGACTTGCATCGGTCTGGCAGTCCATTATACTTCTTTACATCTGTATTTTTTTTTGCGTCCTCGATAACCCAAGATACACAGGCTAGTTGTATAACTCTTCTTTTCTCTCTTTTTCTCTGGCGAAAATGCTTTACGACCCGACCACTGTAACTCACCTGAAGCCGTGGTTGGTCCGAACTCTGGAGCCAATGTGCGTATCACCGGATGCTCTGTCTTCATCGCCTCTGACAATGATGGGAATATTCAGATGTGACGCGGAGCCTGGGGCACTTGCTGAATACGTTCTCGCTTTGCTGAAGCACAATGTCCCAGAAAATGAGATGAGAAAGGAGCTCAGCTCCCAGCTGGAAGAGTTTTTAGAGAAAGGTGCGCATGATCCTGGTGCAACATTTGCGTCTCATTCTCAATTCGGTTCCCAGAGGGACCCTCATTTATAGATACATTATTCACTGTTCTCAGAACTAAGACGTATCTCCCGTATACGGCTAGCGACCCAACAAGTTCTTTCCCGCTGGCCTCACATTCACAATCTGCAGATACTGGGATTCCTATACCTCTGGATGGTCTCCTATCTAATCACTCGCCGACGGAAAGAGGGCAGAAACGATCGCTGGAACACGATGAACGTGACGGGCGCCCACCCACCAAAGGTGCTCGGTTAAGTGCAGAAGGCCAATTTTCACGGTATCCCAACGGTCGTGATTCTCGTTCCACCGGTGCATGGAGTGGTAGCCAAAATAGGCCTGGTGGACAAGGGATGATAATGAATAGTCCAGTGGGTAGCGGCATGAATGGGAGCAATCAAAGTGTGGGCACCCGACGACCACAAAATTATCAGCCGCCAGACCAAAGAAAAGGAATATGTCGTGATTATCATAGTGCGCTTGCTCTTTCGTAATAATTTAAAGAAGCTGCTCACGTGTATCCCTACAGATAATGGATATTGTGCTCGTGGTGCATTATGCAAGTATAGTCATGGCGAAGATGCTTTCGTCCCATCGCAAATGTTTTCTATGAATGGTGCTGTACCATTTTTACCAATGTTTGGTGGAATGCCTTTCGGTATGGCTCAAGGTGCCCCCTATGATCCTCACGAGGCACGCATGGATATGCGTCCGAATGGGGTCGGCATCGGCTTGGGTCGTGGAACGCAACGTGCTCCTCTACTCTCCAGGGCTCAGCAAGATGACAGTAGTCAAGTCTCTCACATAGTGGACAGGTCTGGCGAACTTCCGGTCATACAGGACCTAACTCCCCAGCCGCCTCAAGAATCCGCACCGCCGGCATTACCAGCAGCGGATTCCATCCCGCAGAGTTCCACACCCATGCAGCAGCAACCAGTTCAACATATGGACGTGGAGATGGGTGTTCCGAGTGTACCAGGGCCATCGACGTACCACACACGTGGTGGGTTCGGAGCCGGGGTGAGGGGTGCGCCTCGTGGACGAGGCATATTTGGTGGTGACGCGCAGACCTTCCGTCCAGAACGACGGCAAGATAAAACACTTGTGGTGGAAAAGATTCCAGAGGACAAGCTCAGCCTTGACGCTGTCAATGGTTGGTTCAAGCGCTTCGGGACAGTCACCAACGTTGCGATCGATGCTCGCAGTGCCAAGGCCCTCGTGAGTTTCGCTGAACACACCGAGGCTCATGCTGCATGGAAGTCGGAAGATGCCGTGTTTGGGAATCGGTTTGTGAAGGTCTTTTGGCATCGGCCAATGGAAGGACATGGGCAAACAGGATCGCGAATGTTAGCGGCCTCTGCACCACTACTGGCCAACCTGGCTGCACGTGAGACCCCCATGCCTTCTGCACCAACCCAGCCTCCTGTACCGCCCGTCACGACTCCCGCCCGTAAACCGCCCCTTCATTCTCCCGCCGTATCAGAGCTTGCAGCGAAGCAGAAGCTGCTGGAGCAACAGATAGCGGAGCAGAAGTCTTTAATGACCTCATTAGAGACCTCTTCTCCCGAGGAGAAGAAAGGGATTCTAGCAAGATTACGGAAATTGGGAGAGGAGATGACAGTACCGTCACCATCGTCAACTATCCCCGCCAAGGTCCATTCCCCTGCCTTGACTACTCAGAATGATCACGAGAAAAAGGAGAAAGAACGGTTGGATAAGGAGCTTGAGTTGCATGCCGTTGGGGAGTCTACAGAGGAACTCAAGGCTAAACTCGCAAAATTAAGGGAGGAGGCAGCAAGTCTTGGAATACCGGAGACCACTCCTGAAGTCTCGTATGGTGCACCGTATCGTGGATACAGAGGCCGCGGTCGCGGGGCACGTGGAGCCTTTTACCGCGGAGCACCGCGAGGTGGTCCTCCTAGGGCAAGTATGAAGCTCGACAACCGCCCAAGGAAGTTGTTGGTGAAGGGTGTTCGTGAAGATAGCCTGCAAGCATTGCGGGACTGGTATGAAGTACGTCGAGATTCTTCATTTTTGGACGCATAGCTCATTGATAATCATAGACCACCGGTCAGCTCGACTCAACGGAGACCATCGGCGATGATGAAGTTCTCGTTAATTTCAAGACGAGAGCAGCTGCTGAGCAGGTTGGTCAAGAGATGATTTATCGTATCTGATTTGTACTCACAATTCGGTCAGGGTTTTGCCAAAGGATCAACCATCGCTGCAGTAGGTCCAGTGAAGATTTCATGGTACAGTGCCCAGCCATCGCAAGCAAAACCGCAAGGCATCGCCGCGCCCATATCGCAACCTGCTATCACAAAAGACATTCATCCAAATGATACGCGGAATACTTCACCATCTCCGGGACGCCGTCCCTCCCCCCGTCCACAAGACGAAGAAGTCATTGCCAGTGGGTGGGGCGATGGTGATGAGGATGGTATGGGCATGTTTTGATCGTACAGATTTTGCGATCCTTGGAATTGTCTTGATATTGTACTCGGTGCCGGTATATCTTAGTCCTGCTGGCGGCTCGAAAAATTTTCCTGCAGTCTCAACGTCTAAATCCCTAAGTTACACCCCGCTCGTCACTCGATTTTGTCTGTCAATCAGTCAATCATTAATTCGTGGTCTACGTCTATCGTATGGCGTAGAAGTGCGTTTGTGAAGTTCGTTAAGACTTGTGATTCGTAACGTTTAAATTTTACATCTGTGCGCAAGTACTATGAGTTCGTATAGATTCATGTATCATATCTTCGTCGACTATCTCCACCCGCGATGGGAGCTATAAACTATAATGATTTAGGGAGTCGAGGTATGACCACTCCGTTGGCATTGAAGGCATCCACAGTCCTGCGTCGGCGAAACGGGGGAGCAGCTAAGCTCACGACATCTCCCATGTATATATCGACTTCACTCTGAACCTGTGTGACTGCGCCAAGATCAGCAGTCCTACGAACGGGTGGCGATCTGCTTTGGTTCATGGGAGGCTCGTTGATTCTTGGGAGAGACAAGGAAAGATAGGGTACTTCGCCCGAAAGGAGCCCATCACTGGCATCCCCTCCCAATGCCGTTGGAGAATCGCACAGCGCAAGCTTCGTCCACGTTTGAGCGATATTGTCAATATCCTTCTCAATGGTCCGTAGTTGAGATCGGGATGTATCTGTGGTTTCCAGTGGGTCGTAACGCTCTAAAGACCTCAGGTAGTCCGGAACTCCTGAAAAAGGCTCCGAGTTGGTGTTCGTGCGTGCACCTTTATGCTTTCGATGGTCCTTATGATAAAGCACAATTTCCTCCTTGATTTCGTCTACAGCCCCACCGATGATAGCTTTGAATTTCCTGAACCTGGCTTTCAGCTGTGACTCGTGGGCCATTTCCAGTTGCTTCTCCATAGGCGGGAGCCAAGCCTCATTGATAGGGGAGAGCGGATGAGGCGATTGTGGAGACGTGTTGCATGTTGAATGAGAATCAATGAAGAGAAGGGCAATAGGCTGGCTATCTTGTCTGATACAACGACGCTTGTAACTGGCGTTGTCCCCTGAGGATGATCTCCGTGCACGAACACGACTCCTACTGGTAGGGTACTGACGCTGAACAGCATCTAGATTCGTGGGAGGCGATCTATTCCCCTCCCCTAAAACCAGAGTCCCGTGTTTTGTGGAGAATATTCCGGGAGGTGCAGCTGGTGAGAATTCTGAGCGACCCCAAGGGTGTGAAAGGGAGCTGGCGATCAGGCTAGGAGGCGGCGGTGATGTGCGTGGGCAAGGAGGGGATCTTGTTGGGGGAAGGACTTGACTTTCCTTGTCACGCCCATGTTGCATGGATAATGATCGCGACGGAGGCACCGACGCCGAATTCGCTTCTCCGTAAGGGGAGCCTCTACCGTGCGATAAAGATATATGTCGTGATGAAAAGGATGTGGGTGGCCAAACACTCGACGCGAGGGTATGTTCTCGTGGGGAATGTACCGAAGTATTGCGAGAACATGGCGAGACAGTCGGGCGAGCAATAAATGAGAGAGCACAGTGACTGTACACTTTCTGTGGGAGATTCTGTGTAGGATAGCGGTGCTGGATCTCGTCGATCACCATCCGGTCTGATGACCATTTGATCTGACAGGCAGAAGGAACATCAACCGACATACGGGATGAAGCCCTATGCTGGGCGCTTTGATCAACATTCGGAGAAAATGAATCAACCGATATCTGAGACGAAACGTTGCGATAGGTGCCTGTCAATGGGGAAGGTTCAAGAGACATTTTAGAGCTCCTTTTCCGAAACCGCGTAGAATATAGAGGGGCATCGTCAATGGACATGGGCTTTATATCGGACCCAGGGGAAGATCCCGAGATGGACACAGTCGCTAAGATTGCATATGCATGGTTGTTCCGTTCCTGTGTGACTGTATCTGGTGCAAAAGTCGTAGGTTGGCGAGTAGCAGGTACACGATCGATGAAGGAAGAGTCCGGCAGATGCTACACCGAAGATTCAATGAAATTGATTTTTTCCCTACAATCAAAGTCCCACTACCTGCTTGGCTTGAGGATGACGACCAGCGTGACCTGTTGTTCCCTTATAATTGTCTCCCAGAGGTCTGAGACGAGTCTCTTCTCTTTGTTTAAAATAGTGTGAATGAGGACGGTCATCGATACGAGCCCCTATTCGAGAGAGGATAGAAGGTTTTCGCAGGGGCTGTGAGTTTGGCATTGACGCGTGTGTCGGGAATTAGCTGTGAGGGATGCAATACTATCAGTCTGCTCAGTCTTATACCTTGCCCAATCCTTGTTCTCGACACGGTCGCCACACTGGCACGTGTTCGTGAAAATACAAAAACACGCGTCTCTTTGATACAGTGTGGGTCCAGAGAGGCGCTCATGGATAATCTTCTCAACCTAAAAGGTACTAGGTACAACCCAAGTCGAAGCGTGACCACGAAAGGTCCCGCCAGGCGAGAGCGAGTACAATAAATGAATATCCGGCCCCGAGGAAACCTCACTGGGCAAGTTATCGACCCTGCTTTAATTTGTTATCATACAAATTGTGGACAAAAGTAGGTCGGTTTCCATGGGTATTTGAGTCGTTGAAACGATCATGAAATGTTCCCAGTACCACGTCGTCAACAGGTCAGAGTTCGAGTCCAGCAAGCTACGGCGTCAACCGGACCGAGAGCACAAATTCAATTTCCGCAACTTTTTGTCAGCGTCCTTGCAAAATGCATATTATCATAAAGCTTTTTTTAATCTGTCTCAATTACGAGGTGTTCACATGGCAGATCTGAACTCAAGACTGCAACGTGCAGCATAGGTCCGAAAGATCCAGGTAGCTTCAAGTTGATGAGCGAGCGTGCTGGCCTTGGGACGCTACCTGAATACATGACGGGCGAGTCCTGACTCAGAGATTCCATGTGTCGGAAGTTCGAGCTGCTTGATTTTATTCGTAAGTATCTGTTCTTCAGTTTTGTTTCACCCGGTAATAAGATTGTCTTCCCAGTCAAGTCACGTCTTCAAGAGTATCTAGGTGAGCCTTTAGCTGCCAGTATTGTACTGGGAACTGGGTGCTTATATCTGCAAGTTCCCTCGATAACTAAAATCCCGTGTCTCGGAGTGAGACAGTTCTCTTGAGTGTTTGGATCTTGAGTGTTTGGACAAAGCCTGAGTCCATGTACAAGGTCAAGACACTTCATGACGTTCTTTGTGTATCAGTTGACGGGACCGGCTTTGTAGAGTCATCGAGCTCTAACAGGATTCCCACATGCCTGTGGTGGTCTAGCTTCCTGTTCAATGACATTCTGCCTTATCCGTCTCCGAGGAACAAGAAGTGGGCCTGGAGTACAATGGACCCTCATCCTCATTTTCAGCCTAAACGTCCTGGCTCGGAGCTGCATGGATTCAGTTCAGACCATTGGCGTTGGGGACTATGGGCAAGTAGCTTTCTGAGAGCTCTTTGACCTGTGTCTGTAAAGTTATAGGTAGCTCGTACGCTGGTAACTCACTCCCAGCTCGACGATCAATCCAGATCTACCAATATGTCCTACCCACAGCAGAATAGTGGCCATGAACGTTTTTCCTACGCCATGTATAACAACACGTTGGGTATACACGAAGTTGTGCATCCCCACCAAATAAGCAAACATCCGTCGTTTATTAATATGCCCATCTCTTCAGCATCGGTGAGTTTGATCTGCACAGTTAATTTTGTCACTATGATTAACGGGGACTAGAATCCCGCCATCCAGTATTCTGGTAGTACCTCTCACAGCGCAGGGAATTTTGTCCCAATGAACATTCCGCAGTATAACAAAGACGGCTCTTCGACTGTTATGTTCCAGGTGAATACAGAAAGGAACAGTCTGAGCATTCCTTTGGAGAAGTGTCTTCAGCCCAACGGTGGAGCGCACTTGAAAGACGCCCAAGAAATTATGTTCCCGACAGTCGACCGTACTCAGGTCCAGACTTTCAAGCTCGTCATCGCTGTAAGTGCTCGCACCCTCGATCGATTGCGAGACCTAAGTTCAGTGTTAGTGGCCCGGATACGACACAGTGGAGTTCCCTATCGACATCGGGACGAATGAAATGCCCATCACAAGGGCTGATCTCGCGCGTCAAATTGCGTATCACTTCTTTGGATTTTTCATCGTATGTGTGCACGTTCTTCTCTTGTAATTTGTCGTTAATACACTGTCAACCAGCAATGCGATAACGGTCATTTAACTCAGAGGTCGGATGTTCAGTGGAAAGTCGGAGGGCAAGACGGTTGTAAGTTTCATCAGATCCGCCTCTCAACATTCTGGAATATCGAAGGGACCTCTTGGGCTGCCTCTGTCAGAGTCCTGGGAAATGCATAGTGCCTGCTGTACATCTTAACTCCTCCCGGCAAATTCTATATACCCTCATTGCATCTAGATACCATGACATATGACCACTATTTAGTGTATATATATATTGTACTCCGAGCACTATACATGAGAGCCGAACTGAAACACTTTTACATGTCACTGCTGACTCTCCTCTCTGAAGGTCATGGTCGCCATTAATGTGAGAGCTCATAGCGAGTAGGAATAGTCCTCTGAGACTCCAGACCTTGGTCACGGATAACGAGACTGGTGCGTGGATGAGCTCTGTGACATGTATGCAGTAAAAAAACCCATCACGGTAGAATATCTTTGAACTACATTTCATAACACTTTCATCAGCATGGCATTATGGTTATCGCAGCGTCCGATGAACATGATTGTGGATTTAGACTTGATACCAATACTTGTTCTTGCCAATGAACCAGAAAACCTGCTGTTCCTCCCCATCATCTAATGTTGCCGGCCAGACAGTGCCAGGTGGACATGCTGTACCAACTTGTGCGTAAATGGCCTCTTCACGATACAAGAAGCATAGGATGTCTATGAATTCCTGTCGGTCACATACTGCCCTAAGCCTCCACCGCAGCTCGGTCTATCGGATTGAGATTAAGCACACGAACAAATTTGTCAAAACACTCACCTGAGAAATTCCTGGATGGAAAAAAACGATGCCCACCACAGCGTGTAAGATAGCGTTCCAGGTCTCTCGTATTGTACCACCACGGATATCTAGCCAACGTCGAGGTAAGGCAAGAGTTTTTGGTTCCTTCATAATCTCCACTGTCCAAGGACGAGCATGAAGGCAGGAAATGATGACTGGCGCAGAGTATCCAGCCCACAGAATTAGGGGTGGGGATGTTTGGGACATTCGTTGTAACAGGTCCATGACCACATCACCAGCACCAAAAGCCTCAAAGTATAAAATGATCAGCAAGTTGGCAAATGATGCCCGAATAGAAAACATACTAGGTAGTGCGACTTTGATGAACCTGATTCTGGTGACGCATTAGCTCGATCAAAAATGTTTCGAGCCAGTATTCGTTGTTCGCCATCCAGACCAGCGACAAACTTGGAAAATGTCGACTCAGTGCATAGCACGCAATCTACAATTCTTGATTGTGTCTTCTCAGCACAAGCAGCGTCAGCTCCGGTGACCGTTGTTCCGTGTTGCTTGATCTCGTCGAGTGGTGTGTTCGTAGGGCCCAAGCTTGACTCATATGAAGGTAATATTGCGTTTCCACTGCCTTCGTTATCGTCTCCATCGAGTGGATTCAAGCGGACTTGGATGCTAGTCTCGATATCATTATCATCTATTCTCTGTGAGAGGGAAGAAACTGTAACTGAGGCACCGCACATACCTGCTTTTTTGCTGTTCCAGTCAAGCTTTGTTCGAGCGTTTCGCGACTGTGCTGTATCTATGATGAAATTGACCTGTGTGTTCTTGTCCATGCGGCACTTCTACTATACAGCCTAGTCATCGACGTACCTGCTCCTCTGACACTAGCTGGAGTAGTGCTGCGATGTCACCATCAGAAGCCAACAAGGGCCATTCCAGGCTGTCAACTTGCTCTGCAAATACCTCATCCAGAGCGACAGCGTCTTGAAATAAGTCTCCATGTATCGAGCCTCCGATGGCGTTTAGGTTGCTACAATCGTGTTAATCAGCAGAATTGTCAATCAATGACTTTGCTCACACTTCTGATATTTTCAATGTACGTCCCGGCTTCATCTTTTTGGGATCACGAACCACCTTTGACAGGACTCCACGGCGCAAAAGGTTGGAGGTTGCGAGGGATACAGACTGATCACCTACACTGTGGAGCATTTCCGCTGCCAAATCAGCGTCGTAATGTTCGCTAGACATGCCAAAAACCATCTGTAGAACGGTGCAAAGGTAAGAAGCGAGTGGACAGGCCAAACGAACAACCGCCACCTTTAGCGCAGCTTCCGCGACTTGAACTACATCATCACTCGTGTTAGTGACATATGGAACATCGTCTGGTGCATGAGTGAAAGACTGTCGGAGAAACTGTTTTTCTCGACCTTCTTCGACGGCAGCTTGCCACACAAATTCCCAAGCAGGAGAAATAGGTGCGTTGCAAAGCACATCGAAATGTTGTATGATGTCATCCACTGATGCTGGTAGCTTCGTTCGCGTTGTATGCTCAACATAACCAACTCTCCTAATTGCGGTCAGCATCCATATGAATTAGACAGTCGAAAGTAAACTTACAGGGCATTCTTATCAACATGTTTCCGAAGAAACTCTATGTGATTTACTATGTCAAAGTTCGACGGGCTTTGAGGATCTTCGTCGGGAAGGTGCTCGGTACCCCTATGCTGAACCCAAAGGTCATGCCATCGGTCCTCGAGGCGCGCCATATACACTTCTTCACCAGTATTCTCTCGGAGATGTGAGAGGCGGAGGCGGACAGAATTACGCGGCACAGCAGGAAACACTTGGTCGAGAGCTGAAAGATCGATCTTGACCCCACTGCGACATCGAGCACGAATTACAGCAGATGCATCACGGGCGAGCTCATCGTATTCTCGAGTCCAGTGGAATCTAGAGCGCCTCTGGTGTGGCGTCCTATTCTCTGATTGGTCTACAAAAGGCGGTTACGTCTGAATGCGCAGAAAGGCAAATAAATAGAACTAGCCTTCCTTGGTCTTGGACTTTCCTCTCGACTTGTCTATTTGTTGCGCGAGAATAGGTGGTCCTTGCTGAGCTATGAGAAAATGCACTGATTTCTCAGGAGGATTGGCTGCAACAGGAGGTAAAGCCGCGAGACGCGTGGCCGCAAGTGCCTTCGGCCTTGCGATAACCTTGTTTGAAGCCAGTCGAGCCTCCCGGATGGCGTTTTCAATTTCACTTTGCCATCGATCTTTGTCTCTGATCGAGCTAGATTGTATGAAGCGACTGTGAACAGCTCGAATCCGGATACCAATGGTCCCCTTAAGAGGTCCAGGATGCACGCGCTGAAGCAGAGCTTCCCAGTCGCTTTCCCTTTGAAGCTTTGCTTCTTCGGCCTTCTTCTGAAGCATGGTTTTGGCTTCAACGTTTTGCATTGCACCATGCACTTCCCCGTCTCGTTTCTGCCTCGCTCGTGCTTTCTTCATTTCACGTAGAACCTTTTCAGTAGCTTCTTTGAGGTAGGCAACAACAGGCGCACGTGGAGCGCTAAGAACATGGCAAATCTGCTGCAGCTGTGAGTCAATATCCTCGTCGTCAAGTGGACTGCGGGCCGTGGTGCGGTCTACAGATTGGTCTAGATAACGCTTCTGGTGCCAGGTAAGGCGGTATTCCAAGTCCCAGGATGCTCTCCGGCGAAGGAACCGCAGAAGAGATGTGTTTGTTGGAGGTCCCGAAGTGCCGTGCGTTGGACAAACAGCGCTTCGTGCGTAAGCGACATCTCGACAAACTTTATGCAGCTCATCCCAAAAAGCTACACCATTACAACGAGATTTCACAGAGACATGCCTCCAGTAGGACGGAGAAGAATCTGAAAGAGCCCAGAGATGTAACGGTGCTGTTTCATTGAAGCGCCAATATTGGGGCGCGGCAGATGGTGCGGATACTCGCCACCCGTCAAAAGCGGCTGCCTTGAGTGGAACTGTCCGGCCATCAGAGAGTGTGCATGTGAAATCCGCATTGTCATCCGTGGATGGTTCGTAAGGAGTCACAAGTCCAAGAAGTCGAAGGGCATCTAAGAGTTCTAGAACGCGAGATTTGGAATGCAACTTTCCCACCTGCAGCTTTGCTGATATATGGTTCGGTAGGTCTCCGATTAGTGTTTCTTTACCCTCCACGGAGGCTATGAGCTTTGATAGCTCTTCCTCGTAACTGAGAACGGCAATGAACGAGCAATAAGTAGCAATGGGAACGTCGAACTGGTACAAGGAGATGTCGATCATGGAATGCTCGCGAGATGCAATACGGGGCGAAGAATGTTGTTCGAGCAACCCAAGGGTAAAGACGTGAAAGTCCCGCAACCGAGCCGCTTTGCCAACTCTGAAGCCATATAACTGCGCTACCGTAGTTCTCTCCGTAAGTAGTACGTCACGGATCGTTTCAGGGTCATATGAGAAAAGTTCCTCCGCCTTGGCAGTGTCAAGGACCTGATGTCCAGCATCATCTTGCCCGGATTTCTCCATCTGCAGTAGATGAAGCGGTAGAGTGGTGCTGTGCGAAACGCTGCTCGAAGCTCCAAAATCCACAGGCTCCTCAAATGTCTTGACAGGCCGAACACTGGGAACTGGGGTAGTGTGGCTCAGATGATGTAAAAACGCGTTGATTTTCTCTTGAGGCGTGTCTGGGAGATATACAAGGGAGGCAGGCCGAGTACTTCCGGTGACAGAGAATACAGTGGTTTTGAGGACTTTGACGCGGCCACGGCTTTCCATGTTCTTTATGGTAGCGTCTGCGGTTCTCTTGTCAATACGAGTTCCTGAGGGTGCACTCGCAGGTTCTCCGCGGTGAGCTATGTCATTGAGCAGAGCGATATGAGCATCAAAAAAATGTTTTGTGTGCAGATTTACAATGCCGCCAAAGTCTTGGATTACCCGAAAAAATTCGTTCTCGCGGCGTAAATGGGATATGTTCGTATTTGTTTTGAGCTTGTCACTAGGCTTAATCCGCGAGCGCTTGGGTTGGGACGGCGTTACTGAAAGTGGGGATCCCTTTCGTTTCTCTCCTATTGCAGCGGATATTACGTCCGCCTCCATCAACCGTCACATTAATCGAGTGATGTGAAATAAACATGAGGTTCACTTACAGAGGACGTCCTCAGCAGCGCAGGATCGATAATCATAGGTTCAGAAGGGCGCTTATCCATGACGAATAATCTATCGGTCCTTGAACCATCCACTACTTGCGGTGGGATACGAACGACCTCCGATTCATCGATTCGATCATTAGAACTTCCACCAGGTAGTCCTTCTACCACACTCGGGCTAGAGGAAGCACCGTTCTCGCGAATTGTGGGTTTGGGTTTTCTACAAGATTGCTGGGATTTTGGTCCCTCTGCCACAAGCCCGTCGTGATATTCCATCAGGTCACCAGTGTCGGTTGTAAGCGCAACGCCATCAGACAGACGCGATACCGCGGCTTGCACATTGGCGCCTACCACAGCTTGACGATTACGGTGTTGCTCGTCACCGGGACCCTCATGTACCGCCGATAAGGACAAGTCAAATGGTCCCTGAAACGAACGATTTCCTTCCTTTGGGCTTGATGTCGAAGGAACAACATGAGATGTGGCTGAAGTCATTCCTTGCCGAGAACTAGCTACGCCGGTCATACTCGCCCCCTCCAGAGTCTCTGATGGAGGCGCTGACGGGACTTGTGCGGCAAAAACAATGTCATTAACACCCTCCCTCGATTCACTCCTTGGAACTTCGGTATGGCAAACGGCTGGTTCAGCATCGGGCTTCTGTCGGGGTGGACGGCCTCGTCTTTTGGGAACCTTAGGTACCGTCGAAGTCCCATCACCCTCCTCAGCAATTGGATTTTTGCGAGGTTGAGCACGCTTTTTCGGAGGGATAGAGATGCCATCCTCCTCACCACGTGGCTTTTTCCGTGGGCGGCCCCTTTTGGGTTTTGGGACAGGTTCTGGCGTACCCTCAACCGCTTCGTCATCTCCTGGATCTTCTGTTTCTGGCCTTTTACGCTTCTTAGCTCCTGTCTTCACTCTGCCCTCCTTGCCTTTGAACATGTCTTCATAGTGGTGGAGAGTTTCATCGTCATCATAAAACATCGCCTCATGGAACATGGCAAAATCACCGGCTTTTGAGAGATCAATGTTAGCATATGATGTTGTCGTATCATCAAGCTTTTCGCTGGCCATGATAGTTGTATATGCCGCAACAGTGTAATATCGATGTCGTCTTTCCCGCCCAAACGACTCCATGAAGTCCGCTGTCCCGAGATCGCTGAGGTGAGCGGGAGGGCGACTCTTGACTGCTCTAGTTAGCAGAAGTTCGATAGTGCGTCTATCGAAATTTCCAAGAGCGCTGCAAATTTCCTGTGGACAGAGTCAAATTGTTGCCCTAGTGCGCCGTGTGGAGACTTACACGGAGAGTTCTACCGGAAGGTCCTGCTTCTTCAAGCACATCTGACACTTGTTTCTGGATTGTGCGGTTTGCCCTGACCTCAGTGTAACCAGCTGTGAGGCTAATTAGATTAGTCTACACATGAATGATGTGTCACACCAGATGTATCCTCAAGCACGATTTCCTTGTCATCCTCCTCGCCTTCCTGAGGGGCAAGAATAACACCACCCTCTGAGAGCTGACTGTCTGGAGCAACAAGCCGTATGCACTTGACATGCCTGTCTTTGACTTTGAAGCTCGGAACCAACACACGTTCTATCACTCCTTGCGCAATCAGCTCTCGCAGACGAGTTTCAAAGAAGCGACGGTCGGTTTTGGTTGGATCCATAAAGCCCTGCAGCGATTCAATAAAACCTCCACACCATAACTGAACATGACCTACGATGGTGATAATTAAGTTATTTGACGCATGAATATTGTTCGGCGACGCCTTCAGCAACTTGACGATTCGGTTTTTGATTAGTGGAAGACTAGACAGATGTCTGGCATCCACAGGCTCAAATTCGAGTTCTGATGCAGCAAAGGGAGTCCCATCTTCAACAGAAGTTGCGTCCTGCGGATGACACTCTCCAATAACAATAGGTTCGTCATCTTTGGCTTCCTCTTGCTGAATCTGTTGCCAGAACGCGCTACGCTCCACAAAATATCTGTGAATGCAGGAGTGATTGCCAACACCTCCTCGCCGTGCTTTGATACTATCCTTGCATCATTATGTGCTTTGTAGAGAGAAAGAACAAAACACACATTAAGCCAAGCTCCAGCAGTTGTTTGATGACATAAAAGCACGTTTTCTGGTCGTACTTTGTCTTACGTCCGAGCTCGACAGTTGATACACCTTCTTCGCGACCTCTTGTGATGAATTGCAAAGCACTGTAAACCATTGGACTGAGTTTCGAGGACTGCGAAATGATGAGCTCAGATTGAGTTAGATGACGGATTGCTACATACTCTGATATGAGATCCTGTGATTGCAGCAAAAGAAGTCTCTGGATCAACAGCAATCCTAAGATCCTCGCCATATTCTGCCTTTAAGTCCTCCAATGACCTATCGCGTGCATTCTCAACGAGGGTGAGTGACGGTGGGGCTTCTTCGACAAGCACCTCGCCCTTAGCTGCCGCCTTACGCTTTGCGCTCGTCTGAGGAGCGACGTGCACTTCAGATGATACGCCCGGAGGAACTGTACCAACGCGAACAGTGGGCTGCTGGACGACTATGGACCAGACAAACGCGCAAAAAGCATCGTCGACGACTTGTGGGTGGGTGGCGTCGTGACTATGGAATCCTACGATGAAATCTCGCAAGCGGGAAACATTACAACCTGCAGGAACGATGGGAAATAAGAAAAATCAGATGCTGTTCGAGAAAATCGATATTGAAGAGTTGTTATTATGGGGATTCGAACGATGCTCTTCGCGATTAGACTCCAAAAGAAGCCGACAGGATAAGAATACATAGTGCTGACGTACCAAGATCGCCGTCGAACGAAAGCTCTCGGAGACAATGATGCACGAGCTCATCCATGATCAGGAGGATTAAGAGTCCTAACAGGTCCTAACCAGTTAAAGCAGTAACACTCCCTTTCAATTGGAGTCTGGACGCCACCTGACTCCAGACGGTGTGGGATTACTCGATATCGGTGGCTGTCACTATATTTAGTGGGCTAGCGTCGATGAGGAAAGGCGTTAGTGTGTGTGACAATGCAATGTGACGGTGACAGTTGAACGCCTGAAATTTTTTATTCTGAGCTGGCCGTCTTGAAGTTATGATTTGCACAAAAGACTGAACGTTCCACTGGTACTGTAGCTGAGCGCTGACCGGTGACCCCTAGTATCTATGTATGCCATCACTCAGTTGCAGTTCCGAAACTTCCGAATCTAAGATCAGATTAACTCGGAGTAACCGGCCGACCGTGACTCATCGGCCGGCTATTCCATTCTCGTTACAATAATATCCCCTAACATACTCCATAGGGTACCGCGTCTGCTCTACTCCGTTTGCTTCTCTCTCTTTCTAAACGAACAACAGCGCTAGCTGACTGTCCAAAGGTTCTAGGATTCGAAACGTACGTTACTAATACTGATAGCCACTGCATTGTCTCTATATATTAAGCACGGATTACCGATGTAATGTATCAGACTCGAAGAATGAGAAATATTATAATTCGCTGGTTCTCCATCTATATGCTCCAAGTCAGTGCACGAAATACTAAAAGCTCGTCATACAAGACCATGCCTAGTCTCGACTGCAGAACCAACATAGGTTATTCCGGATGATATCCTTCAATTAGATGATGTCCTCATCATCATCTACGACAAAGCTGCCGATGGCATACTCGTCTGGCAAATCGTCCTCGCGTACGGGAGAGCTTGATACACCGGCGCGGCGCTTTGCGCTCTCACCTCGGGCGTATGCTTCTCTCCTCACCAGTTTGGTGGCAAACGCAGGACCTCCCGGCGGGACTTGTGTGAATAAACCCCGTCGATAAGCGAGTGATTGATCATAAGAAGGGGAGACCTGAGTGTTTGCGATGTCCTTGATGAATTGGCGATCGGAATCACTTTCAACATCATCTTCCGAGTGCGACGATCCCTCACTTGCTTCGTCACCAGAGTGGGCTGCTTCTCCATCTAGCCATGGGTTATGTCGCATAGATATTAAAGGCTTTCGCTTGCTACGCTTTGGAGGCGGACTTGATCCCCAAGAAATAATATCTGTATCCTTTCGTTTCAAACGCCGTTGGGAAAGAGGTGGCATATCCAATACCGGTGAGTCAAGCTCTGCGGCTGCTGCACGCGGCTTGAAAAAACGTCCAGCGGGTCGCACAGCGAATGAGGCATTGGGAATGTCGTGATCAGAAGAGTATGCGGGTGACTGGACAATACCTCGGCATGGTAGAGGAGGTGGTCGCATTAAAAGTGCCCCAGGCGAAAGATGTCTTGCGTCTGCAACACTTTCATCCTCAAACAGGCGATCCGCGCGAGGACTGCGCTCCTGCGGTGGTGTCATGGGCGGAGAAGACAGAATTTGAATGTCAGGCTCATCATCTGATCCTAGTAGCCATGCCATGCTTTGTGTATTACCCGCCACACCGTCTGAAGATGAGAGCAGTGATGGCAAACGATTCGGGGATCCTTCTCGACTTCTCCCAAGATCGGTTGGAGAATTTCTTGGACCACACGACATTGATGAAGATTCTGCGGCTTGATCAGGGTCAGTTTGGGGTGGCGGCGGGGAAGATGATAATTCTATCACGTCGTCCGCATCACAAATCATCGGCGACGAAGATAACATGCTTGGCGCTGAAGGATTCTCCGCCTCTGAGGAGCTTAAAAGTAGCACATCGTCTCCGGTAGGACGACAGGAAAGACTTTGGACTGCAGATGGTCTGGCAGGACTATTCGAACGATCTCGAGCCAAAACCGGAACCTCGTCAGGTGAAGACGAGTGATACCTGGTCAAAGCTGGCCGTTTTTTCTTGGGGGAAGGGGTTTTACGAACGATAGCCTCGCGAGCAGCTAGTGAGATGCCCTGCTCGATTTCAACATCATCGTCATCGTCATCACCTTTCCTGGAGAATTGGCTTGTGGTCAATGGCTCTTTCTCCTTCACCTTCCTGCGCGATGTTGCCGGCTGTCGTTTCTTGGATGGATCCATTGTACGTGCAGTGCGCAACTTGTCCTTCTTTGTACTGACACCAGCAGGCGTCGAAGCAGTACGGCGTATATCCATGAGATTAGCCTCTAATTCCATATCTGTCGAGTCATCTTCTGCAGCCGTGGGATCAAAGCCTTTCGTCTTTGCCTTCCTCCTCTTCTTCGTGACTGCTCCCTTGATAAGCAGGTCTTTGACACTGACAAAGCCCGTGCTTGCGCCTTGAGGTATATTCCTAGCAAAATCATCATTCCGCTTGCGTTTCTTGCCCTTCGGAGACAAATTCTCGTCATTGACAACTGCGCTCTTCTTTCGCGAGGCATGTTCTTGGCGTACGTACTCCTCAATCTCCATTTTCTTCTCGAGTACTTGGGGCTTTGCGTGTTCAGGGAGGAGTCGTGGGACGTCGCCATAAAGTTCTAGCTGATCACCGCGGACGATACATCTCTGCAACTCGCCGTATGTGTCCTTCGCTTTATCCCAATTTAACTCCTCGCGGATCTCGGAGAGGAGGACGTGGACATAGCCGTCCCGTTTACGGCCCGTGCGTCCAACGCGCTGAAGCTGCACATTACGACGGAAGAGCAGTTATATACATGCAATAGGGATGACTTAAACGATACATACCATGCGAATTGGTGTCTTCTGTGCGTCATAACACACAATCATGTCAACTTCCCCAATATCGAGACCCTCTTCGCCAATAGAAGTAGAGACAAGCACATTGAATTCGCCAGCTTTGAACTTTTTGATGATCTATTTCGACAACTCTATAAGCGCACATCCAGAAACGGAGCTCTAGACCCACCTCAAGTTGCTCCTTCTGCGCAAATCCCTTCCGGCCTTGTTTATCTGTGCCCTGCCCGATGAACCTCGTCACCTTCAGAAGGGGTTTCTCCTCATTGAGGATATGTACAATCTCATCTACACACTCCCGATATGTCACAAACACCATAGCTCTCGTCTCCTCCCCCTCACCCATCCGTGCCCCGAAGTGCTGCAACAGCAGCATCTTGAGCGTCTCCATCTTCGGGTGCATGCCGTACCCACCCGGACGGACTTTCTGCACCTCAAGCTCACTAAGAAGAGCCATAAAATTCTTGTCCTTGCGCAAGCCACTCGTTGCAGAACCTCTCTTTTTCCCTGAATCGTCCTCTTTTTCAGCTGAAATCTCCAGCAGGCAGTTGTGACACATGCCGATGCTGGCTTCCATCTAGCCGTGCGCACGACTTGTTAGGTAAGACCAGACGTACGTCGTAGGGAATACTCACCAGGTACCCCATAGCACGCGCTAATGCACCGAGCTTAGACAGCGAGGGAAATGCCCATTTGTGAGGACTGTTCCGCTGGGCTCCAATTTGTTGCATGGTAGCCTGGGCACGATAAGGGTGCATCTTGACCGGATCCACCACTTCTATAACACCTCTGTTAGAGAGTGGTTTAAGGATGGTCTATCAATAGGCCCTCGTCAAATAAGAGTGACTAAAAGGAAGGATAACTGACTATCATCACCTCCTTCAGGAGTTCCTGAACTTTTAGAACATCGTCAGTCATCCGGATGATGTGTTGTTTAATTTCCTAGATACAAGTCGATGTCCTCGCGTCAGACGTGTAACTCGAAGCTCGCGTTTAACCCTGACCTTCTTGTGCATATACTCACGGAGATCAATACTATTTTCATCACGAATCTCAATGCGACTAATGTGCAGTGAATCAACGATGCTCTGAATAGCTTCAGGCGTACTTCCGGGCGTTGCTGTTAGTGCCAGTACGCGATGATGGGGATTCTTAGCCATCAAGAAACGAATGACCTGTGCATAGGCATAGTCTCCTGTTCCCTTATGCGCCTCGTCTGTACGTTTCCCTTAGCAAGCCAACATAATTAACTGCAGATAACGGACCAATGACAATGAGGACGATATCCCGCGCATCGCAGTTTTCCGTACTCAGATCATTGATGAGGGTCTGTGGTGTCATGTAAAATATCCGTTTCTCCTCCCACTACAAAAATCCGAATCAGCTTAAACATCGGCCGAGTAGAACTAATACAGACCATCCTACACCTATAAGCTCGAGGGTTGTTTCCAGTAAGCTCGACTGCGTCACAACCAGGAATGCCGCACGTGCGGTGGCACGCGTCAATTTGTTGCGCGACGAGAGGTTTTGTTGGGGCAACAAATACAACTTTTCCCTTCGGAAACCAACGATAGTCTGGGAGATGTTAGATTTTTATTGACAAGATCCGCGAGAAATTCACAGTTAAGCATCACGACGCCTGCAATGAATGTTTTTCCCAATCCGGTAGGTAATGCGACGAGGGTGTTGTCAAATAAGCAGTGCCTAACGATGTTGAACTGATAGTCACGCTTTGGTTGATTTAGGGGATATATCCAATGTTTAGCTTCGAGCATGTCAACCTTGAGTTTCATAAGAGGTGGCTGTAGGAACGTCAGTAAATAGGGCACATGCCGTGGCAAAATACACACAGGTCTGAGGAAATAACGAAGCATTTGCGCGATATAAGAATTGTACGACAATGTTCAAGAAACACGCTTACCCAACTAATGACGCGTAGAGTCAGTGTCGTTCCATAAGTTGTAACAAACCAAAAGACCCCAGACATACCTGACACGAATGGAGCAGGGAATTGCTCAAACTCGACGTGCTCCTCCTCATCGTCTCCGTCATCTTTTCCCTTGCCTTTGGCAGTCTTTGGTTTTTTCCAGCCTGACTTTGCAAACACAGTATGGTCCCACTGTTTCGTCTGAGGCGCCTGTTGGCCAAAAGGTTTGCGGGGACTCGACTTTGTCCGCTGAAGCGAGGAACGTTTAGTGGGACTTTGCCTACTGGAAGACACAGTCGGTTGCGCAATATCTCCGAACAGGGTTCGTTGCACAGTATTCTTGGAAGGAGGCCGTGCATGATTGCTTGGGCCTGCCACTGGTTGTGCATTTCCCTTATACACCGCATCAATGAAAGTATCTATGCGCTGAAGCTCCGCATCATCTATTTCGAGAGAAAGATCGAGAAACGAATCCTCTTCGTCCAGAGGTTTGGGTGCTTTGGCTGCAGGCGGGGGTGGCTTAGGAGAGTTTCGAAGTGGAGGACGATGAGCTGCCTCGATGACGTCCAGTTCGTTCAGGATGGCTGAGTCAAATTCATCGTCAAATCCATAATCGGACGAGCTCATTGTGAGGATGGGAGGAAGAACAAGAAACGAACGACCACTAAAGCTCAAGGAAGGTTGAACGCGTGACAGTTTACTCCAATTTTGAATTTACGCGACGGTCACATGACCCAGCGAATCAAATTCTCGTGATAAATACATGCAAGTGCTTAGAAACCAAATTTGTAATAAGCACCTTTGTGATGCGACTACATTGTAGTAAGAAAAATAAGTACATTGCATTCTACGTATGAATCGAAAAATTCGGCTCCGAGGACAGTCTGTGGTGATGAATCGACCAGTATTCGTTCCTCGTTTTTGACGCGTCCTCGTCACCCACCAGCGAGTGCTCGCACAGTAGCCAGCTTGATTATGATTGACTCATTACTGTTTTGTAGATTAGCCTTAATTTTCGGAGATCATGCAGGTCGAGCATTCAGATACTCACAACCTCCAGATCCCACTATTTTTTGTGTATATTTCATCTTCCTTCTAACTTCAAGTTTTTTGATCTTCAATGTTATGTATATATACTTCGAAGTCGGCTAAACGCGTTAGTTTGATTTACTTTCATTCGAAATGTACGTAAGTCGAATCACACGAGGCCTGAGTCTTTTATCAACACTACAATAATTTAATCAAGAGCCTGATATCGATCGAGGCAGGAGGAAAGTTTGCACAGGAGTAAGCATATTGATCAACTCCGCAACGAACTGCATGTCGTACGATCAACCACTGTACCAACGCGAAAGAAACACCACTCACTGTCTTCATGCTTAGTCCATTGGAAGAGGGTTAATGGCAGTACGTGATCGTGCCATAAGCCTATTGGTACAAGGCGCAAAGGTGAGTCGCGGGGTGGATGTAAAGCAAACGACTCATACTCACACCCGTCGAACAAGCAAGGCCTTGACAGCATGTGTCGCCGGACGTGCTGCTCGAGCCACAAACTCCGTTTAAACTTGCACATGCGCTGACAGACATAGATGATGCTAAAGCCGCAACGACTGCGAGGAGAAATGAGAAACGCATAGCTCGTGCTAGGTTATATGGGATGTGTCAATAGGAACAGTAGCTCTGATTCTGCCAGTGACAGTCAGTATCAGGAAGACTTGCTTTTATAACTTAGTAGAAAGTGTTTTAAGAAAGTACTCGGCACTTGTATCAAAATGATTCAAGCGCTTGCCAGCAGACTTCATGAAGACTTCAGGTTGAACGTATAGGCAGATTTGAAGGTTGGCGGATAAGACAATTCAGACTCCAGAGCATGTGAACTGTAATTGGAGATGAACTTAACACAACCGCCAGTATTAGGCTACGTAGCGGGTTGGAGACGCACCTTATAGTAGGCACAAGTCCAAAATAGTGTCGAACTTGGTTACGGTCGACGTGTAAATCACAATTGAATGCATATAGGTGCACAAGCCACAGATGGAATCCGAGTCCTGCTAGCGCTTTAGTGGCATCTGGTCCAGGAAAGTCTTACATACCGATACAGAGTTCACCGTACGGCCAAGCAACGTGGGCCCTCCATAAAACCAGTAAGCGTTCGCTACTACTGACACACATAACGTAGATGCCAAGAACCTCACGTGTGGACCAGACCTGTCACTGGAATCACACGATCATCATCATACACAGCTGTGGAGTGATCTCAATATTTGCCCCAACCACGATAGGCTGAACTTTGAGTGCTGAATCCGACCGTACGGAGTGGTACCTACTACTTGATGGTTGTCCCACTGCGCTGGAGGCTAGTCACATAAGTTGAATTTAGAGAGTAGCCTGAGAGAGAGAGTAAAGGTCAGAAACGCACTTTCCGAAAGACGGGCTGATCCAAAGGGAGGTACTCATTCTGGTGAGCCCGTAAGCTTACGGTTGCAAATTTGTCAAGGCAGTTGTAGCGTGGTGGGCCCTGTGGACTACTAGCGTGGTGTTGCAGATTAAGTATCATTGTCCTCCCAATAGTCGATCGGATCGGGGTTTCAAATTATGATTTTAAGACGCAAGTTACTAATTGGTTGCCTTCGCATGAGGATACCTTGAGGTCTTCTATTGATCAATTGACCGCACGCACTATTACCTACTATTACTGTGCTGTGTTAGATCAGTCTAGGTTGAAAGGGACCAGATGAAAATGCCGCGGTCGTGAAGCGGTATCACAAACCTCATCCTCTACTGCCCACAAACAAATAATAATCACTACGGGTTTAAACTGTATGAACCTAACTTGTGCTATACCACTTGAACGAGCTGCCGTGACTGCGTTTCGCGTGAATATTCGTGCACCCGGACCAAACCCGGAACCCAGCTGAAGTTCACCCTCTACCTCCCATGATCTCGGGGACAATATCAGATCTCATAAATCACTCACAGAGTTACAACCCCTGGTGAGCTTAGGTTTAAGCAAGTGATTTCAGGGACTTGTGCGTGCTCGCCACGATATCAGCGCTTTCTTTTATTTTTGTCGTTTTGTTTCCTTCCATCGTGCTTTCGTTATGTTTCGTTGCAAAGGGTTTGATCTGCAACAGATCATAGATAGATTGTTCAATGCATGTTTACAACTAGACATGGAATTCGAATGCATACCTATCTCAAACTTAATACCGTCGTGTACATGAGGCTCATAAAGCCACCTTTCCCGCAGTTGTAAGATGAGGAGATCACCAGATTCGTGAACTCACTTCGATGTATATGAAGTAATATCATCAAGATGACCGCGACAATAAATGGCGCAGCAGACACAAAGATAGACTACAATACACAATACTTCATTAGCATTACAAACACGTGAGACGCGATCACAAGTACCCATTTGCCGTGACTGCTGATGTGCTACCACCGACCGGTGTTGTGGAAATCTTGATAAGAAAGCGCTTCACCTGTACCACGGTGAGGTGTTGGGAAGACCTCATATAACATTCCATACATCTAAAGAAGAAGAATCAGTGCATGATACTCAGCTCAATAAATCACCCGCACTGCATTCCTGTATGTATTGGGTCAGCATGTGCGTTTTGTGAGGTCAGAATCAAGTGCGCACTGTGTAAGACTGGAGGTATGGAATATCCGAGCACCGCAGATGTCGTTCTTTTCGTTGTGAACAAGAAGAGGAAGAGTCTAATCATCATAGTCGACACAGCCAATGCAAGTTTCCGTCTCCCTATGAGCTACCGACCAGTGCCACGGTGTAATTGACTACCGCACAGGCCCGGAGATCTCAAGGACGGATCCGATCGTGAAATTGCGATATGTCTTGCTCACGCTTGACTAACCAGATGCTGCACCTGTGCTGAAAGATAAAGGGCATTGAGGAGTGGGTGTGCAATGCCAATTAAACTGAACATCCGCAAGTCAACAAGCGCACCCTCTTTGGTGTAGATAAGGGTCACGTTAATTGCCAGGCGCATGCTGGAGAAGAGCGGACAGCCCATGCATGCCACAAGGGAAACTTTTTTGATGCACCTTCTGCTGCCAGTCCAAAAAGACCACTGAGGAAAGTTCAGCCACCTATCAAAACAATCTTTCGCGCAGCTTTGGATGCTGTGATATAGGACGGCGTGCTCGCCTCGGGCCAGATTAAACTCCTGGCCAATAAAAATTGACAAACCATACATTTAGAAATCAAGTGACTGATTAGATGAAACCCGTGTTAAATCATGCGCAAATGCTTATCTCACCATCTACAAGCCAGGCCAGTAATCACAAAGAGCTACCATTGATAGCGACCAAAGCGAAATCCTGCTCAGTGGGATAAACATGAGATATCTACCACAGGATCACAATCGTGCTCCACGCAGTCTTCTTGAAAATAACTATTTAACTGATTAAATGAGCAAAAGTCGCCAAATAGCCCATGAGAGAATGCTCCTTGCTTACTGAAATGACACTTGAGCTTGTAGTCCCTCCCGAGCCATCAGCACGACTGATTTGAGACAATATTGCTGAGAACGACTTGCTTCTTTTCTGTTGCATCGTCAGATTCCTCGTGAGCGACGGATATGATTCAAAGGATGGTGCTTAGCAACAAGAATGTTAGACGAGATTCAAATGCGAGAAATAGAAGCGAGGCCACTCTATGTCGGACCCAAGACATCATCGATTCCTCAATGTGCAGATAAGAATTCAGTTGTTTAGTTACTCAGCGCTCATCAGCAACATGATTCCACCGAAAAAAAACTGTTTGATGTCCTCGGCGTTTCAAAATGGATGAACGTGTCATCTTTTGCGACAAGTGAGTACCTGGAGCATGAAATCAAAGATCGCATGTAGTTACCAACTACCTCAAGTCAACGATGAGCTTCCAGTTCTGTTGGTGAAGTTGTGTTAACAGCAGCTAAAATGAAGATTAACACACCTTCTCGAATACCTTTCACCAAAAAAGGATCAAATAAGTGATGCTCTAGAAAAATAACAAGGCGAAAGTAGATACGCAGAAGCTGTTACAGACCAGCACTGCATACTGAGCGATCGTCTAGCTCCAATAAATGTATGTTTAATATGATCGCAAAAACGCCCGACTGCAAACAAGGTGCAACTATGCGGAATAATTGTTGTCGTACAGTGAGATGAAAGACCTTGTGGCATATACTCTTCGTGGAAACTAAAACGGAGGAGTTTCAGCACGAGTTCGCAGCAGCGGGAAAACACGCTGATCAAGTCGTTTCGTGAAAGTGTGGCGCGTTGTATGGCGTGACAAAAAGATCGTCAGGATCTTTTTACTTCCATATACGACGGGCCCGACTGTCCATCCCGAAGTCCGCAGCTATTAGATTCATGGCGTCGTTCTTCACGGGGTGCAAAAGACTAGTTTCAGCGCGGGTCCGTGGCAGAAAATAAAACGAGGCTGAAAAGACATTCCAAAAAGTGTGGCGCGTTATATCCATGAAACGACAAAAAGATCGCGTGAGTCTTTTCAGAACCATACGACATCGATGGACCCGTGCACTGCCCATATATAATGTAAACGAAATATTAAAATAGTGGGCAACTTACTTGAGCCCTTGGACCGGCCACCATCAATCATTCCGCATAGAAATTTCATGATGATGGTGATGAGTCATTGCCATTACCTTTGACCAACTTTAAGGTATCTGACCCTTGTAATTGCAAGGTGATCAAAGCCGAGTGGGATAGCCTGGAGGGGCAGCTAGTGAGGCAGACTTTCATGTGATAAAATTTAGAAAGAAGGAAGACAAGTTCGTTTTCAAATTCAAAAGGCAGCACAAAGGTTAAATGCTGACTAATATTAGTAGGCGGTCTGGTAGGAATTGTCTGCCAACTTATAACTATGTATGCTACAGGATTGCAATTTGCAGACTCCGAGGTGTCATGGCAAGGCGAGAAACGGATTGATACGGATGCACGTGACTCAGACCATCACTATTACACCCTTCGTGGAAAGTTCCTTAGGTTCCCTTGAACGTCCTCTTTGATGCTATCAGGCCCTTGGGAAAGTATCGCAAGTGATGATGATGAAGGGTGTATTGCCGATAAAGAGTGCATTATGATGCAAGAGGAGGAGTGGGAGGTGCTAAAGGTGCGTTCTGAGTCAGAGTTGAAGTACGGAATCAAGAATTGATTGGTAAAGAGCAGTCAATTTTTCCAGACGTATGTATATCTAACGATGCTGGGCCGTTTGGACGTGCGATCAAGCTAGAGATCCCGGTAGAACTGTCACCCGCACGGAGTGTAACCATCGTTCCTTCTACACCACCTCAAAGTCACTCTCACACTACGGGCCTGCTTACTGCGCTCCCGCCTTTCTTGCTCGCGTTGATTCTTCCTCCGGAATATCCGTTATGTGCATCACCCCGTATTACGTCGCTGACGTGCGCACATGGTTGGTATCCGAGCAGTGACCTGCAGACTCAGCTCGCTGGAATGTGGACGCATGATTCGCAAGGGGTTCTCTATACTTGGGTAGCATTCATCAGTGGAGGAGAGTTCCTGGAATCCGGTGACATCACAATAACCAACTCCTCCCCTTTGGCGCTCCTTCCGCTGCTTGAATCGTACGATACACGTGCCCAAGATACTGCATTTGCTGAAACAACGTTTCCCTGCGCGATCTGTCTGTCTTCACACAAAGGAAGGCATTGCGTGCGACTTGCGTGCGGTCATGTATTCTGCCGTTCGTGTCTAACAGATTTCTGGAGTTCGTGTATAAGGGAGGGCGATATTGGACGGGTCGGGTGTCCTGATGCTGTATGTGTGAAAGCAGGACAAGAAGCTGGTGAGGAAGATATAGTAAGAGTCGTTGAAGAAGAAGAGGTGGAGAGGTGGAAGTGGCTTAGAGAAAAGAGGGTGTTAGAGCGGGATCCTGGAATGGTGCATTGTCCTGCGTGCCAGACGGCTGTGCCGAGTCCAGAAGAGTCAAACGAAGAGAGTGGATGGGCACGGTTACGTACGTGTGCGAGGTGCGAGTTTGTGTTTTGTGCGTTCTGTAGACGAACGTGGCATGGGCCGATCAGCGAGTGTCCGTTGGCGGTGACGGAGTCGTTTGTGATGGAGTATATGGGGTTAGAAGAGGGCGATGCTAGACGCTATGAGATTGAGAGAAGGTGGGGTAAAAGGAATGTTTTGAGACTTGTTTTAAAGTATGAGGAAGAGAGAATGAACCGTGAGTGGATATCGAGATGTTGTACGAGTTGTCCTGGATGCGGGGTTCGAGTGGAGAAGAGTGCGGGGTGTAATCATGTGAGTGGATTCGAAAGTTCTTGTGAATCCCCCTTACCCCGCAATATGCAGATGACTTGCATCAAGTGTAAACAACATTTTTGTTATTTATGCGGTGAAAAGTTACCAGGTTCTGAGCCATACAAGCATTTTAATACCATAGGAAAGAATTGTTTTGAACAGTTATTTGATGTAGTGGTGTAGACTAGTCTAGTACCCTAGCTAGTCTTCCGTTGGTCTGTGCAGTCCAAGTGACTCTTTGTAATTTTATAAAATTGAAACCCAGCGTGCATTTTTGTCCTCAACGTCGTCAACGTCGTGCAAGCACTCGTCGTCGTCTTCCTCGTCTTCGTTAACGTCCTGTTTAGTTTCTTTTTCCTTTTCCTTCTTTATTTCAGTTCATACCAGTTTAAATCAATATAACAAACAAGTCAACTTGGTAATTCTTTACCCCTCCTATTAAATTTCAGAAACATACATACCCCTCTTACTCCTCTTCCTCTCCCTACACAATGGACATCTACTCAACTTCCTTCACTCATCCACGTCGCACACGCCATATTCACCCAGAGTTTCAAAATTCACTCCCACCAGACCCTGCACCTCCCGAAGATGTAGACAAACTCGCTATACACGCAATGTCAACCCACAACCTACACATTTCTTACCTACCAGCAGACCACGCTCACCGAGCTTCAAATTTTTACATCTCAGGACCCTACCAACAGGTCATGGCTGCTCGTGGTATGCTACTTAAAGACTGTCCAGTCCAAGTCAGTCCTCCTTTTTTATTATTTCTCTCTCATCCTCATCTTATCTTCCCAATAGCATCGCACAGCTATCAAAGTCGCTCGCGCTGACATCCTAGACGCTCCTTCCTCAAAACCAACCCTCAAACCAGACGTCCGTCGTAAACTGGACGACATCGCAGGCGCTACTCTAGCTCACATCGCAGTAGTAAACTCCCCTCTCACCCTAAGCAGTCGGACTCCCCCAGACGGCGTTAATAGTGCAGGTTGGAGCGGTCTCGAAACAGAACGCGTCTGCGAACTCGTCATCACTGGTCAGGGCGATGCTACGGAATTAGCAAGGGTCCGCTTATTGGTCATGCTAGACGAACTCGTCCGTTAATCCCATTTCTTCAACTTATTCACCTTTACCTGACCTATTAATGCACTTAGAGCGGTCTTCATTCCGAAATGTGCGAGATCGACCAGAAGCTCCACGCGATCGTCGCAGGTCGGAAGAGGCACGTTCTCCAGAGCATCCAGGAGGAGACCGCCACAAACATTTACTTCCCCTCGCCATTGCAGGCATTGGTCGGTCCTGATATCATTCCAAATACGACATCTACACCTGCAGCCCGTCATCCTCAGAACATCATATGGATCACAGGCGAGTTCTTTGGAGTACAAAGGGCGAGGGATATGTTGTATCAGTTGTCAGTCAACAAGGTCCGTCTCTCATCCAATCCTTGTATCTCTCTGACTTGTCTACAGAGGAAATCTGTCATCTCCCGTGACACCGTTATTGTCCCTCGTAAACTCGACTGGATGGTCCTCGACCGAGCCGAAGACCTCAAGTCTATCATGAGTGACAATGCCACATTTGTCCAATTCCCGTCTATTGGCAGTTCAGCCAGCCTCATCACCGTCTTCGGAGACCACCGTGTGAACGTACAGCGTACAATTCGATCTATAATGCAACTCGTGCGTCCTCTTCTCTTCTTATTTCATATCATTGAGTACCTCTAGGCCTGCCAATACTACGTCGCCTCCTTCTGGCTCCTACCAATCCAATTCAACGTCCTCCTCCCACCTACGACCCTCAACTCCTCCCAAGTGACCACGCTCCTGAAACAAATCTCACTTACAACTGGTGCGGAAGTTGTGTTCAAGAGCATGTGCTTCGAGATGCATGGCCTAGAGTATGAGGTACGCGCTGCGGTGAACATGATTCTAGAATTGGACATCGTCAAGGTACGCTTTATTTCCCTATTTTGTGCATGTACTCACACAGTGCAGGCATTCCATCACGAGATTCGTTTCCAAGTCGAGCTAGCCAATGAGCACCGAGAATTCATCTCAGGGAAGAAGAACGGCAAGATCAACAAAATCATGCAGACAACGAATGTCAAGATCAAATTTGAGACATTCAACGATCATAACTTCCTCATTGATGTTTCTGGCAACGATGCTTCCGTACTCACTGGTCTCACTCTCTTGCAAGAAGAGCTTCCGGCAGAGATATCCTTCCATGTACCCGAAGCGTATCACAAGCGCATCATCGGCATTGGCGGGCGGAATATCCAGCGGATAATGAAAAAGTATGGGGTGTATGTCAAGTTTAGCAACGCAGAAGAGTTTGCTGCTCTGGGAGGGTACAATGACAATGAGGATAATGTCGTGGCGAGGACGCCCTCGAAGAACGCTATTAACTTGGAGAACTTGAAGCAGTCGGTGATGGAGATCGTGAATCCAAAGGTGCGTCCGGCTTTATCCATCACCCGTTTGTCCCCTCTTTTCCTTCTTTATCTATTTTCCATCCCTTCTATATGGCATCTGGGAGGTGGGTGCTGACGAGGCGCAGGACAAGGACTATGTGAACGAGACGCTATCGATTCCCCGGCGATACCACCGCGCGCTACTTGGCGAGAAGGCGATATTCATACACGACATCGAGACCAAGACCAACTCGCGTGTACGATTCCCTGATAAGGAGACGGCTTCAGATGTAGTGACGATTTTTGGTCCCGAGAGTCAGGTGCAGATTGCTGCTGCGATGTTGCTCGTGCGTGTTCTTTGCTATGCTGAATTTGGTGCTGACGTCAAAGCAGGAACACGTCCCCTTCGAAGCAGACATGGCAGTCCCGCCCAACGCTGATCTTCCCAAAGTCTGCGCATCCGCCGACTTTATAACCTTTGTGGAGCGCATCAAGCGCGAGTTCCAAGTGGTCATCACCCCGAACGTCAAAGCACCTACGCCGAGCCCCACCAATGGCACCTCCGCATCGTCCTCCAGCGCGGTCGCGGTCGCGGACGTGGGCGAGTACTCGTTCAAGTTCCATTGTCAGAGGAGCAATTCGGATTTCTTGCTCGCGGCAAGGGAGCTGTTGGAGCAGTTCTTACTGAACCACAATGTACATGTGTACCCGTCGCCTACGGCACATACGCATAAACGGGGTGATTCGTTTGCGGAGGCGTTCCCGCACTTTGATAGCAAGGTGTTGTCGACTGCGAGGAGGCATGGTGAGCGTCTTTCGCCGTTGTTTTTATCATTATTTAGATCCTGACAATTATCTTTAGAATCCGTTGAACTTACCCGTTCGGAGATACTAGGTGATCGGAGGTTGAGGATGGCAAATTCATCGCCGGACGTAAAAGCATTGTTTAATGCTCCTGCATACATATACGATCTAGAGGAGCATGAGGACTCTCAATCAGCATATGGTCCGCCAGGAACGGGCCTTGACTACTGGACACCGCTACCCCCGATCGTAGGTCCCCTATCTCCGATCCCCACACCCTTAATGACACAGACCCAGGGCACGGGGATTGGTACACGACGAAATACCGAAGATGCGCTCAAGCGCGGGTCGGACTCGCTGCTCGAGTCAAAAATTAAGGAACAGATCAGCAAGCCCCGATCGTTGCAGAATCGGGCACAGTCGCTCGACCTCACATATTCGCTCTCGCGCATCACAGAGGCGAGTAATAGGCTGCCGCAGCCTGAGTCGCCTACGACGTCGACGGGTGGAGGCACGGGTGGGGATTCTAGTCCGACGAGTGCTACGGCGCCGTCGTTCCCGAGCGTGTATGGTCCGCGGTCGTCGGCTGTCATTGGCTCGTCGTCGCAGCGTGCTGCGATGAGGAGTGATGCTGATGTTGTTGATGAGGTTTCGAGGGTGATGTCGAACCTCGGGTTGTAACTGCTGCATCTGTATCGTTTCTTTCTTTCTTTTTTGTTTTCTTCTGCTCTCGCTCGCACGCGATCGCAAAATCAGCGTCGGTCTCTCAGGGACTATCCAGGATCTATTCAAAATGTACCAGGAGATCTTCTCTACGTTCCCTTCCCACATCTCGCACTCATCATGACTGATATCACACAACCGAACCCACATTCAATGATGTTGTTTTTTTTCCTTGTCCTTTCGTACCTACAATCATCGATCTACTTGTTTATCGGTTCCGCTGCTCTGTGTCATATACGTGGTTGCTGCTCGCTCGCTCCCGGTTCTTTGTACATTATATCGAATGATATTTCTACAGTAGTGGGCTGGTCATATTGTTATCCTTCCACTAATAGAACTATTTAACTTGGTTCTCGGGGGGAACATTGATTATTAGAGCACGATCCATGGTACCTCGTACAAGACGAAATCAAAGAATTCCTGTTCCATCAAGGACTGGTACTCTCCTGCGAACTCGTCGGCTGTGCCGTGTTTCTGGGCACGGCCCGAGGAGCGGGGACTGAGGTAGCTGAGGTGGTTCGTGAGTACTGAAAGGGTCTTCTTGGTGTACTTTGGTTCGGGCTGTGATTTATTGTAAATGGAAGTGAAGCGAGTCCGAGATACACAACGCACTCTGATAGCGAAGCCAACGTAATTCGCGGGTAGACCGTACCGAAGCACGCTCTCCACAAATAACCGAAGGATCTTTAGATGCAAGAAGATCTGGAAAGACTCAGAGAAATACGTCCGAGATAATCTTAAAAGTTCGGTCTGTGGAGGCGGTGAGAACAAGGGGGTTGCTGATGGTGATGGTGGGCTCTTACCCAGAGCTCTTTCTCCGTTGTGTCCGCTACCTCTAGGTCTTCTCCTTCTTTGGCTATTTGTTCTTCTGAGTAAATAAATTCGCGGACGATGAACCTGGTGGGATGTTATTGCGGGTGTGAGTGCGGTGGGGTAGACGTACTTGTTTTCACGACATTTCTGGACGAACTGGTCGTGTACGCGTTTGAAGATGACTACGCCGAAGAGGGTGTATTCGCTGTCTGATTCTATGAGTCTTTTAGAAGGTATGTGAGCCTTTGCGCAGAGGTATTGATGGTACATACGATGACGAACGGGGAACGACCATGTTAGTCAGTCGCTCGTACTTCAAGTTCCATTCCTTTACGAGGAGTCTGGGGTGAATATTTTATTGCTCAAGTCAACAAGCGTTCATGTAGGAGTACTCACTTTGGTACGGCAACTAGGCATGTTTCCAGGTATTCGGAGTCCTGGATGATGTCCTCTTTGGATACTAGGCCGACGAGGGATCGTATAGAGAGGTTCCCGCTGTGTTGAGGAGTGGTTAGCGCTGCTTGGAGGGCTATGTGTTAGAGTTCATGCTCACGTTTTCTTGCGCTGCATCTGAACTAGAGAGCCCTTCACGAGATTGTAGTTGTTTAGTTTGGCCTTCATCACATTGTCTATGGACGCCATTTCCTTGGGCGTAAATGAGTACCTCCCCTGCAGGAACGATGCACGGCAAGTACCTTGTTCAGGACATCAACCATCTCCCGCAGACTTCGTTGTACCCCGTATCGACTGTCGTTCCATTTCCAACCCCCAAGTACGTAGTAGTCGACGGTGCGCTCATTTACAAGGACATGTTGGGCAAGCTTGGCCGGGTCGTTGTTCAGCAAGTTGCGGAGTGTATCCACAATCTTTGCGACTGTGGCCGTAAAGAACGCGTCTTGTTTTGGCAGCTCCTCTGACAAGGCGATCAGGGAGTCTAATGTCCCTGTCTACACGACGATTCATGAGATGCCTGGTCCTTGCCCCGATGAGTACGAAATGAAGACCTTGAATGAGGGAATGCCAAGTTCTGCTACTCTCGTAGGCTGAGGGAGCTTGTTTGTGATTTCTGGTAGGAGACCCTCGGAATCGCCGTCCTGCGGTACTGCGATCAACCAAGTGCTTTGGTCGGATGGCATGTCGTGCTTTTGGTGAACCGACGGACAACAGTCAGCACCTAACGAGTACCGCCCAATATGGACTTACATGGTGAAATCAAGTGTGGAAATTCAAAAAATTATTCTTTAAATTTCAACTGCCATGTTGCTGGCCTTGCTGACACGGAATGGCGTGAATGCAGCTGGGAAACGCTTTCCGATAGCTTCCTTGACGGTGAAGAGGGCCTTTTCAAGATCAATGTCGACGCCATTGTTGTTATCACCATCGCAGCTGCAGCAACTGCTTCTTTCTGAATCTCCTACTGATAGTGCCACCAAACAGGTATCGATCCTGGACTCTAGCTGGTTCATGCCCAATTCGCCGCGGAAGGCCAACGAAGAATTTCAAGAGAAGCGCATCCCTGGTGCACAGTTTTTAGACCTGGATGAGGTGTCCTCTCCCCATGAACTCGGCCTTAAACATATGATTCCGAGTGAACGTCACTTTACCGATGCCTGCGGTATGACCAACTGCCTTGGAGACTGGAATGATATTGCCTAATCCTCTTTCTTTTCCACAACAGAGGAATTCGGAATCGACCCCACTTCTCATGTAATTTTGTGCGGTTTCACACTTCTCCCATCAAAGCATACTTTTGAACCATATTATTGCGCAGATACGATACGCATGGAGTATTTTCATCACCACGTGCACTCTTCATGTTTAGAGCGTTTGGCCACGAGAAATCTAGTGTCCTCGACGGAGGTCTGCCACGTTGGGAGGCAGAGGGTTTTCCAATTGAGGCTAAGCCGCCGGTTCGTGCAAGGAAATCCGTTTATCCCACTCCTGTCTTCGATAAGGGAATGATACGGTGTGAGTTGACTTCATGTTCGCTATCCTCCAATGTCGTCCAAGCTTGCGGCCTCCAACAGCCTACGATCAAATGGTGTCAAACTCATTTACGGATCTTCACTCGGACTCAGCCGTCGAGCTTGTTGTTGACGCTCGTTCCCGTGGTCGGTGAGCAGACTAATAGCGAACTTCACGGACGAAGCTTACGGCTCCTTACGCTCGTAGGTTTCTAGGCACAGAGTCAGAACCGCGGGCTGGCTTATCATCCGGTCACATTCCTCATTCGTTTTCCCTGCCATTCACTGCATTCCTGCAAACTCGTACTATCCCTAATTCTTCCGTGCAGTACTCCACCTTCCTATCCCTTCCCGAATTACGGAATGCATTAGTGAGCCACGTAGGCGATCACGCGGAAGCCGTCATCCAAGGTAAACGACCAATCACCACGTCTTGTGGAAGTGGTATGACTGCGGGGGTCCTCTGGTTGGGACTGAAGTTATTGGGTGTCCAAAATGTGGCATTGTATGATGAGGTGAGCCATGATCTACCCGAGATTTTTTGCAGGTTATTAATATTTGCCAGTCTTGGACCGGATATGCGAGCCGGGCATCTAGCAAGATCGAGAAGGCGGCAAACTGAATTTTTCCATTTTTGATCCATGCCACAAATATCGAAGACCTTGAAATGTGTTCGCATCGAAATCAAGTATATGCCATTGTGCTGGTACGTCATATACATGAACTACTAATGTGGTGCTACATAACTATCTTCTATCCCCATGTTTCCCTGCTATTAGTGTTGACCTAAGGTATACAGTAATTTGCCGAATCCTCTCGGCTAAGAATACATTATTCAATGATGACCCATGCTGTCCGTGGATTAACAACAAAAAATTTCTCAAAATTCCGGATGACGATCTATAACAGTCATTAATCCCTTGATACCTTTGGCTGCTTCAATTTCAACAGGTCTCTGTGCATCAGGCCAGCATGATCGAGCCACCGTGGCTGAATAATGAATCTATAGAAAGGATCGATCTTGTTACTAATTGACACGGAACGGAACACTCACTGTGACCTTGAATTGGTCGCGGCGCTGGTATCTAGGATGCCGAATCTCGCAGTCCCATCTAATGGCGTAGGTTAGCAGCGAATGGAACAAAGATAGAGGATGTGCTGACTTTTCTTCCAGGAGAACATTACCACCCATCTCCTTTGCTGTCGAATACAAACCCTTACGAGCTAGATTGACGAGTCTTCCAGCATCAACACCTCCTTTGCAGGTGAACTCGTCCTTGTGTTCTACCCTGGGACCAACGATTGTTGGTTTCAAATCTGCTAAACATGGGTGTGTGCGCGCTGGCCCGGACGAGCTCTCGACGCATTCTGTCTCCACTGCATGACTTTTGGGGCCGTGATGTATCTGTATACCAAAATGATTATGACAGAAGTCGGTTAAGGCGCGGTTGCAGACTCGGACCATGAGAGTTGGTGGAGAAAAGATGTTCTTGATAGTCATAAAGACTGAGAGAAGTAGGAGAGCAGTTATTTGAGTGTTGATAGTTACGGCGCCATTCTGTGACGCGGTTGGATTATATACGTGCCAGTGGCCGAACTGAATTATGGCTGGTTTGGGCCTTTCCGCTTTCCGAGGTGTCCCACTGATGGCAAGAACCCTACCACGAGGGGCCACCAAAATTAAGAGTTTACATTTGCAAATTGCTTGAGGTAATGCACGATGAATCTGCTGATACCCCTTAGTCCTCTGGGATCGTCACATCTTGCGAAGACCTTCATTTCTGGATATGGTGCGTCATGTTCCTTACGACCAGCAGGCGTGTAGAGCAAGGATGTACGAATTGGGATGTCAAAGATGTGGTAGGACAGCATGAGGCAGAAAAAAATACACGATGGGATAAATATATGATGGCCTGGACTCTCGGCGGCAGATACAGTTGTGGACAATAAATTACGAAAAAAGATGCTGCGACTCCAAGACGGCCATGAATGGTGGAGGGTGGAACGGTGGCGCTTTGCCTGACACGTATGCTGGTCGTCCTGCATATTGTACCTCTATACGATGCGACTTTCCCTTGCGATAAAGAGTTAGCGTCCAGCTATCATTGAAGGTGTAATCAGGCGACTTCTTAATGCCGTATACACTGGAATCACTCACCCTTCCAACAATAACATGTTGTAACCGTTCTTCACAATCTCTTGAAACAACTGTTGCCTGGCGAAAAGCACCGCCCTACAGTAATCAGAACCTTGGGGTGAACGCTTCCCGAGGTCAAAGATGTATGTGCCACACGTGTCCGTATCTGTGACACGCAAGATATCGAGCTCTGGGATGGGGAGTAGCTTGATGGGAAATGATTCACAGGCCCAGAACCAAACCAACGCACCATCGCCATCATCGATCATTGGCACAGGATCGATACACTCGCAACCGACAACCTCCCAAGATTGCTCGTTCTTTCGACAGAACCACTTCATGGCTGCGGCGAAGAAGGTCAACGTAACCCCGATGCCTTTGACAGACGGGCTAACATGAGGAAAACGCTGTTCGGATTGATATAAGACCTTGCTCGGCACTGCCACTCGGTCGGTAAGGGCGCTGACTGCGCGACAGACGGCTAAGCATGAATAAGTCTAGCTGATTTTGTCACGGCTCAGATAAGATCAAATGAGGCCGAGACAAGGCGCTCGAAGCATGATGTGGGCTGTCATCACGAGATAGGAACCTTCACTGCATCTAACGGCCCGTTTCTTGCGAGTAATTCTTCGAAAATGTCATGCTGATGAGTGATACTGATATCGGATCCCCGTGCACGAACGTTTGAAGCGTCATTCGAATTTGAATGCGTAGCCGAGGACGGGTGCCCAGTGAATATCCGACCATGCCGCAGGGTTGCGCAAGATCTTCTCGGGCAGTGCTCGGGCATGTGATTCTCATACGAATGAAGCCAGAATTATCCAGGGATTACTTTCGACGAGATTGCTTCGATATGAAAATTTTTCGCATACAGCCGGGAATGAGAGGCACGATAGGGTGATCATGATTATACACCCTGGACTGACACTGGTTTACAGAGAAGAGCACTGGATCCACTTGTCCAGATTGTAGAATCAAACCGCGGAGCTTGGATAAAGGGCTTTTATATAAAGCCTGAGAGTCTGCGAATCCCAAGTCATAGCAATGAGCTCGCCCGGGACGTTGTTTATATCTGTTAGGTTCGGAGGGTGCAGTGGGAGCTTCAAAATGACCGAGACTTTAAGTACCGCGGTGCTACAGGGTATTACGGTACTTACTTACTTACTATCCACCAACAGGGCCTCGTGCATTAAAAATTGCTTCAGAACAGACTCATCTACCTTATCTATTCTCCGATTCCTAGTACCGACTCATACATGAGGCACACCGACAGAGAAGGCGATCAGGGCACAGCGGCAATTTCGTGCTGTTTGACGTTTTCTTCGATAAAACTTATCAGAACCGACATGCTGCACCAGAACGCGGCGACAGGCAAGACATCCTCGTTCTACATTATGCATTTTTGCTGAGGTATTCTTACACGTTCTACGCACCTCGGCCTCACTTTTTACGCGGTAAAATCGAGGGAATGATACAGTCATTCGGTATCATGGGCCGGAAGTTCCTGGACCTGTAATCTCAGTGGTCAGTGCTTATATGTGTGATATTCCGATGGTACTAATCAACGGCAACTTCAATATCTATCGCTTGTCGGGAAAATGCAGGACATGCATGCTTATGATCTACAGTGACTTTACGCTAGTGAGCTCTTTGCCGCGGCTCCCGGAACGGGAAATGGCTCCACCATTTGTTTTTGTTCATGGCTCTGCAGCGGTTCAACGATTTACACTCTTTCGCGTAAGGCAAGTACGGCGGTATGCCATCCTGATTAAACGTGGCATATCGGTAATCCTCCATGCTCCACTTCGCCAATCATGCACGCCATCGTGTTGGCACAATCTGCAATACCCGAGGCACACAAAGTAGCCTTATCTTTGCCGAGGTCCACCTGGACATTTTTTTCCGGTCAGTCGATAAGCCCACAGATACACCACTTGCAACAGCCTTCCTGCAAATTTATGCTCCAATCCGTGTCTACTCGCAGCGGTTGGTGCGGTGCTGACCTCTCTGCCTGACCAACTTGATCGCTGTAAATTCCCCGACATCAAGTGTATTCACTCGCATTTGGTTATATTCACCGTGACATTTGAAATATCGTTCTAAGCTCCAGCTTTACATCATCGCCTTCAGCGTCGCATCCGCGCTGCAACTATGATCACTGTCACCGCATGCCAAGGCAGGCCCCTTATCGCTCACCTTGGTGTCAAGTAAAGTCGGCGGGATGACATGTGGATGATCGTTTACGTCCTTGAACTCGTACTATGATGTGTGCCACAACGTGGTCCGTTCATTGGAGTTCTGACTATTGGAGGAGAATACAGAACCATGAATATGTTAGCAAATCTAATCTTGCAGTTCAGAATGAATACTCCCCCTAATCAAGCAGACTGTTCTCGAGTGCCTCTGCCCAGCAATTTTCACGCGGTTCGAAAATTGAGTTGTCTCCAGATCGCGCACTGAATCGCTGAACCCCCTCTGAATCGCGCTGATTTGTCTCTGAATCGTGCACTCCAACTACCACTAATAGATGCGCAGTAAGTAAGTAATAGTGAAATGAACCGGATATTACGATTTAACGCAAATATGTGTACGAGAATCAAGCGAACGCACGCTCCTCACGACAAACTAACTGCCTTCTGAAATGCCGTCCCTCATCGTATCATCATCCCGATCCCAATTCCCAAACACAAACTGCCCACCATTGCTATCCTGACCTGGCTATCTGCCAACTTATCGACAAAGGTAGAAACGCTCCTGCTGAGCAATCTCGTCGCAGGATCAAGGAGGCACAGAGAAAACGAAATTAATGATGATAAGTGCAGTGGATCAAAGCACTGCTGCTCTGGAACCCTCACGGGGTCTTCGCGCTCGCAGGAGATAGCGACATCCTGGGACAATCGAGATTCCCATTCTGCTTCCCATTTCGCCTTGTTCCATAAAGGTGCGTTGGAAGACAGGGAAACCATTTCTCGATGGGAGGCGTTTATTCTCTCTACGGCGCACTCGACTTCACGCCAGCGAAGGAAGCGCTCTGCTGCCTCAAATCGTAGTGAAGAAAGCGTCTCTGGTGAGCGAAAAAGGCCGTTTCGAAGAGCAGCTGTTGAACGTGGCCTGAATGAAGACATGTGGGGGCGCGAAGGGAACTGTGTATGATCTGGACCACGACGCATGAGTATGACAGGGATATGTGGAGTAAGTAAGTCGATGGGGCCGTCCTCAGAAGTAGACGGGCCTGTATAATGCAAAAGTCAGAAGTAGCAACCACAGTGCATGGAACTGATATTCACCTGAGCTGGATAGGATAATGAGCGCGGTATGCAATGGCGACCACGGTGATGCAATTAAGTTAGCCAGAGCAGCGGATGCCTGACATCGGGGATCAATTAATTCAGATACTGAGTGAAATGGCGACTGGATAACAGGTAATATGGAAGATTTCGTTAACTGGGGGGGGAGGTTAACTTGAATCGAGTCACCGTGCATATTATGACGTACATTATCATCGAACTCGTGTCGTGCGATAGATATTATCTCAACATTCTTTGCAGGTTCGAACTTCTCAAGTCCGTGGGCATCTCGATGCTCGATCCAATCTGTGGATGCTCTTAAAATCGAACCGTATTCGAAATCTTCCCATCCACTAATATCCACAACATCTTCGTTGTCGTCCAAGAGTATATTGGATACCAGCTCACGGTCATCGGCACCATTCCCTACGACTAGCAACCTCAGGTCTCCAAGGGTTTTTCCAAAAGGAGTGGGACAACGCAATGGAGCTGGTAGGGTCAGAGACGGTATGATAAGCCCCTGTGTACTAGAATCCCGTGTATAGTGATTAGACTGAGGCTGGAAGCGCGGTGGACTGGCAGCTGCGGAAGAAAAGAAGAATGAAGAGCCGACGGAAGGTAATGAGGATACCGACTCAGAAGGGCTGTTTGGGGAAGTCGCCAGGGCGCTTGACCGTGGTGATGACGGCTGGGAATGTCCTGGGATATTCTCCAATACTTCTTGAGGAACGTGCAAAGTTCGTATTGTCGATATGCTAATTGATGGGTTGGATTCCATGGCTAGTGACTAGAGCCAGAGCTCAGGCTGTAGAAGTACTAGTAATGTTCTCAAGCACTGCTGCTGACGCCACTCCATTAGAGTACACGTGTTTGGTCTATTTATTACTAGATCACTCATTTTTATTGTCTGAGACAAAAATGGAATTATACAAGATGGAACCAGTGGAACAGCAAAACAGCTAGAGTGAAAACAACATATCCTCAATCAAACGTGGTAAAGTTTCACCAATAACTCCTCGTCAATTGAGAATGCCTCCGGGTCCTGGAACTGCGACACCTTCCAAACTCCATGTCCTGCACTTTCTCTTAAGACAACATGCTTGCCTTTGTGAATTCCGCGCAAAACGAGAGCATGATCTTCTACCTCCTCTGGCTGGACAGGTTGAAGGTAGATCGTCGGTACGTGAACCGGAGGGCCCCCTGGCGAATCCAGAGGGTGGAACAATGCTGTGATCTCAGACAATGAAGCAAAGGCTGAGGAGACATAACCCCTCTTGAGCTCCAAATCTCCGTCGAGCCATCCTGCATCTTCCGAGCCTCGGATCTCCACCACCACTTTTTTGTTCGCGATCAAAGGGTCACGTAACACCAAACCTATTCCTTGTGTAAATAGAAGGCATTCAATTGTTTTGATCATGCGTACCGAAGTCCGAGTCATGGTCATCTTCATTACCCGAAACACCTGGAGTAGGTGCAGACATTGAACCAGGGTCATTCATAATGCCTGCTGGTGTAGGTGCACCTGTGTAGGCAGCAGGGGTCGGTGCAGATAAGAACCCAGGGGTTGCCGCAGCAGCTGGCGTTGGTGCGTTCTGATTGCTCATAAGTCCGAAATCAGATTGAAGCTCAAGAGGAACTCACCCAAGACGACCAGCTCGAGTCTGCTGGACGTGCAGGTGATGCACTACCACCCCAGCCGCCTGATCCCCACGATGGCTCACTATAGGGATTCGGTGTCCGCGAGGACGCATTCCATGCCGGAGTTTTACCACCATCACCACCACCAGCGTATGGATTCGGCGTCCGTGACGAGGCATTCCATGCGGGGGTTTTGCCGCCATCAGTAACATATGGATTTGGCGTTCGTGACGCGGCGTTCCATGCAGGTGTCTTGCCATCCCCACTGGGAAATGGGTTTGGAGTCCGACCCCCCCAACCAGGGGTACGGCTAGCAGTATATGGATTCGGAGTCCGACTGGGCACTCCGGCTGGGGGACCCATATTTCGTTGTTGGCCTTGTTGATGGTAGGGCGCACTAAGTGGCTGAAGTTTGCCATCCGGACTGTAATTAGAGGTAAGCAGAAGAAACACCGACAGACAGCAAATGTCTCACAGTCTCCGATACAGCTTTTGTTTTTCGATGGTAATAACTTTATTGCCAGTATTTAGCTCTACGCGCGCCAGGGTACCGTTAATGTCTTTGATGATACCGTTGTAACCCTTGTGATTGCCTTTGACGACTGTTATGACTGCGCCAATGTCACGGTCTCGTGGCCCACGTCCCATTGCACCAGAGCCAACCATGCCGCCTTGAGCACCACCAGCAGCGGTGGGATTCATCTTGCCTAAGTCCATCCCTGGCTTGACGAGGTTACCCTTTGGAGCGAGCGATGATAGGGAGCGACACCGGGTTACGAATACGCCGCCATTTTCGATGATGTCCCTGTTGTGTAGGAAGGCGAAGAATGACTGGTGAATGTGCAACACTCGGCCTTTACGAGTCTGTAAAACATTAAAACCGCGGGATTGTTAGATGCTACGAGAAGGGACTGACCTCTCCTTCAATCTCCTTGACATTGTCTTGTACGCGAAGTTCGTGACCTTCAGAGTCCGTGGCAATGGCACGGTCAGAGTTCCGCCGCATCGAGATTTGGTGAGGTTGCACCAATCGTACTTGACCATTCTGGTCAAGAACACGGAAGGAGTCTCGCTCGGTTTTGAAAATGACACCGACAGTTTGCAAGCTGTACACCAATAATCAGATAAATACATACAGGAATGCCGGTGATCGGCTTACTCGAGCTGGACCAAGTCGTGCAATTCGTAGTTGCCAACAACGTTGGTTCCAGAACCGACTTCGGCGGCCTCACGCAGATCTTTGGAGAATACGGAAACCTGCGAGGATATTAATATCAATCAAATAAGAGTTAACGAAACCTCAATTACTTCTTGCATTGACATATCTGATAGGAAAGTCACCACGTTGTCTGTTACCGAGATGACAAGCCCCGTCTCGTCTGCGTTCTGACCAGTCATTACCTTGACATGGTCACCTGGTTTGAAGCGTTTCCGCACGCTGCGCGCAGGGACATCCACCTTCTGACCATCGATATCAACGCCAATAGCTGTGACGGTCACGACATCTTGATTGATCGAATCGACGACACCGTAGACACCAGATTGCTCGCCCTCGAACACCTCGACATGATCACCGGGCTGCAGCACGGCAATGGCAGCTTTCCGTGACGCCTCCGCAATGATCGACAGATCCACCGGATTTTCGTTATCGGCACCATCCTGCCCTCGGCTGAACTTCGTAATCTCGTCCAGTGTCGGGTTGACGTTATCTAGCTGCAGAGCATTAAGCTTGAAGTCCTTCTCGATGAACCCATCTTTGTATGTATCATTCTGGAAGACGTAAACCTGGTTCCGCTTTGAGACCTGTTTGCGCCCGTAAACCTTGACGACCTCCTCGTAGTTGAAGAACCGCTGTGGCGGTCGCATCGTCGTCAACCCAGTACTAGCCTTCTTGCGCTTCCGACCATCAACGTTGGCTTCGTCCCGTGGGTTCAGGTCGATACGCGGAATGAATTTGAGTCCAACATCCTCGCCGTTCTCTGTGATGTCCATGACCTGTGCAAGATCACCTTGGTACTTGCCACGCTTGATGCGCACCCAGCTTCCGGGAGTCACGGTAAGGTCTTGCTTCTTTATTTGCAGTAAGCTAGCCATTTCCTCGATGGGGACCAGCACAATGCCGCGACTCGGATACACGCCGACAAGACCCTTGCAAGCCTGGTTGACCTGCTGGGCACTCCGAGCTTCGACGTATACCATACCGGGAAGCGAGTCACGTTGGAATGCAGATAGGATCGAGAGAGGCTGAGCGGTGTACTCGAGATCAATTGCTTTCCTCATGAGACTAAAGACAATGTCGCGTTCGCGACCAGGCTGCCATGTAATTCAAGCCTCAGTAATCAGGAAGAATCCCCGAGAAACTCACCTTGACTCGAACTTGCCATAAGCTTGCATCATGCACGGATGGCATCAGCAGGCGCTGCGGTACTTCATTCATGTCTCCCGTGTACCGCACTGCTGCTCGACCATAGCGCTCGTGAAGATTCTGGGCAATTTTAGCCAGATCTTGATCATTCAGCTCCCTTTCTCGCCTGTCCAACCGCGCATTGACCGCTGCGCGTCTATTCACGTCATCTTCATCGCCCTCTGGCCCAATATCTGCAATAAACTCATCTAGGATAATGAGTTGTTTATGGGAGCATGAACGAGTTAGTAAAATGGCTCATACCTCCACCTGCCTCATCTTCCTCCTCCTCTTCCTCCTCCTCGGTATCGACTTCGGCCTCGACATCAAGGAAACGATTCACAGCACTACGTCTGTGCCGGTGCTGCGATAGATTAATACACACAGCGGCGCAGGTCAACAAGGGCACGGACCTTGGCGCGCTTTCGCCCACGGTCCCTTCCAGGTTCCTCATCTTCCTCATCCTCATCATCCTCGTCTTCCTCTTCTTCGTCCTCGTCATCTAATGCGTCATAAATGGATCCTCGAGACTTCTCATTCGCCCTCGGTTGTGACTGCTGCTCATTATCCTCCTCATCGTTTTCCTGTTGAATTGTATCCTGTATGTCGTAGTCATCATCCAGACCGGACATGATGTTGTGGTGAGACACAAGAGGGAAGTTGCTGGTCTAGGTTTGCTGGAGTTGCGCTCAAAACATATCTTTCAATGGACATGGATTAGTCATCCGATATAAATTACATAAGCACAAGCCGCCAGGATGTCAGAAGGTTGAGTTGAGTTTATGTAAACTTGAATTCAATTGAAATTACGTGGGCCATGCCATTGGGATCTGGCCAAGTTCGTCAGACGGATACATAAAAGCAGTGCTGAAGCATCCTGCTCGAGAAGATGCCGTTTACTACCCTTTCACAGAGCAGAAAGTATCATCATCGCCATGCTAAGCACTCCTGCAACGATGATTCCTGCTCCACCTTCTACCCCTTTACCAGCACTGCTCTTAGTAGAAGTCGTAGAAGATGATACGTTCGTGCAACCGGACGAGGCGTTAGCCGGCGGAACCGTCAAGTTAGCAGATAAAGTTAAGTCTGCACACTGTCACAATGTTCGTTTCAATAATCATATTCATAAAAAAAATAAGTGGAAAAAGACTGCCTACCTGGTAGAGATTACCGTCACCGCCATTGAAGAGAACCTGGATGGTAACATTCGCGCCATCTTGAATTCCGGACACATTCACTGCTGCAGCAGCGATATCGATAGGGAAACAGTACAATCCCTCCCCGCTTTGCTGGAAGAATGGAACTACAACCTGATAACCAGAGCTAGAATTGAAATAGCTAAAGTTATTAGGGTCTTGATATGTCGAGATGAGGACCTCCGCTGTATTTGTAAATGATCAACTTCTGCAAGGAAAGAGCAGCTTCCCTTTACCTACCTGTCCACAACGGATGTTCGCTGTTCATGTTGATGATCCCGTTACTAAAGGGGAATACGGTACGGTTATTTACAGCATCGTTGTAACCGTCTACGGAAAATCAGATGAAGCAATGTACACAGACGCCTAGACTATGTTACACTCACCGCAGAACGTTGGTTCTGAGTCTTCGACGAAAGGACCTCGTGGAATAGGATATTGCATCTGAAAGTGGGCTTGCACAGCTGTGGCAAGGACGGCGGCGGCAGCAATGAAGGGGAGAATCATTTTTACGATGATTGAAGAGACTAGACTCCCAAGAAAGAATTCAAAGCTTGCTTCCAGTTTATTCAGTCTGCTCCGCTTCTCGTATTTAAGGTTGAGGTACGAAAAAGTTTTTCACACTTATTTGCTCTTGTTTCCGAACCGGTTCCTATGCTTTTCGACCCGGTAGCCATGCATGGCAGCCCAACATTATGATAGCTGGTTCAGATTTAAATTTGCCGGGCATCCCAGGACCTTTCTGGTCTAAACAATGCTCCATTAGTGATGTCTCCCACTTGAGCTTGTGTTCACTCGCATTTCAGAGTTTACATTTCCAGCGACTTAATGTAGGCACTGATACTCAGGCTGCCAGCATTAATGTAAGCAGGGTTCCTTTCGCCTCCATTTTCCTCGCCGCGGGTCTTCTCCGAGACAGTACATGTCATCGTATGCCACCGTGGTCATGCACGCTGTCTTTAACAGGCTGAAATCCCAACGCAGGGTCTATCGTGTTCCTGGTCCAGGACAATAATATGCGCCCAGTCATCGGAACGGCTCTGCACAGGACCCCTGATAATCCATACTAAGTACTGTCCTCAATTCACCTCAGGAGAGGGCGAAATTCGTCGCTAGGGCCGCTCCCAGGCCACTTATAAATTGGGGGGTCTTGGAGGCTTGTCCCAGGTCCACCCCTCCGGCGTAGAATTTTTTCGTCACATGTTGGAAATATTGTCGGCCGAACGGAAATCTAGCAGAACATTTATTGTAGACTCGTTAAATCACATTCAAATTACATTGGCTTTCAATCTTTGACTTTGTCTCGATCGAAAGACAGGAAGTGACTATCATCATTGAATTTGTTGCTATCACCCGGATTTAAGCAACTCAATACTCAGTGGAATCCGACCATGAAGACTTTGAAAAGCTAGTAGTTCTTGATTCTACCGAAGAAAATTAACCTCCGGAGGCGGTCCTTAACAAGGATTATCGGGGGTCCTCTCTGCACTCACGCAAAATCCGCTATCACTGTGCAGATTGGTTGCGTCATCCAGATATGCATCAAATTCTCCTTCTCTCTTGTCCACTTGGGGGTAGAGACAAACGCGGGTACGTGCAATCACTGCGGTGATGTAGTTCACGACTGGTAACGAAGATCCCGCAGGATACTGTCTCGACGCTGATAACCGCACCCATGAAACCAAAATACTTGTGAACGACGCATGATGACACTGTAGAAGTCCTGTCGTCAGGCAGCTATTGATCCGATAATACTATAAGCCAGGCGGGAGGAACGTATGATAAGGGACCTGAAAAAGAGGTCTGTTTGTAGAACCCAGGCAGTGTCACAATGAGACCGGGTCTGTATGATTGAGCAGACAAAATAAATTTTGCTAAACCAGTACCTGCTTCTGAGATGCCATCCCACTGGAAGTCCGACTGCCTGTGGGCGACGAACACATGATCATATAGGATCATAAGTTGATGGATCGGGTTCCCACTGTAACAAATTAGGGAGAGTCAGAGTTGGCGATTTTGACACGATTCAGCGTTGGTTCCAAAAGACGATCCAGCATCAAGTTTTTTCACGGATGAATCGTGTGAAACATGAATCAGAGGTGAATCGCTGGAACACCTCCGGAGGTGTTCCACCTCTTGAATCACAGGTTTCGACCTTGATAAAAGATGTATTTTATTCGAGTAATAATTGCATAGTTGACTGTCCGATTACAAGACAGATATTGGGAGGTGTCCAAAATTAACATAAAACTAGCAACCATAAAGCTACCCTCACACGAAAGCGACTGATAGCAAAGACCCAGCAAGAAAATCATCAAAACAGTGTTTGCTTTAAACTCGACCTCCATTCAGGCGACCAATTCGCCCGAACAGAACTTCACCTATGGCAAGACCCACAACGATGGATATAATATATGAAGCATTGAACGTCCTGATATTGGCTAAGTTCAACTCTTTGGATGGCATACGTTGCGGGACTTACATGACGGCCAACATCAGGGCATACGAAAAGAGTGATTGAACAGCCTGGAATATCCCCCGCGTGATATCGTGCCTGGGAATGAAGGGAGGTACAAGCCTCTGGCGACTGCGGACTCTCGCTGGGGTGATTGGAAGAGAGGAAGATCCTTCCTCAATCGCATCTATCACATCAGAGGGGTCTTTGGCTTTATCGTCGACATGTTGAACATCAGTTGAAGTACGCTGCGTTTGCAAGATTAGCGCAAGGGCCCTAATCAAAGCGAATCAGCATTAATCATGCCGTGTATATGAGCATGGCTAACCTTGACCCCCATTGGATTTCCATTTGACGCCGGAATGCTGAAATCCAACGTTCAAGAATACAGAATGCGACTAGCGCAATGCAAGCACCGGCGATTGCACCTTTCGACTCAGGCATCCAAGTCTCAAAAATCAAGTAGTCACCGCCACTGAAATGTAACCAAGGCGTCATCATCATAGTCGTCGTAGTAGTAGTAGTAGAGTTCATATCCATGATGAATTCAAGAGTTTAAGGTGACTATACGAAGTGGGAAGCGAAGAGGTAAATGGTAAGAAGACCAGGTCCTCGGGGAAAACCGAGATTAGGTTCTCAGGCTCGGGGCCCGCTAAATTTGGAGAGCAACCCAACGCCAGATTCCATTTTTTTCGATGCCTGTCATGAATCCCGGAAGCTGAGAGGTTGGACGGACAATATAAGAGATCAAGCAATGACAGTGCCACGTCAACAGGTAGGTCGGATTCGGAGAACAACGCTCACACGTCACGGCCATGGCATTCATGTTACCGCGTGGAACGTACTCGGAGAAATGGATGAGCTGGCGCGAATTGGTCTGCGTATGGTTCGTCCGATCGGTACGACGTCGGCCGTACAGTCGTGCTCGGCATGTGCGGGGGAAATGATAACTAACCCGACTGGCGTTGTCCGTGACTACAAAGTGCTAACAACAATGAGCACTGAACGCTGAGAATGGAAACATATTCTCACAGTATCGGTACTATGTACAGAGTGACCAAGACCCAGGACCTCGAGAGCAATATCGAAAGAGATGACAACAGGCATATAGATCCTTTTCGCAGGTAACCTGAACCATAGAGACGCGGGGACAAGGATAACTGAGACAAATCCCCCAAAAAAACATTGAACCCGCAAGATAACAGATAGAACGAGTTGTAAGGCAATGGCACGTCACAGTACAAGCTTGTTGAGGATGACACTCCCACTTGTACTGCGACGTGTCAAGGAAAAAAACCACAACGCTGGTGGTTCCTTTGAGGTAGCTCGCTCCTGAGACCCTACAGGCTCCAAAACTGCTAAAACATAAATATTCATAGCATGGAGATGGAATTCTGAAGCCCACGGCGCACAGACAGGTATGAGCGATGAATGCAAGGTGGAGGATGAAGCTTAAGGAGCGAAGGAGTGAAGGATAAAGTGAAGTGCTGGCAAAGATTGAAAGAAGGGATACGGGAAGACTGCGGCATTTCTGCGACAACCAATAGCAAAAAGAGCGGATTGATCACGTGAATATTTTTCTATTCATAATAGCGCTTACGTAGGTTGGTATGATAGACTTTATGAGCTTAGCGCCTGGTATTACTCACACCATATAGGAATCAAGGATGCTGCGAACTGCACTTTTCAACACCACCCGCCGTGCAGCACGCCCTACGCTACTCGCGCGTCAGGCTGCGAGACCAACCTATCAGATCTTCGCGCGCTACGAGTCGAGCAAAGCTAATGACGCTCTGAAAGCTGCTCGCAAGGCCAAAGACAAGCTCCAGAAGGATTGGCAGGGGCCTGTGCTCACATACGAGCAAGTTAAACCTAGGACCCTCAGTCCCAGTGCAGTACGTCACACTCTCATATCGTGCTTGTGCCTACCCACTTTCCCACTATCTTTCATAGGACGCCTACCTGATTGACGTGCGTGAGCCCGATGAAGTTATGCAGGGCTCTATTCCGTCCTCTGTGAATCTACCACTCTCGGTACTTGCCAACTCGTTCCACCTCTCGCCTCAGGCTTTTAAGGCGCAGCATGGTTTCGAGAAGCCAGGAAAGCAACAAGAAGTCGTGTTCTACTGTCGTAGTGGAATGAGGAGTGCTAGTGCATGTGATATTGCGAAGAGGAATGGATATGAGAAGTGAGTGATCGCAGACCGGCCATCTTTACTGTGCTTTGATACAACGTGCACTCATGTTTCTTTAGCATTTTAAATTATGAAGGTTCATGGCTAGACTGGACGTCACGAGAAGGAGGCAAGGGGTCTACTACTTCAAGTTGATGTACTTCCCCACATTTTAATAATGCAACATGCACAATACAGCCCTCGAGAATATTTTTTCTTCCATAGCGAATGAAATGAATTTAAATTGACCTTCCAATTCTCAACCCTGGATGAATTTTGAGAGCGTGGTCGACGTTTCAAGAAGTTCGAACACTTCATTTTTTATTGCTCGTGGCTGTCTAGTGATCCGACCTTCTTGATCGAAGTTGTTCTCACGGTTAGTCCGACCCGTGCTGCTTCATGTTTCCCCGCAACCTGCTTCGACGCATTCCAAAAAGCACGAGCTTGCATTGGCAGAATGCAGCTGCGAATAGGATATCATTGCTAGTAAGACATGTCCCATTGACAACGCGGGTTCCGGTGGCGACGCACTTTTACGTGTGCAGACGGACATTGAGCACGCCTGCCCCCATGGTCAATGTCAGGTCCGCTCCCTCCTCCTGCCTCCGTTTCTCCATCCTGCTCAAGATGGTCAATCATTTTCCTATACTGCATGCAGTGACCTATCCATAGAGCGGTATCATGCACTTTCCGACGCGACCATGACAACCTTACTCGAGCGGCTCGAGGATTTGCTGGACACAGTAGGAAATGACGCCTATGAAGTAGATTATCATGTAAGTACGCTCTAAGATACCAGAATTCTGGTCCTGTGGTTGTGCCCTTGACTCACTATCTTTCTTCTGCTGCAGAGCGGCGTCCTGACACTCAACTTAGGTACCTATGGGACATACGTGATCAATAAGCAACCACCAAACAAGCAAATATGGCTGTCTTCCCCACGCAGGTGGGTCGAATCGTCTGATTGATGATGTTTCACACTGACGCACTTCTTGCTTGGCATGCCTGATTTCGCCGATTTGAACGTCCACTTATGAAACGCGAATTTGTTAGTGGTCCCAAGCGCTATGATTACGTACCGGAATCAGACGACTGGCGATATGCGCGAGATGGAATAGGGCTTGGCGAGCTGCTGGGTGAGGAGATAACGGATATGCTCCGAACTAAAGTCTCCCTGCATCTAGAGGATGTGTCTACGCAGATACGGGAGTAGACTTGTTACGGATATAGATTGTCATTACGATCTCTTAGTTGCCTACGCATAACGGGTAGGACTTCCTCCACTCATGCAGATACAAGATCTGGATGCTTCCATGGATTGACAATGTGATTCCATTGATACTTCATTGCCTACACATAACGGGTAGGAATTGCTCCATCTTTTAAAAGCTGCGGTTTAATTGCGATCTCGGATATCCTGTATTTGCGATGCACGATAGTACAGTATGTGATAGTGGTGTAAAAAAAATGCGCCCAAGAATGCTCATGTAGATGAAAGTATGTGAACATGCCAAATAAAATAGGATGTGAGGACGAGAGTGATGAAGACATCTATGATGACAGACTAAACGATGATGGGATCAAAGGTGCCGGTCACGACGGACGGGTGTATGATATGTCTTTGTCCACAGCACCTGATCTGAAGGCTCGATCTTATAGTAAGTTCCGGTGTTGGTTACTGTGGCCTCGCTCCGTGACAGGAGTACTGTAATTAGGGCCTTCTTGAAGTTCCCGTCTCCGCGAGAGGAATACTGATCCCAGTAATCTGTTCGGTATAGTTAGCAACGCCACATGAAAAGAAGAGAAGGCACGATTCGCACTTATTGGTATCCTCGTAGCGTTCTCTCACAGACTTGACTTCGTGAAAATCCAATGGGGTGTGCGCAGCCGATTCAGTATGAGCTTGGGCCGCATGTGGAAGATGGGAATAGAACTCAGGCAAAGGGCATTCCGGCAGCGTTGGTATAAATACTTTGCCGTTGGAGGAAATAGAAGGAGGATGGCGAAGTCCATGAGTAGATTGCCAAAGATTATGTGGATAGGTGGCCATAGGCGGTGGAGGGGCTGAGAAGCCTGCATGCGGAGGCAAATATAGATGTGACGGTGGTTGCGAGTTCGGTTGGATAAACATAAGCCTGTGCTGGTGAAGAGCATGCATCTCGTGTAGCATAGTATTGGCCTGCTTGTAGTCTGTATAGTCCGGTGATTCCGCGAAGTGACCAGGTTCCGCGTCATCCTCCCCATCTATCCAATCTTCTTCGCCATCGCTATCATCTGCGTGAGGCACTGACAAAGGTGGTTTACCCCAGCCTCTCTGTGCACCGTCTAGTACTGGAGGGAGTATTCTGCGTCTTTTAGCACGCGATTCATGTGAAAATATGTCTGGAGGAATTTCACGGTGTGGTATGGGTCTGATAGGTCGATCGGGAAACGATGGAATCTCGTCCAGCGATGGCGGAGGCGTTGCAGGACGTTGCCGTTTGAGCATACTAAGTTATTTTGGCTGCAGGTCAGAATATGGTTGGTTGAAGGACAAGTGTAGCGTTCTTAAAGCCTCAAGACAACAGTTAGGCGGGGTTTCCATTTCAGGCTGTTTGTGGGAGTAAGTAATTTAGGTTGTGGTTGCAAATCTTTGCTGACTCCACTTCCACAGATCAACACCAACAGCCAGCTCTGACACAATGGCCGACATGGACGTATTTTCTGCGATGGGCATTGTTGGTTTCGGCAAGGCTGCCAAAAAGCGAGAGCTTGATCCCAACAGGTTCGACAAAACGAAACGTGAGGAGCTCGTGGTCAGAGTCTCATCGTTTTTCGGTTGCCATTGTCCTCTAATACATTTTATCCGCTCAGCAGCCCAAAGTGGAGGCGAAATCCTTGATCCCTGTTTCAGGGCCTTCCACAGTATCTATCCGGGCACAATATCAATCTGACGAAGACTCGGACGACCCCGGGCCTTCCCTTCCGCAACCAAGCCTTTTCAAACAGGATACTGATGGCGTAGGCAATGAAGACAACGAAGATGATGATGCTGTCTCTACTGACGACGAGCCTGAATACGACCCCAGCGCTCCCTCGCTATCGGCCCCCGATTTTCCGATCACCCACGAGGCAACGCTCAAAGAGCACACCAAGGTGATTTCCGCGCTTACAGTGGATCCAAGCGGTGCACGTGTTTTGAGCGGCTCGCATGACTATGATTGTAAGTTGTGGGATTTTGGTGGAATGACGACGCAAACGAGGTCCTTCAAGACATGGGAGCCTGCAGGCAGTTACTATGTACGTGCGTTGGTTTTGCGACGGGAAGGATGTATTTGACATTCGAAGAAAGGTTAATGACCTCAAGTACTCTAACGATGGCCAGCAGTTCCTCGTAATTTCAGGGACAATTCAGGCTAAGCTGTTTGATCGGGAGGGCGAGGAGAAGTAAGTTTAATCTATCTTGTTGCAGAACAGAATAGCTTGAATGACCTCAGAGCAACGTTCGTCAAGGGTGATATGTATATCAGAGACATGAAGCACACTGCGTACGCCCCATCCCATATCACTCGTTAGCATGCCTACTTACGCTACATATTTTGTAGTGGACATGTCGGGGAACTTTCAAGCTGCATGTGGCATCCGAAGGACAAGCAGTATTTTATCACTAGTTCGGCAGACTCGACCATTAGGCAAGCTCTCACGCCGCTATCAACGAACAACTTCTGACATTACGGAATAGAATATGGGATGTCGAGAACAAACGAAAGCAGAAATCTGTTATTGTTGTCAAATCAAAAGAACGTGGTGCACGGACCAAAGTGACGACGTGCGCTTACTCTACCGACGGAACGATGATTGGAGGCGGTATGTCCGTTTTGATCGCGAAGTGAAGTAATCATTGATGGTTCTCAGCCTGTCTCGATGGCGCACTGCATATGTGGCAGGCATCATCAAATTTTGTGAGACCAAACATGACGATCGAAGGCGCACACACGAAAGGCACGGATGTTGGATCTCTGGTTTTTTCCGTTGATGGGAGAACAGTGCTGACGAGAGGAGGGGACGACACCGTCAAGCGTACGTACGAATGCAGGCTTGTTGACATGCTTGGCTGACGTGGGCACAGTGTGGGATTTACGAGCCTTTAAACGACCGCTCGCGTCACATTCGGGGGCTACTACATTGTATCCTGGCACTAATGCTACGTTCAGCCCTGATGAAAAGTATATCCTAACAGGCACTGGAGCCCCCTCAAAGGGAGGACGAGGTAAATTAACGTTACTCAGCCGAGAGAATCTCAGTGTCGTAAAGGAGATCGACATGGACACGACACCTGTCAAAGTGGTCTGGCACTCCAAGATAAATCAAATTATTACAGGTCTTGCGAATGGTACCATTTCAGTTCTGTATTCGCCGGAGACGTCGTTGAATGGTGCAAAACTGTTGCTGTCAAAGGGAGCCCCAAAAAGACCGACGATCGAGGACTTGTCGGACGCACTCGCTGCACCAACGATCTTGACGCCACATGCCTTGCCAATGTTCAAAGATGGGGAGGGATTGGTGAAGGGAATGAAGAGGAAGCGGGAAAAGGACCGGATGGACCCGAGGAAGAGCAGGAGGCCGGAGTTGCCGGTTACAGGACCGGGTCGGGGAGGACGGGTCGGTGCGAGTGCGACGCAGCACGTTGTGCAGAACTTGGTGCGGGATACAACACGCGACGAAGATGTGAGTGCTCTTAGTTTTCTTTATGTCGCTCCACAGCATGAAGTTCTCGCGGATTATTGTGCACTGCTGCGGTGTCATAATCACGTGCTTCCTATCTTCTTTTGTTTGATGGTTTCCAAGGTGGCTGACCATACGTTTCTTTCTTTCATACTTCTTTTTAACGACTGTAGCCACGGGAGGCATTACTCAAGTATGCGAAGATGGCAGACGAAGACCCTCAATGGACTTCAGGTAAGCAGCATGTTTCAATAGCCTGGGCTGCGGGGTTGCGGCAAGTGGGAGGGGCCGTAGCGGAGTGTGAAAATAATTGTTTTGGGTTATTTGTTTTGATCGGTCGGCTGACGTGGCGTTACTTTGGATTTAACCAGCATGGCGACAAAACCAGCCCAAACCCGTATTTGCGAACGTCTCAGAGGACGAGGAGGAAGAGGAGGAAGGATGAGCACCAGACTTATGAAGTTGTGGATATTAGAGCAGGAATTAGTTTCAATTTTATGCTCTATGTGAGATTTGAGGTGTGAGTAATTTTTAGTGGCCCCTGCGCAGGTCAAACCTTAATTCCGTTCGCCTATAAAGACCCAATGGCTGCCTTCCGATTCCCCCAAATCCAAAATCTCCTCTCCTCTGAAAACGTCACGCTGTGTGACGCATTAGTCACGCGCCACCCATGAACGCGACAGAGCACAGCGCGACCAACACCGAACAACGATCGATTCTTTCTATCGCCGTCAACGGTGACAATGTTGTCAATGGTGCACGCGATCCCTAACTTAATTACTTATCTCCAGCTAACTTGAAAATGTATAACAAATTCTGTAGACCTGAAACTTGACCAAATGACTTCAGACTCTAATAATCCTTCTCTAAAGTCTGAAATCATCGACACGCTCTCAACTTGTGTAGAAATTTCAACTCCACTTGATCCAGGTTAGTTCTTTTCCCTATTGTCTGTTTTCTTTGTTCTTATCAGAACAGCTTCCATCCCCATTCACCCTCCGAGCGGAACACCAAGACCAATGGAGGGCCAGTTGTTGGATGATGTAAAGATGGCAGAGGAGACAATAGTTGATGATTCGGATGAAGTCCCTACAACTAATGGCGTACACACCGCTGACGCCGATGGAGATGTCCACATGGACCAGTCTCCCCCTACCACCAACGGTCACTCCAATGGTACACCATCCCATTTCTCACCAGCTCCTGTGGACTCTGCTGGCCCACCGACATCGCGTGCTACTTCCAATTTCGATTCTCCTCAGCAGCGCTCGGACGCCGTCGATGATGATGAAGCCAAACCACCTCCAGCTAAGCGCGCGCGTAAATATTCAGACGCCGATCAGGCATCCATTGCCAATGTAAGCATTCTTTTGTTGTGCGCCGCACAGGCGTGCTAATCCCTTTCTTTTCCCGACCCTGAAGACCGGTTCTCCCCCTCCTATTACAGCATCCTCTGTACAAACAAATGGTGACACCGTTGTATCAAGTCCAATCCCAGCGTCTACGCCAACGGGAAACGGCATATCGACCCTCAGTCCCGTGCAACACAGATTTTGTCTGTCCACGATACGTTCGCTTAAGAAGCTCAAAGATGCTTCTGCATTTGTGCATCCCGTGGACTCCGTCGCCCTTAATATTCCCCATTACCCGACCATAATTAAGACCCCAATGGACCTGAGCACCATCGAGCGCAAGCTCATGTCATCTAATCCCGCTAAGCCAGAGACCAATCCCAACATTCCACGCTATTACAGCGCGGAGGAGTTCGTCTCTGACGTGCGGCTGGTGTTCAGCAATTGCATCACGTTTAATGGCCCGGACCATGTGATTGCTCAGGCAGGCAAACACGTCGAGGCTGTCTTTGATAAGCAGATCAAGCAGCTTCCACCTCCAGCCGAGGTATGTCATTTGTTGATGTATGCTGCGTGCGCGACTTATTGTTGCAGCCGAAGCCTCCTATTGTCAAGAAAGTTGCCACGCCTCCACCCCCGCCTCCACCAGCTCCCCCCAAGAAAGCCGCGGCAGCACCCGTTCGTCGTCCTTCAACCTCCGTTCCTGTCATTCGGCGCAACGAGGCCGAACAGGCATCTGCACGGCCGAAACGTGAAATCCATCCTCCTCCTCCCAAAGACCTACCATATGCCGATGTGCCAAAAAAGATGCGCAAGGTCAAGGTGCCTAAGGACGATGGCACAGGGGAACAGCTCAAATATTGTGGAAGGATCTTGAGTGACCTGCAACGAAAGCAGCATCAAACGATTGCCGCTCCGTTCTATGAGCCTGTTGGTATGTCCAAAGTCAGTTTCATACCTTGCGATGAGATCACTCATGAAATTGTACAGATGCTGTAAAGCTTGATATTCCGACATATTATAGAGTCATCAAGAAACCCATGGACATGTCAACCATGCGGAAGAAGCTAGAGGCCGGGGAGTATCCCAATGCCTCGAAGTTCTTTGATGACTTCAAACTCATGATCCGCAACTGTTTCTTGTTCAACCCCGCCGGAACACCTGTCAATCAAGCAGGGATCGAGTTGCAGCGGTTGTTTGACGAGAAGTGGAAGAATCTACCGCCCCTTCGGGATGCAAGTGATGATGAAGAGGAGGAGGAAGAAGATGAGGAGTCGGAGGAAGAACGTAATCGTGGGTGGACCTCACATGCAGCATGTTCATCCGCTAATGTACTCTATGCACAGGCAGGATCGCCAACATAGAGGCTCAAATTGAGTCGATGCGCGGTAATCTCATGGCTCTGAAGGCCAAGCCGGCTAAGGAGAAGAAGAAAAAGGAGAAGAAAGAGAAGGCTCCTGTCGCTTCTACCTCAAAGGCCGCTGCTTCGCGCGCACCCAAGGCAGCACCTGCGACCAACGGGAACAAGCGTAAGACCACGACAAAGAAACCTATGGCCGAGGACGATGCGCTGTCGTTTGAGCAGAAGAAGGACTTGAGTGAGGCTATTACCAGTCTCGATGGAGTCAAGCTTGAGAAGGTCATCCAAATCATTCATGAGGGTGTTCCCGAAATTCGTGATGTGAGTCAATCGGGAGATATGTACTATCATATTGATAAACAACTCAAGCAGAGTACCGAGGAGATCGAACTTGAAATCGATATACTACCACCACATGTTCTCACAAAGTTATACAACTTTGTGCTTCGACCTCTGCGGCAACCAACGCAGAAACGGAATCGAACTGGCAAGGGCACGGGTACTGGTGGCCTTAAACGGAAGAGCATGGACGAGACTGCTGAAGCTGAAAAGATTCGCAAGCTGGAGGAGCGGATGCGACTCTTCGACGATAACAACTTTGCCACACCCAACGCTACACCTGCGCTAGCTCATCAGAACGATAGCGATCATTCATCGGACTCTTCTTCAGACGACAGCTCGGGCAGCGAGTCGGAGTAACTCGTCTTCCCTACCTTGCGACGTCGTTCATCGTATGCGGTTGATATTTTTTGCGCGGCTTTGTCGGGTTGTTGGTAGAGTTTTCTTCTTCACCCCCCGCTTATTGTTCTCCTTTAATTGCGACTGTCGTCTTGATCTTTATAACATTCAGAATTTGTGCTACACTCCATCTCTTCGCTCTCTCGCAAGCAAACGTACATACATACACCACCAAAATTAAAGAACAGCAATGTAGTTAGTTAATTCTAGTCGTGACTGATGGTCGTCACAATTACAGACCGTGCCTGCTCGATGCCTTCACCTGGTTTGATTCCACGTACTCAAGATGACTCCAATGCCATTGGAGCATACATGCAGTCTTCCCATGGCGTAAAATAGATCTCGTTCAGTTCCGCACTCTGCGCTTCGCTGGCTAGGTTCGAAGTCCTCCTTGCCGGTGACCGAGGCTCATCACCGCAGCGAATAGCCGCCAATGTTGATTCCTCTTACCCACGCAGCCGCTCGGGCCCGCAGCTGCTGATAACAAACTAACTTGGCAATACTAAGCGGTCGCATGTCTCTTGCAGACCACTGAATTGAAGGTGCATCCTGGTGATTTCATTCCCGTCAAAGTTTCAAGTTAATCTCTTCCCGATGTCTCATATTTGAGAGTTGTGTCAGTGCTTGCAGTTGCACCGGCGCTTTCAGTACTTCAAACGTGACGCTCGCGAGCTCCAACTCATCCGCGTCACGTTGGAAATGCCAGTGCAACCTGCGATGAAACGGAGCGAGAATGATGTATCGATGTACGAGCAACAGGGACGCCATCATCTGGCCGATATGCCGCGGCCATCGCAGCAGGAGTCAGCATCCGACGTTCAAGGCTTGATCAATCGTCATCGAACAGTGTCTCAACTCGACTTAAACCAGCTACCAAGACCCTAGCTCATAGACTAGGGCTAGACTCCCAAGAAGTTCATCGTGGATCCAGAGTGGACATATTCTAAATGTTCTTTAACTTAAGTACTCAAAGCTCATGCTAAAGAGCGCTAACGTACGGCATCAGAACTTCAGCCATATATCGTTTTCCCGCCGCCATGTGGGCACCTGTTCTTGATCGCCGGATATCTTTGCTAGAGTATCTTTTACTCTATAAGTACCTTGAGTTGACAACTTTAGACCTCCCTACCAGCGCGCCTGCCATGTTTCTGAGAACGCTTATCCCAGTCGGAATTGCATTATTAGCTGGCGTATGCATTGCTCACACTGTGTCTGTTAATCTCGACACTACAGAAGCAGGGTTCATCGACACTCAGTCCAAGGCTAATCCATCTGTGATTCGCTATGTTAAAAACTCGGAAATCTGCGAAACAGTTCCAAACGTTACGCGGATTTCAGGGTACGTCGACGTTGGGACGAACATGTCCATGGTATGTTTTCGTGCACCGTGCTCTAGATGTAGACTGACTCAAAAAGCAGTGGTTCTGGTTCTTTGAGTCTAGAAACTCACTCGAAACAGCCCCATTTACTCTATGGTAGGTTGTCTGGAAGCTGGATTAAAAGTACCTGAGTTTAGGCGCACCATTAACCTGCATTCGCAGGTTGAATGGTGGTCCTGGATGTTCTTCTATGATCGGATTGTTTCAAGGTTGATTGCTTTGATTTCTTTTTAATCTGATTCCCATCTTCCATAGAGAACGGGCCATGTTTAGTGAATGCCGACCGCAATTCGACCACTCTAAACCCCTACAGGTACGTAGGGATTATAGACCTTTTCATATACTGCCTAACACGAGATCCTACAGTTGGAATAATCTCAGCAACAGTATGTAACACGTAGTAGCTCTCCGATTATGTCACAAGAACTGTCTTCCTCACCCAGTGATCTATATCGACCAGCCAATTGGGACCGGATTCTCCTATGGTAATACTGATACGGTGAATAGCACCGAAACCGCTGCATCCTATGTATGGACTGCATTCCAGGTTTTATTTGAGAGCCAGCTATTTTCGAAGTATGCCAGTCGAGAGTCAGTCGTTTAACTCATTAATTTGGTCGCATGGACGATTGCTTATGTCGTACTCAGATTCATCTTTGCCACAGAAAGCTACGGCGGTCACTATGGACCCAGTTTTGTGACCTACTTCGAAGAGCAAAATAGGTTAATCGCTAGTGGGGGATCGATGCCATTCCAATTGTGGTTAAAGCTCTGATGATTAACAAGTATGTTGCTCTCGTGATTTTTCGGGTGTTGAATGAACACTCGCAGTGGCTGGTTTGATCCGCTCATTCAGAACATCGCATGGCTGAACTTTGCGACCCATGCTCTGTTGGAGTCCGAGGCCGAAAGATCCGAGTCGAGGGAAGCCGAAGGATCCGAGATAGGTACGAGGGGGAGATGATAGGTACGAGCTCAAGCCGAAACGGACATAGGCGAGCGATGCATGACATCGGCTCGCGTCCTAGAATATTTTCAGTCTCTCTTTTATATATTCAAGTTCCTGACGCACTCACTATAAGACCAGTAGCAGTATCGTATACGCATCTCAGTTTCGTCCAAGACACTGAGATGTACGTTCTAAAAAGTCACCTAGAGTTTTATCATGTCTAACGTTAGCTGTAACTTTTGTCGTTCTAGGTAGACGCACCGTTAATAGAGTTTCGTCCAAGACACTGAGATCTTTTGTCGTTCTAGACTCCTCGTTGTTCCCGCGCTCGTTATAAACGCCTTTATGCTCCAGGTTATGGGCAACTCCAGCCAGATGAAGTACTCAAGGACATGTCAAATGCTCTTTATGGCTCTAACGGTTGCGTAGCACGAGAGAAAGCCTGCTACGCTGCTGGAAATTCCACCAGTTCAAACAGGATTTGTCAGGATGCTGATGATTACTGCGTGAGTGACATTTGAGTAGTATCTCTGGGGGCGTCGCCTAACTCATTCAGATTGATAATCTTTACTATCCTGCTGTGGAGGGTTACGACCAGCATGATTTGCGTCAAAATTTATCTATTTTATCCCCCCCCTGAATATCATGTGGATTATTTACGTGAGAAGCATGTCACGGAGAAGATTGGTGCTGAGGTTAAATATGAGGAATGCGCAAATGCACCTATGGAGCAGTTTGCAAAGACAGGCGATGCAAGTTTTTGTCCAACTTTTCCCCCTTGAATGTTGAATTTACTATCCTGTTAAAGGACGCTAGGACTTGGCTGCCCCAGCTGTCGGCTCTGGCCAACTCTGGGATGAAGATTTTGATTTGGGTGCGTACATCAGTGTCTACTTCATTGTTTGCTACCTAATTTACCTGGGAATCATAGGCTGGAGATGCTGATATTAAGTGCGATTTCCTGCTGTCGTGATATCTCGCGTGATCTTGACGCTTCTCAATGGCTTTAGCTGCAACTGGCTTGGGGTAGGTTGATGCATATTTTGTCTCTAACATTGCTGAATTCTGTCGTTTAAAAGAGTCACGCGTCAGTCCTAGCAATGGATTGGTATGGCAATGAGACGCTCCATAACACCCCATTCACCAATATGACAATCAACGGCATACCTGTTGCAGCCGTGCAGAATGTTGACAACTTCTCCTTTGCGTAAGTGTTTTTCTTTCAACTTGCTTTCAAGATATATGCATATCATTATTTTATCTTTTAGGCGGGTGTACGCTGCGGGACACCTAGTGGTTAGTCGACTCGCCCCAAGATGACAATACCTACTGATGCCACTTATGTGATTATCAGCCTGCTTTCCAGCCCCAAGTAGCATTGGAGATTTTCTCGCAGGTTATTCAAAAGGAACAACTTCACTCAGTCTAAAGAGTGAACTCAAGTAACAGCCTGAGACACCGGCATCGTGCTGATGTATCCTTGGCGTGTTGTAGGGGGGGATGCTCCTCCTCACTGGCAGGCCCTCGAACTTCCCGCCCGATCTACGTCAAGGATGCGGCATGCCCATCACAAGCAGCCGCTTCCTGAGACGCGCCGAAGTCGCCGAGACCATATGATACAATGATTGGTATGACTATTTTGACGTCGAGACAAAGTTATTTACTTTGTATCGTGTAATCACAATTCTAGTACTCTGCAGTCCCCGAGTAGTGTCAATGCAGTCATATCCATTTCACTTCTCGACGCAAGCATGTTGGATGAAATACTCTTCCAGCTTTGGCCATGTCGAGTTTTCACTTGGGAGCTTGGCTACTTACTTAAGAGGAGTCAGGACCTTCTAGCATTTGTGGTAGGGGACTGTTAAGCCTGAGACACGTGTGCAGACTGGATGTTCATGGTACCCACATTTGCTCGTGCCATGTAAGTGAAGACATGCTCTCCTACCAGCCTGGCGTCTTGTGGCATACGGTAGACCTTGTGAACCCATATATAAGATAGGCGCTGTTTTGTTCATGCTAAATTATTGGAGATGTTGATGAAGCTTATGTAAGACGCATGCGATTTCCAGTGACTTCCTTTTTGGTCTCACACCAAATCGCCAATGACATTAGTTTCTCAAACGGCTGTAATGCATGGTTCGGTAGCATCCGCGGTGAGAGCTCGTATAGGTTAGCGAACATGTTGCACCTGTACTTGTGGTACGGGATTCCAATGATGGTGGATTGGCAGATAAGAGGAGTTGGACCGGCAGTGAGTCTAAGGGAAGCTCAAAGTAGAGATGAACGTTAACCACGAGCCTAGAGCACTGGAGGTAGGGCGCTCCTCTTGTGACAAATTTGATGACAAGTTTGATACGTAGTAAGAACAGAGAACTTCGGCTGCATCCGCCGGTACCTGCAGCACTTGGCCCAAGGGAACAGCCTCGGGCGTCTACTACTCTGCAGCTCAGAGCAAGAGACCTACGATCCCTCCAAGCTCACCTCGACTACGTTCAACGCCATCAACCTCCAGTAAAATGTCGAAGCCCATTCCAATCACTACACCCCTGCGAGAGTTAAAAGGTCATGAACATTGTATAATGGCAGCCGCAGTGTTCCCCGATAAACGATTGGTTACGGGCTCACACGACAAGACGGTTCGTCTGTGGGACTTGGAGACTGGCGTTGCATTGAAGAAGATGGAGCTGCATCGCGGGGGGGTATCGAGATTAGCGGTCTCACAAGATGAGCAATTGATAGCAAGCGGTGATCTGAATGGGGAGGTCATGATCTGGCACGGAGAAACTGGAGAATTGCTCTCCCAGCCCATCAAAGCTCACACCGAGTGGGTCAGCTCGCTGGATTTTTCTCCTGATGGGACAGTGCTGGCCACTTGTTCAAACGACGGAATGACAAAATTATGGAGCACCAAAACCTGGTCGGAGCTGCAAGGAAGACCGATTAAATGTGGTGGTGGTACTGGTTGTGTTCGGTATTCGCCATCTGGAGAATTTATTGCCATCGCAACATCGAGCATCGACATTTATAATTCAGGCACGAGGGAACTTGTCGCATCCTTCAAGGGTCACAAATCGCACAACTTCTCACTCGTATGGACGGCCGACGGCACACGCCTTCTTACAGGCGGCGATGGGGTCGATCCTACCATACGCGAATGGGATACAACAACCTGGCAGCAGGTTGGCGATCCTTGGACGGGCCACTCCAATTATATCAATGTCATGGTCATTAATCCTGCTGGCACACTCGTCGCATCGGTATCTCCACATGAGGGTCATGTTCGTCTTTGGCGGGTCTCAGATCGACGAACCGTTGCCATCTTCAAGCACTCATCTGGGCCAGAATGGGTCGCTTTCTCCGTGGATGGTAAGCACATCCTCAGCGGAGGCAACGATAGGATGATTTCAGAGTGGGCAATACCGAACAACATCAATTCAAAGGCACGTTTCCTGCCTTGCCTCATAAATCAAAATTTGAGCATGTTTCGTGCAGATCCTAGGCATCATGACAGCTCGCATTGCATGCATAGATGGAGACTTGTCACTCGCCGAAGAACTACTCACACAAGATATCAGCACCGATGGGAACAACCATACTTCCTACGCTCATCGCTCATTTGTTATGGCGCGAAAACACGACTGGGACCACGCCGTTCAGGATGCAATCACGGTGAGATATACTCACTGATCATGGTTCTCTTATGAAAGACTAACTCGATGGTGACATAGTCCATTAGCATTCAGCCATCGTTGATAGGCTTTATCTCCAAGGGTATTGCCCTCTGCGGAAAAGGCCACATCCGCGATGCAAGGGCAGCATTTGATGTTGCATCCATGTACACAGACCAAGATTCAGAAATCGTTCATTTTCTGCTCTTGATCAAGGTATGTTACAGTTGCCTTGCATAGTCTGTCTCATTCCATATTTCAGGCCATCACACTGTTCAATGCAGGTAAACATGACGAAGCAAGCCTACTCCTCAAAGAACTCGCTGCGGGTTGTCCGAATGCCGATACTCGCGCATGTCGTATCGTGGAAGTAAGTAGCATGCAGCTACACTTGGTCATCAATCCCAACCTTTGCACATTAGGCATATCTGCGTGTTCAACTCGAAAAAGCCTTGGATGGCGCACGTCACGCCGAAGCCGCTGACCATTTCACTTCCGCTGTCAACTCCAGCAATTCATCACCAAAATTAAACATTCATGAGATATATGAGGACCTGGTGGTGGTGCGTTAAGACGATGTGTACATAGTGCTTCTCCTAACTATGTATTTTGTCCAGCTCTTCGGCTGGGATCTGAAATGTTTGTGGCTGACTACACACCAGAAACGGTGTAATGCACTCCTTCAGGCAGGTGAATTTCAAGATGCCGTGAAATTATACCGGTATATGGTGGATTCAAGTAACAAAAACACCATGGTCGACTACCTCGACTGGTCCAATGGCAAGTCTAGTTTGTAATGTCATGCAGGCTACAATCCTCACCTGCACAGCTTTCAGGGAAGAATGCAACACGCTTTGTATTGCCAACGGAGATGTTGCCCTCGCTGCAAGCGAGTATGACAGGGCTATCGACCTGTACTCGGCGGCGATCGCCCTGGGTTCTGCATCCGATGTCGTCTTTGCAAATCGCAGCAAGGCAATGTTGGGGAAAATGCTATGGGAGGATGCAGTTCTCGACGCGCAAAAGGTGCGCTGGCATCTATGTTTTTGTACCCCATGTTGACTTCGGCAATGCATAGGTCACCGAACTTAATCCTTCATCTCACGTTGGATACCAGTTAACACATACAGCGCTGCGTGGCGCGGAACGTTACGACGAAGCCATCGAGGCGTTCACAATCATGTTGTCCAAGTTGGACGATGCTCCCGAAGCGCAGATACGCAGTAAGCCATGGAACACTCCTGCATAATCTCGAAATGCCTATCTCATTCTACAGGTTTGCGTCAGCAGTATGTCTGTCCATCCCAAGCAGAAGACGCTATTCGAAGAGCAGTTTGGATCGAACTCGAAAATGCCCCCCTTCGTCTGCTCAACACCTCTACGGGTCTTTTGTGCGACCGAGCAGCACAGCTAAACTCCTTCAAAATGAGTCCGGTGTACAATGAGCTTATCGCGTTTCCAACGAAAGATTCAAACCTCCGAACGGAGCGCATCAAAGACGTAGTGGCAACGTACTTCCGTTGCGTCCTGCTATCACACAGGTGGGAAGAGACGGAGGTGTTGCTGCACGACATTCAGGACAAAGTCGTGTACGAGTTGAATGGACTTGGTGGCATTGCGAAACTGCAGTCGTTCTGCAAAATCGTTCGTGATGCTGGGTATAACTGGGCATGGATGGACACATGCTGTATCGACAAGAAGAGCAATATTACGGAGCTTCAAGAATCGATCAACTCCATGTTCGTCTGGTACCGCAACTCAGCGCTTACGATCGTCTACCTATCCGATGTCCCTCCTTCATCCCAGCCCGGTGCACTGGCGGGGAGTGTTTGGAACGAGCGAGGATGGACCTTCCAAGAATTAGTTGCTCCGCAAGTTGTTATATTTTATCAGAAAGATTGGTCGTTATATCTCGGCGACCGCTCTCCCAACCACAAAGAGTCCCCTGCAATCATGAAGGAGTTGGAGGATGCGACTGGCATAGATGCACGGGCCTTGGTGAACTTCAGTCCAGGTATGAGGGGTGCCCGAGAGAAACTGCAATGGGCGTCGAAGCGCGTCACCACTCTGCAGGAGGACGTTGCGTACTCATTATTTGGCATCTTCGGTATCACTCTACCTGTCATTTATGGCGAGAAGAAGCAGAACGCGCTCGGACGGCTCCTACAGGAGATCGTGGCTCGGTCGGGGGACATCACTGTCCTCGACTGGATTGGACAACCTTCCGAGTTCAATAGCTGTCTTCCAGCCCATATTACCTCTTACACCACTCCTCCATGTGCCCTTTCATCTTTGTCTGAAGATGATATTCACACACAGCTCTCTTCGCTGCGAAAAAATCTCGATGTGGAACTGGCTTTGGAACTTTACGACCGGCTTGATTACACAAGCGCTGCTCGTTTCGCGAACTGCAGGCTGCATCTGCCTTGCATAGCATTCCGTGTCACAGAAGTCAGTCTGAGCTACGGTCCATCCCAGGAGACTCGATATAAAGTCAAGGCAGACGGGCTTCGTGACCTGCTGATCACTACCAAAGAGCTGAATATTCACTCGCGGACAAGACCCATCAAGCAAACCTTCCTGCTTGTCCGTCCCTGGGATCGGTCTCTCCTCGAGCTACCAGACTTTGCAAATCTGCTAGACGATACGGAGAGCGAGGGGGATTATCGGACACCGCCTTTTTCTACGTCAGTCGACTCACCTAGCCATTCTCCTGTAAAACAGGATGGGGTTGATCTAGAATCGCGAGCATTGCGGTTACTCGTTCGCCTTGGGCAGCCTTTTGGCGCCTTTTTGCTAGCGCGGCAGCGCGGTGGAGAATACAAGAGGGTCGCGTCGGATCGTAATATCATTGCGCAGGTCAAAGATGTGTCTTCTGTTCAAGACTTGATGGACATTAAGACGGTAGAAATATTGTAGATGCATATTTTCCCCGGACATGAGGGATCTGAGCGGTGTTCATTGGTACTTTGTATATGTGATACCACATGTATGTGTATTGGACTATAGTTTCTCTTCGAAGAAGACCATGGAAACCTATCTGCGGCAAGCTGGCATCTGCCAGAAATGCGAGCGAACACACTATGGTGTCCGTGGCTATCAAGTAAATGCGAGGCGACGCAACCTACGACTAATCAGCAGAGAAGGACGTACAAGCATTCGATATCTTATTCCTCTCCAGGATCGACGTCCGACTCATCGATATTACTAAGGGAAGGATGAGTTGTGCTCGATTCAGAGTCTCGCTGCTCACTGGACAGTAATCAGACCGAGCCCCACATCATTCACGCAGCGTGGTCTACAGAGTAGACAAGTGGTACACGCACGCTACTGCAACGATCATCGGACGTGTCAACTAGTAGCCATACGGTAAACCTGGGTCTGCTAAGCGCACCAGTACTAGTGCAAGTCCCACGTTTTACGCAAATGGCACTTGCGAGCGCAGGACATAACAAAAAGAAATGACATTGCGAACTTGACTTCAAGTGATAAAAATTGTTGTTGGAATCTTGCTCGTCTAATTCGTAGTCGAGCCTATGATACATCAACTATACAAAAGTTAAGGAACCTACGTGCGCTCCCGGATTGAAGACATTAGGCGACAATATTGGGGTCCCTAGTCGTGTTAAACGCTACGAGGGATTTCGATATACTTCTCCAACGAACTTTTCAGCTGCGGGGAGTAGGAAGTAGCTGAAAAGAGCACCCAGAGAGATTCACCTCCAACATCGAGCGGAGTTATCAGTCTCGTTGGTGGCTTATTTTCAATCTGCAATCCAACTACCACAGTAGCAAGAATGCCAGCTCGCACAGCAGAAAAAGTTGCAGCACTCAGCGAGAGGGGTTCATCGATTATTCTCCCTCTGGGATCAGCGACTAGGCGATATCCACAGATGTGGGGATAGCGGAGTATCATCGAAGCTACTTCACGGAATAGTTTCGAGACTAATCCGAAGGGGATGAGGTCAGAAAAATCGAGATAAAGTGCGATCTCTTTCCAAAGCTCAAGAGGCAGTGGTGAACGTGTGATGTTGGGTGGCACATCATTACTGCCATCAACTCCCCGAGCGAGCGACTTCTCTGTTTTATTCCGTACATAGTAGCAAATATCCACAACACGCTCAAAGAGTGCGGGGTCGATGCGAAAGCCAAGACGAGCGAGAGCAGTGATGCCTGGTGTAGAAGGTGAATGTGCATAGAATGATGGTAAAAACTGGAGGGCGCTCGTATGGCTGAATTTCATCGTGTGCACATCTTTGACAACTTTGACGACTGCACAATGGTAGACGGAAAACGCGACTCCAAAGTATTCACCAGGATTATCCTTCTGCTCCATGATCGCGTTGATCAGGCGTGACACAGAAGCTTGTAGGCATCGCTCTTCATCTAGATGCGTTGCGATGCAAACAACAATGTCTTCGCGAACCCATGTAAACTCTTTTCTTTCCAGCCTGGGATGGAATGCATTCTTGATTTTGTCGAATATTTGAGGAACAAACGTGATGTTGGCCATGAAGCATGCAATTGACCACTGATCGTCCGTGAATTGATTGTGATCAGATACAAGCTCGATATTGTATATGCCCTTGCCAATGGTTTGGTTAACCATGCACTGCCCAATCATGACCTCTAGCAATAAGACTCGAATGTGCTCGTCTGGAGATAAGAAATCATTAATGGCGAGCAGATCGCTCAAAGCCACGTGAGATCCAGTGCACATGGAAGATTGGTACGTTGCGAGGTCAGAATTATTGACGGTCGGTGGTGCTGGCCTCTTGTACCTGTGCTCAGGGGGGCATCGCGATGCGCAAGCTAAGTTGCCGTAATGATCTTTGGAGATATATTGGATAAAAGCACCACTGTCTGGAAGGCATTCCAAGGAGAAAAAAGGCGTTCCATTTATGTGGAAGATATTGCGATCAAGATCTATCTCGTAGATCCATTCGATAAAGATGTCGTTTTCTGGCCGCCGCCAGGATGGGGGCGAGAAATCATCACCGCGTTCTATGAATATTTCAGATAGACTTCTCAGCCCATCTAGTATCTCTCCCAACATCTGTCGATAGGTCGCGATGGCATTGAGAAATTGCATAGATTGAAGCACCTTTACGCCAAGCCCATCTGGATAGCTGTCATAGCTGTGGTATTGAGCGAAATAAATGTTCCGATAGCGGAGCACGTAGTACCCGCGAGTTCCCATGCCTGTACGCAGAGCAAAGAGACCTGGATGAGTCTCCTGATCGATTGATAAGTGCACGTAGAACCTAAAAGACGAATCTCAGCGTTGGTGAAAGAATCGCTATGAACATTGACAGTACCTAAGAGACAGGTCTAGAGACAAATACAACCTGTAAGAGCCAGCGTGCAAACTGAAGAAAAAACATACCTCAGTCTTGCCAGTGAAAGGACCCCTGAGGTACAAATAGTGCAATACAACCAAAGGTCAGTATAATAAAGTTTACTGGCGATACTAGAAACCCTGATGACAAACGAAGAAAAGGAATACAGGTTGAACGTTGCAACGTTGAACATTTAACACAGTCGGTGTACGGGAATAAAATTGAAATCATTTGACTGTATCTGGCAAGAAGACTGAGTCATCGGCAAGATTAAGTTGGCAACGAAGTTCAAGTGATGGTCGAGCGTCACGTCGCGATCGCTAAACGAGTACCAGTACCTTCGCAGAACCAAAAGTTGAGCAACAGAACACATAATCAGCATTATAAACGACACAGAGATGCATGTATGTACTCTATCTCCGCTTCGACCCAGAGCCTTGCTTCCACTGCTGCCAGCCTGATCTTGCTTGAGGAGCAGCAGGCGGTGGAACCGCGGCCTTTAGACTGGTTGATGTAGGCGGGGCAGCTACTGCTGGAGGCGCCGGTTGGGAGAACGTCGGCGCAGGAGGAAAACTCTGGTCTCGTCTCTTAGAATCTGAGACGAGCGCAGTAGGTGCCCTGCTGCTTATCGTGGGAGGGAGGGGGGGTGGCCCACTGGTTGGGGGCATGCAGGGAGGGGGTGGTACGCTAGGTGGACGCATATTTTCTGGCGGGAATGGAGGCCGACAGCCTGGAGGGGGTGCATTTATAGGAGTGACTGGAGGAGGAGGCGGAGCTACATTGGGTGGCGGAGGTGGTGGCGCTGCAGTGTTGTCGGGAGGAGGTGGGTTGACCGGTTGAGAGCTGCCGGTGTCAAGAGATGTCCAGCCACCAGTGCGAAACATTGGTGTACCTGCACTGTAAGAAGCTGGAGGCAGGCTAACCACTGGCGGTGGCGGAAGTGGTGCGGAAGGCGCAGAGGAGGACGCATTGGAATCCAAAGATCCCCAACCCGACCGCTTGAAACCAGTCGCAGGCTCAACTGGTGCTGAAACGGTTGCCCAGCCAGCTTTCTTGAAGTTGCTTGATTGAGCTTCAGAGGGAAGCGACGCCTCTGCAGCAGCAGGTGCATGTGCAGGAGGTACAATAGCTGATGTAGCTGTAGGTTTGGCCATCTTTATCCCAGCAGCCTTTGCAATTTTGCGAAGCTCCTTTTCTTCTCGCTTGCGCTCTTTCTCCTTACGCTTATCGACATCTTCTTGGGTGGTGATGCGTGTGTTGGCTTGCATATCCCGGAGGCGTGCCTTGTGGTGATGCGCGTACGAGTTTGTATGTTCATCATACTGTGCGACATTCTGGAATTGCTTCTCACAAAGCGAACAGTAGAACGGTTTGAGGGTATCTGAAATTTCCGACTTGAGTGCAGCCCGACGGGCGGCATCGTCCTGAAACAAGATCAGTATGCTCTGTGATATTGTTAGTACTGTTGGGCTCGCCTCTCGTGCTTTTCGTTGATATTCGGTTTCTTTTCGTTGTCTCTCAGAGTCCAACTTGCGCCTTTCGGCAACTGTTGTCTCGATCATTCGAAAATCTTGAGTCGTTTTTCCTAGACCAGTCAAATCATTTTTCACATGAAATGGTATAGGATCGACGCGCGCTGCAGTAGAAGGATTAGTGATATAGTTCACGATAGGAATGATCAAACATACCGTCTGCCGATAGTCCCAATGGCTGACCCTCTGACCAACCAAGTTTTGCGAGTATTGCAAAGCCCTTGTTGGTGCTTTTGATCTTGGTCTCAACGGTGATGACCTCCCTTTCTGGACCGCGGACATATTCGTCATATTTTTCAATGTCCATTGCATCGGGTGTAGGTGATGGTGACCTTGAGACTAGCGAGACGCCGTCGTCATCGTCATCATCAACATCTTGGTGAGAACGCTGGGATGGATGCACGGAAGGGCAGTAGGGGTGTTTTATTCGTGCCAGAAAATATGGCAGAGTACCTTCATAGAATTAGTTTGGTTTTGTACAGATTGTGCTTGTTCTTGAGTGTCTGTATCAGGTCGAGACATGGGAATTGCATTCCAGCGAGCTATGCTCTGAGCAGACATGGTGAGAGAAGTAGCAGACAACAATGAACTCGGACCAAAAATAAAATGTGCCATCAACCGTGTTTCAACAAAATTTTGACCCCTCCATGGGGGGTACATGGAGTCCAAACCACGAGTGCGACACCTTGACACGCTTTCTATGTTAAATTCATGTTCGCGATCTAATTATCAATCTCTAAGTACTCTACTTGCAAGACGTGCATTTCGGAGCAATGAGTTGAATTCAAGAGTTGAACACTGAAAAGTCATATGAATGATGGCGTCACGTGAGAGCTATAACTTTTCATCATACCGGATGGCAGAGTTCATGGCCTTTCAATGACATTGGCAACACCCTTGTCCGCCCAGTCTTTCGTTAGGCTCCTCAAAGCCCCCACAGATCCACCTAATCCAGAGAGCCCACTAAAAATCCAAATCGCTTGGGCAGTATGGGATGATACTACTATTCACATTCCAAATAAGCACGAGCTCATCGCCGAGTTCATACTCACCCGACTACTCAAAGACAAGTCAAAAACTAGGTGCGTCAGCTTATGCGGAGTACATTCATTGCTCATGACAACTGATGAATCAGCGACAATCCGGTAATCGATGCGCGGTACTGGTCCCTTCTTCGCAAGGTTTTGGTTTTAGATGGCAGCGTAGGGGCAGGTGTACGTGGCCTCAAGGTCTGGCTTGGTTCTCTTCTCAATCGCACACCGCTCGCACCGATAATCATCTCGATCCTTACTCTCCTAAGGGATCTGCCAGTTACAAAAGCGAAAGAGCTCCTTGTGCCCGTACACCCGTGCTTCTCTGTCTTGTGGCCATTAAGTGTCCACAAAATTGGCGTGGAGACATTATTAGAGTGCCTTGGCGCTGTACTGAATGTCTCTACTGAGCTGTTTGACGATGTTATTTTGGATGGTATCTGTGAGACAATCGTATTTTCATATAGAGAAGCACTAGGAAATGCGGGGAACAAGAAGAAGGTGCGCAGTGCTATTGTTTTTACGTGGCAAGAGAAACCTAAGACGTTTGTGTAGCTACCTGTGACCTTCCTTCAATCTCACCTCTCACCCTGGATTCATGCAATCTCATCATCATCCCATTTGTCTCCACAGTTGAATAAAGCAGTATACGCCGCAGGAACAGAGACCTTGTTCTCTCTCGATACGCTTCGTGCATCCCCGTCGTCTGAGAGCTTATTCACCGCCCTATCTTCTTTGCCGAACTCACCAACCACAATAAATCTCGCGATCCCGCTCCTACCCCGCCTCTTCAGTACCCATACGCACTCCCTACGGCGATACCGCACCAGTTTGTTTCCCGCTTCCCAGAATAACATACAAAACCGTGAAAACGACATGAGAATGACATCCATGGCATTCTTCGCGTCGTGCCTCAAGTTATTGGCCGGGAACGATCTGAGCTGGGACGCAAGAGTGGGTTTGGTCAGCATCATTGAGAGCGAGCGCATTTACGCAAGTCAATGTGTGGGAGAGATGGAGGTGGAAACAATCAGAGAGGATGCGGTCCGGGTATTGGAGGAAGAAAAAGCGGAGCAAAAGGTGGTAGGTTTGGCTTTGGACGTGCTGGCTGCGCTCGCGACGGTGGACTATGATGTGATTGAACCTGTGGTAGGAAGAATACTTCCTCGGCTGATCTTGGTAAGCTTGACCTCTTCGTTCGTCTTTTTCTGTGAAATCAATGCGTCTGCCATTCTTGGTGTCTTTTCCTCTAGACTCGCCCATCTCCCTCCATACAAAAATCAGCCAACGTACTTCTTAACATCCTCCTCGACTTTCACTCCAAGACGCGCACGTTACACGCATACACTCATGCACTCTTTGATGCCTGCACCTCTCTTCCTTCCATCAGATCCCTTGCGTCACCACAAGAATTTTACGACCGCGGACGCACCTCTATTATCCTAGCGCACACCCATCTTTCCTCGCTCGCTCAAGCGTTCCGCACATTCCTCACACCCACTCAAGTAAAAGAGGCAGCTCAGATTACCCCGACTCTCAAAAATACTTTTAATACCTACCAAAACCTTTCCTTGCGGATAAAAACTAATGAGATGGAAGACAGACCGCGTAAAAAGCGACGGAAAAGTGAACCTGCTCCGCCATCTGCGAGTCCAGCGCCCATACAGGTCATGCAGGAAGTAGACGCTTATGCACTTTCACTTTCCCTCACTCTCAAGTTCGCGGCTCTATTCCTGTCGAACCTCCCATCTTCCTTCGTTACCCCCGGGGTTCGCGAGGCTGTGCTTGAGGCAAGCGTATGGGCCATCGAGGCCGCTCGCTCACTTCTTTGTAACAAGACTTCGAAAATATCCTGGGCAGACCAAGTGACAAGTGCTGCACTTCTTCGTTTTGCGTATCATCTACTGGCTTGGAAGTGCGGTGGAGAACTAGGAGACATGGGAGGACTATTGGAGGTTGCCAAAACAGAAGATGGTGCGGAGGGGGAGCTAGTGCTTGAAATTGTGCGTCTTCCTCCTCTCTTTGTTGGAAGGACCTGATTGATTTTTTTAGCTGCGATTTCTCTTTGCGTGGTCTTCTAGATCGGACACCGATGTAGCAGTGGAAACTGTATTGGACTTTGCCCTGGCGTATATCGAGGCGCAAGCGGAGAACACGGACGGATTGATGGTACTCTACCTAATCGTTGAGCGGTGGTTAGATCTTGTAGAGTATGTCATCTCTTTGATCCCTCCTTGTGGTTCTATTGATCGATGTACACCTCAACCGCGCAGTGCCCGAGGATCTAAATCTTCCCTTGATCGCCTGATCAAACTTATATTCTCTATTTCGCCCACGTCTACTCGTCGCGTAGACCTGCAGGGCTTGCAGCCAAAAGATGTTCTCTGGGGTGTTTTGCACAATGCGCAGTTCTGGGAGATGGGGAATATACGAAGTAAGATTATTCGTTTCTCTGATTCCTTCATTTTGTCATACTGATATTTACCACTTAATTACGACAGTCTCCGTTCTTGCATACCTCACGCCCCCGCCTAACTCTATGAAAGTTCCTGCGTTGGATCAGCTCAGCAACACTTACTACCTCCTCTTATATGTTCCCCCCGAGTACCTCACTAAACAGGCTCGCGCGGAGCTTGTGCACCGGGCAATGGAGGGGGATGTCACTCTTTCGTCGTTGCTGCATGTGACCACCGGAGAGAAGACGGCGAAGGGCAAACGTAAGCGTGACGAAGGAAGGGACCTAGAAGATGTGAGGCAAACGCTCATGCACATACGTGTATTCCTTCAACGGATGGGGAGACTCGGGCATCTGAACACATCTGATCGCGAAGTATGTTTACATGGGCTTTCTTTAGTTCTGGCTGATGTGCGCTTGTAGAGCACCAGGGACTACGTGAAGCACCTCATGAGCATGGAGGTTTCAGACAATGCGGTGTTGAGAGAGGCCACGATAAATATTGCGGAACTTTATATTGTGTATGTCTCCCCTCTGTTCTTCTGCAGGGTTACTGACCCCTGAGCAGTGCGCTCCTGCGAGCATCAGATCAAGACCCTTCTACCTCAGCCGCGTGTGCTTCTATTTTCTGCTCTCTCGCGCAGTCTGGTTCTCTTGATGAAGAGAGCGTTACCCAGTTGTGTGTCCTCCAGCTTGTTGAGCGTCTCAGACAGGATTTTTCTGTTTTCAGGTGCGTCCATTCTTCATTCCATATAAGCGTAAATTCCTCTTCTAATAATGTTGATAGTCTTCCTGGCTTGATAGTTGCATCAATAAAAGAAGTGCATGCTGCACTAACTCCAGTTTCACACCCCAACGTCATTGACACGCTCCCCGCGAGCGGGACTATTAAAGCATGGGCGCGCCACCTTTCATTTAGCCATTGGTTAGGCGTTGCCGGTGAGCATTCAAGCGTCCTTCATTTCGGTAGTGCTCACTCGTTTTTTTTCTCAGCTACTTCAACTTCTGAGTACGGCCAACATATCGCAGCCGCCCTTTTGCGAAACAGAGAAAAATGCAAGTCTTCTGCAGACACCTTGGGACTTCTCTTTGAGGAACTGCGTTGCTTGCCCAACGTCGACCGCAAGATGCATCTTGGTCTAGCAGTAGGGGTGTTTATATTTTCTACGGAAGCTGGTATGTTGTTTTTGTTACTTTGTGTCCATTGGTCGAATTAAGTTGAGGTGAACTTAGGAGACATCAAATCCTTGGATGAAGTCGTCTCAAGCGGATCCAAGCATCTTTCAGTCGATGACTTCTCACATCTACTAAACACAGTATATGAAGCACTTGAAAGCACGCGATTTCCTCCGGTTCAATGCGTGCGTCTAGTGCATGCGGCCACTGTTCTGTTGCGTGATGCACCTCAAGGTAGATGAGATGGCTTCAAATACTTCTGAACACCATCCTTATTCTGTCGTAGGGACTTTGAAGGTCGTTCAGTGTTTGTTCAGTCAGTGTCTGAATCTCTTTATCGGACACACACAGTTCTTTGCGGGTCCTGTGGACTTGAAGTTAGCTTGCCTCGAGTTTGTGGCTCGGCAATGTTCAGATAGGGTATGTCGTAAGTATATTCTATCATTAATACTAACTTGACGCTTCATCCCAGCCTGCAGCTCTTCGCCCTGTCGACCCGGGTCCCATCCATGTCCTGCTGTCTAAGATCCTTTCCGGGTCTCCAACACATGACAGTACCACCACGCCCGCGGTCTTCCACGCCTCTACCACAATCCTAAACGCACTCGTTCGACTGCGGCGCGATCTTGTCGTCCACGTTTTGCCACATCTGGGGATGGTTCTCCGCCAACTAGTCTCATGCACTCGCAGCCTACGGCCCCAGCTAGCCGCGAAGCAGAGCCGCATCGTCACCGACACCCTCCCATCGTGGATAGCACCATCTGAGCCACTAGGTGTGTCAGAAGCTCGTGCACTTGCACGGCTCTTCACCTCCTTGACGACAAAGAGTGTCCCCCGCGTGCACATGCAGCCCAGTGCAGAGCAGAAAGCGGAGAGCCTGTCCAAACCGTTCGCCAAGCATGCTGCTTATGTGCTTACTGCGCACATTGACGCTGTGAACGACCCGTTGTGTGTCACACGGGCAGATGTGAGGCGTGAGCTTGAGCCGGGTCTGTTCTCACTGTGCGAGATGATGGGTACGCACAGTCGTGATGCTGTTATGGTCAGTGCATTGGATGCAGGTGGGAAGAGCGTGATGAAGGCACTCTGGAAGGAGTATGAAAAACAGCGGTATATTGGGAAGGGGTAGAGCTCCACATGCATATATACATATTGTCGATCTATCTACTTGCATCGATTCTCTTCACATCTACGTTGGTCTAACGGCCTTGACGTACACATCTCTGAACAAGGTCTTCTTCTTGGGCGGTGCATTCTCGGGTCTCCATCCCGCAGCAGCCTTCTCTTCTTTGAGCGCGCGCAGGAGCTCTAGGAAGTCTTCTATCGCTTGAGGCGATGTCTGAATGTGCATCAGAAGGCGAGACCCATTCAGCTTAATGGGATCAGGAAGTTGTGCAGCCCGCTCGACTACTTCCCAGTATTCAACCCCGATAGGCGAAGGGTCATAGAACAACTGATAGAAGGTCACTATCGTTTTCATGTAGCATCTAACTTTGTCAGGGTACCACCCACCATGCAAGTTTCAGCGGGACTCAAGATACCAACGCCAAGCTCTTCTAAGCCCTGCTGCATCCGCTTTGCAAGGGCGTGCACGTGAGGGAGCATAGGGAAATTGTAAGTGAGTGCGTAGGCAGCGCAGCCAGCCATGTACCCGGTCTGGCGCATACCCCCACCAAAGAGCTTTCGGAACCATCGCGCCTTGGTTATGAATGGCGTTGAGCCAACTAGGATAGTTCCGATGGGAGCACCTATGCGATTGGTGAGCATCGTCAACGATAAATTGTTGTCGAGCGTGTCTTACCAAGTCCTTTGCTGAGACATAAGCTCACAGATTCAAATGGGTCACAGAGATCTTTCATGGATAATCCGGTCTCTGCTGCAACATGCCAGATGCGGGCACCGTCGAGGTGCATGATGATACCCCGACTACGTGCGTTCTTCGAAATTTCAATCACGTCGTCCTGTGGAATGATGGTCCCGTTCAAAGTATTCTCGAGTGCTATGATACGCGTTGGGGCACTTCAGGGGCGATGTCACTGGAGTAGTCAAGCAATATTTACTTTGGTACTTACACATGGACATCTGTACCAGAGACGATACGAGGTTCAATGTCCTCCCAGGTAAGATGATGTTCTAGTGATGAGCATAAAATAATTTAAAATGTAGGTTCTAATTGGAAAGAGCATACCATTGGCGGGAATGATTGGGATACTGTTGGCACCTGAGTGAAATGCGGCGCCGCCAGCTTCCATGCTAACAAGCGTTGGAAATATATTCCTCGAGCGACGAGCAAACTTACCGGTATATGTGGGCCCGTGCATCTGTGATGACTGAATATGGAGGCTGCTGTAAGTGAGTCCTGATGGCAACTTGATTCGACATCGTGCCCGTGGGTAGAAAGAGGCCTGCTTCTTTTCCGGTGATTTTTGCGACGTGAGTTTCAAGAAAGGCGGTGGATGGCTCGAAATATACATCGTCCCCGAGGGACGCACCGAGAGCATAGGCATTCATCTCCTTGGTCGGCACTAATGACGTGCCATTAGCGTGAATCCGTGCTCCATATCGAGATAGAATACCTGTGATAGTATCCGCTGTAGATACTCTGTGAGACTGATCTCCCATGCAATGGTGCAAACCACTCACACACAAATGTCCTCGAAATTTCCTGGACCTTGAGGATGTTGTCATCATCTTGAGTCTCGGAATGCACATCGCAAGCGATTTCCTGCGCGAGTTCAGCGAAACGGATGTTTGTCAGGGAAGACATGGGTCGATGAGATATTGGATGATTGTGCTGGCATATTTCTGGTACTTATCTACATATTGTAAGGACGGAGCGTTTGGTCCCGCGAAACCAATTCGTTGGAGTGGAGTAAGCACGTGGTGTCAACGCGAATTGGTTCCGCGGGATCAAACGCTCCGTAGAAATATATATAGATGGGCTCGGAGTAAAGATGAAACCATAATAGCCAGCAAATGAGGGACACCATAAGGAAAACGTCGAGAAGTGCCTTATTTACGAAAATATGAAACTAATTTGGGTGGACTTTAATCCAGCTTCGTCTATCACTTGAGCAGTGGGACCAAGCGTTAGCTCGGATCAAGCGCAGGCTTACATCACATATACTGCAATTGTACCTAGGCATTCAAATTGCTAGTATGCTGGTGATTGTCGAGGACAGTAGGTATCACAATAAATGCATTGAATCATCTAGTGGGTGTGGAGGACCTCGTGGCCCTGATGTACACGTTCCTCATCCCGTTTGAGTTCACTGCTAAAGGAACAATACCCGCCTGGACCTTCTCCTCCTTCAGGGTTTTGATCAATGACAAGAAGTCTTCCACTGCCTCGGGCGATGTTTGGATATGTACTACGAGACGAGAACCGGTAAGACCAATGGGGTTCGGCAATGCAGCCGCACGATCTATGATTTCCCAGTACTCGATACCGATTGTGGAGGGATCATAAAAAACCTATTTCGCGTCGTAAGTTCGTTGGCAATTTCGAGATCGAGAAACAACCTATGGGACTTACCATGCAAGTCTCTGCGGGACTCAATATGCCGACCTGAAGCTCTTCTAAACCAGCTTGCAGGCGTTTTGCTAGAGCGTGAACCCTAGGAAGGAGAGAGAAATTATGGGTGAGTGCGTAAGCGACCGACCCAGCAAGAACACCAGTCTGCCGCATCCCTCCGCCAAAAATCTTCCGGAACCAGCGCGCTTTCTGTATAAATTCCTTGGGACCGACGAGACAAGTCCCCACAGGGGCGCCTGCAGCGAGTCAGTTTCTACTCGTAGGTACTGATGGCGATACTGACCGAGACCCTTGCTGAAGCACAAACTGACTGAGTCAAATGGTGCGCAGAGTTCATCGATCGGTGTCTGAGTTTCAGCGGCGACGTGCCACAGACGTGCACCATCAAGATGCATCAGTATGCCATTCTTGAGGGCAAAATCAGCTATCTCAATTATGTCGCTCTGCGGCATGATCGTGCCATCCAGCGTGTTTTCCAGGCAAATGATTCGCGTCGGTGCGCTGATAAACATTAAAAGAATCCTTGACATGTGAAACCTCCATACCTGTGTATGTCAGTGCCGAACACTACATGAGGTTCGATATCTTTCAGAGTTAAATGGTGTCCTGTGTAGATGTTAATAATAGAGTGTGTGACCCCATAATCATGTGCATGCCATTTTTAGGTGTCAAAGCGTTCTGGAGAGCACCTGAGTGTATTGCTGCGCCACCAGCCTCGTACCTAGGGCAAGTCAGCCGCCAGGTTACGATGAATGGAGCAACAGCCTGAACTTATTGATGTGCGCCCGAATATCACAAATGATGGAATTGGGAGGCTGCTGGAGATGCGTGCGGATAGCAAGCTGGTTGCCCATAGTCCCGCTGCTTACAAAGAGAGCAGCCTCCTTCCCTGTGAGCTTAGCAATGTGTGCCTCGAGTGCAATAGTAGATGGCTCGTTGTAGACGTCATCGCCGAGTGAAGTCTGTACGGCGTACGCGAACATCTCCTTCGTGGGCACTGAACGATGTCCCATTCATCGGAAGCGATTTGCAATAAAAGTGGGGAACACACCTGTGATAGTATCGGCTACCATTTCTTCAGCCAAACAAAATCCTCACTGTCTATTCGAGCTCACATATAAAACTCCTGGAAACTTCTTCCAGTTGTCTCGCATTGTCGCGCTGTTGAGTAGGAGTGATGATGTCTACTTTCACCTGCTCGATGATCGACGCCAGTTTAGGATCCATGTTGAAGAGAGGAGATTGTGGTATGCGAAAAGAGAAGTGGCGGTTATGATTGTAAGAAAGCCGCACTGAGCTGGACAGTATTGTGATGCCAGGTTTGAGCAAGAATGACTCGAGTCTGGTTGCAATGACTCCGCTTGGTCAAAAACTTGTTATCTGCATATATATATGTCTGTCGGGACTCCGCTTACCAACACTGGTACGCCATGGCCAGTTGATGACTGTGATGATTCCAAATAAGGTACACGATAAACGAGATAACGAAATAAGACGGCTTACGTAAAACACGTGTTCGTCCTGTGCAACGTTGTCGAGCTCCACTCGCAAAGTTATACCAGTTCTATTTCGCTTTTCTTTCCTGACTTTCTGTACTAGCTCTCGGTCTCCGGTTTTTTTCAGTATTTTAGCTTAATCATGGGGAACGTGGGTTATCTTCAGTTCGCAGGAATGAGTGATCTTGGTTCACTAACAAGCCTTCCAGGGCGCTAAAGCTGCACAAAAGCGTGAACGCAATGCTGGAAAAAATGCAGACAAAGGGCCTACAAGTAAGACCAAGGTTAATGAAGCGGCGAAGAACATTGTTTGCCAGACTTGCAGACAGACCTTCGTGAGTCGTTAGTCATAGATTCTGTCTATATCACTCTAATCGATTCCATCATCTCAGCTGCTCACCACCCGTGCACCAGCGTAAGTGTCCTTTTTCATCAAATGAGAATATCGGGAAAAGCGCTTTGTACTGATGGTGTGCATGCATGCATTTCAGACTAGAGGAGCACGCCCAGAACAAGCACTCAAAAACACTGGCAGAATGTTTCCCGAACTTTACCAAGTAGGATGCGTCCGATACATGTTTGTCTAATGTGTGGGTGAATGGATGTGCACCAATGCATTACGTTGTAGAACAAGTCGAAACTCTGAAAAAAAGTAAGCGAGGTGAGAAAGAAGAAGTCAAGTGACTGACGCACATCATAACTATCCATAAATGACCTTGCACGGTAATTCTCATAGCGAGAAGCTCGTTGACCCCGTGGCCTGTGCACTCGCTCCCGCGCTCTGCATTTTTTCTCCGACCTTCTTGTTAACTTCGAAAAACTTTGCCACACATCTGTCAATGCAGACACTCTCGCCCTTGTTGAGGTCTCCTTCGGCATAGCGAGGACTGATGCACTTGGCATGACATGAACTACACCACAAGTGAAATAAGTCAAGGCCACCGGAATTGTAAAAAAACTGTCACGCACGAAACAATTCGGTTAAATACGTCTGAAACCATGTCAATTCTATGGCCTGAGAGTTAGCTGCAACGGTTTGGGTGAAATGGGAGCCAACGCACTCGTTTATGGCCATTTCAATGCGCTCATGGTTGACACCACCGGCTGGTGAAGGACCACCACGTCCAAGGAAAGACATATTAGCAAAGAACGAGAAAGCCAAGTGAAATCGAATGCAAGAAGTTTGGAGGCCTCAGAAGTTCAAGTAAGTCGCGAAGTTGTATAAGGAGCAAAATATGAAGCGTGACCACGTGGTTTTCGAAAGGATGCCATCCAAGAAAGGCAATGAAGAAAAATGTACGAGCCAAGAGCCAGACCTTGAAGGAAGACAGAGGCTTGCGCCATGTCAAGACCTCTCGCTGTCCACCGTTGTAGGTTTGTTGACTATGCACCATCACCGATCACGGCTCTTGCATTTCCTCCGCTACCGCTACCATCTCTCAAAGGTAAGAAACGGGAAAGAGATTTAAAAGATAATAAGTTCGGCACACTTGGTGTCGGCCATGCCAATGGCAACATCGACCTTCTTGAATGGACTGCAGAGGAGGGAGAAATACAAGCACCCCAAGCTTGGCAAGTGCGCAAGGTGAGCACTCTGCGTTGTTATTTAATACAGCAATTGAAGTCGCATTTAGACTCTTCCAGGTCCATGCCCATCAAAAGTAGATTCGCTAGCTTTTACTCTACGCTATCCAGACATATTTCCGTCAGAAGCCATACCTTCGTGCTCTGATCTTCGTCTCTTTAGCTCAGGTGGTGGGTCTGAATTGCTGGAATGGAACATATCTCACAGCTGCGTTCGCGTACGATGCTCTTACTCTGTATAGTCAGCATCAAACTCACATTGGACTATAGAGAACTATTAGCTCCCAAGGAGGTGCCATCTGGAGCATTGCAGCCAATCCTGCCTCGACACTACTTGCCCTGGGTTGCGAAGATGGGTCTGTTCGCTTGCTATCCCTAGCTGCGGATACTTTGCAGCATCACAGGCGATTCGATCGCATAAAAAGTCGCATATTGAGCATTGCTTGGGGCCCGCCAGCACCTCGACCGCCAAAACAGCGGACGGCGAAGAAGACTAACAGTGGAATGGATAGTGATGAAGACAGCGATGACGATGAAGACGAATGGACAGACACATGGCTCGTCACGGGTGGCTCAGATAGCAGCTTGCGGAAGTGGGATGTCGCTACTGGCAGATCGACTGACCGTATGGGGACAGACAAGATGAAAGGTGAACGGACACTTGTCTGGACAGTTGGCGTGCTTGCGTGAGTGCACGCGCAAAATACTTCAGTTTTTCAACCTAACCAATTTGACATAGCGATGGGACCATTGTTTCTGGGGATTCTTTAGGTACAGTGAAGTTCTGGGACTCCATGACTTGCACGCAAACCTGCAGTTATCTGGCGCACGGAGCTGACGTGCTTTGTCTTGCAATTGGTCCCGTAAGTCGTCCAATGTGATATTCTTCTGTGGCTGAACTTACCGTATTCCAGGAAGGCACATCCGTATTCAGCTCGGGTGTCGACCAAAAAATTGTGTTGTTCTCATATGTTCCCACTGCTCCAGAAAATTCTTCTTCTGTATTGTCCTCCTCCCCAGCACGATGGATTCAGTCTGGCTCACGTCGTGTGCACTCACACGACGTCCGGTGTCTTGCGGTCTGGCCACCTCACTCCCCCATACCCCCAACTTACAAGCGAAAGCCCACTGCAAATGCAACATACATCGCACCAGTCCTAGCTTCTGGAGGGCTGGACATGTCTATTGCCCTCACTCCTGCGCTGCCAGCCAGCACGACTTCATCTTCCATTGCCCCTCGCGTTGTCAACCCTCTCACAACAAGAGTCACCACGACTTTCGAGGATTCATACTATCGTCGCATCGCATACACCGCAGCAATGTGTGTTTCTCGCGGAGCACGCCTTGTGGCAAGCATCCATGAGACAGGCGTCAATATATGGCGAGTTCTATGCATTCCAGACTCGGATGTAATCGTGGATGGCGTCGATCCTTCGACTGATCCTGAAACGCGGACTTCTTGGGAAAAAGTACTCGAGATGGATCTCAACGTACGCACGAATCTTATCGCCAGTGCGTTGTCCGATGATGGGCGTTGGCTTGTCGTGTCCGACCTGTACGAGGCCAAGCTTTTCCAGCTCAGCTTCAATGTGAGTAGTGCAGAAATTAAACCTGTAGATGTTTTGCCTGATTTATCTTACTTCAGCCTGCTGGTGTCCTCAAATCGAGCCGGGTGCGGACATTTGCATCAATATTGGAGAATCGAATCACTGCCCAGAGCTCTCAGAATCCTGTCTCAACTGGTGGATCATCATTTACATTCACCCCAGACTCTTCAAAATTGATCATGGCCTCTGCAATAACGTCGCTCATTCTCGTTATCGATCTCAGCTCGGAAGCGCCCACCATACTTCGGACATTCAACCAACATTGCAACGCTGGGTCGATCACAAGCGGTAGAGTGGTGCGAGGAATTAACAGAGGGACCTCAGACGAGGACGAACAGTCGGTTGGTGGTATAGATTCCGTCGCTATCATGAAGATAGCAGTGAGTCCCGACGGCCAATGGTTGGCCACATCCGACGACCTTTGCCGAATATTCATCTTCAATCTCGATTCCATACAAGTGAGTTTGATTCATCACCAAGATGTAGTGCGGAGCTAATTTGTGCTAGTACCATACTACTTTGCCGTCACTTCCTCTCCCACCCAGCGTCCTAGTTTTCCTCCCCGACAATCCGCAAATTCTCCTTGCCGTTCTTCCCAACAACACAATCCACATCTTCCACGTAGAACACGGTGAAGTGCCAACATGGGGACGGGAGTTCAACTCTCGTCTTCCAAAGCAGTTCCTCAGCGCCCCAGATCCAGTCATTGGGGTCGCATTTGAACCCCTTCCTTTGTCGGATGGGGAGATGACGGGTATCGCACCTCCCTCAACCAAGCCAAAAGAGGCTATCTTTTGGGGGTCCTCGTGGCTTTGCAAGCTCGAATTAGATTGGGAAGGCAAGTACACTGGCCAGTCACGGAAACGCCGCAGGCAGACCGGCCCGGTGGCAGTAGGAGAGATGGCTAGTGAAAGGAAGTTGCGGATGGTGACGAATTATCGCCCCATCTTGGCACTCGATTTCCTTGGGCCTGGGGAACTGGTGTTGGTGGAACGGCCGCTGGCAGATGTGCTGTCAAAATTGCCCCCTGCATTCTTCAAGCCAAAATATGGGCAGACTTAAAATCCAGTACATCTGGCGATGCTTGTACCCTAAAATTTCCCCTAAGCGGGATATGATGCAATGGATAGCATTGGAACGTGTGCAACTACATGTAAAAGCATCTCTGAAATATAACAAGGAGCAGGTAAAGACAACACTGGGTTAGATATGAAGATGGTAAAGAGATCTATGAGCTACAACGTGAATGTGATATTACCCGGGGTTTACCGATAACCAGATAAAGAAAAATTGGTCGTCTAGCAGACTGTTGCTTGCAGTGCTGCCTCTCTATCTTGCCTTTCGTCTTCCCTGTGAAGTTGAAGTTACCAATCGAATCATCGGACGTGCATAGATGGTGGCTACTCACTTGGCATTCAACATGGACAAGTACAATGTCCAGAAAACACCGCAGGTGGACTGGAAAGGTATTCTATATGGCAGTGGCATGTATCGGAAATTAATCATCTATGAGAAACCAAGTTCAACATCAACGAACAGTTACTAGTGTCCTTGAACTTACTTGTGCTATAGGCCAAATCTTCCAGTTGGTTAGAAGAGCGGGAGCAAAGATGTCAGTATATTTTTGGTGTATTTGCCTGGGACTTCGACATTCCATTACACCCATAGAGCCTATAAACATCACGAGCTAGAACACGTATAAGCCCACGTTCGAGGTAGTGATCAAGAATCTGATTCTTACCCCAATCGGTGCCCTAGCGACCGAGGCATCAGTCTACGACAGTATTAAATAATGAAAGTCTCACATTATTAGTTGGTCGGCAGCTACACGTTTTGAAAGAGCTCTGAAACTGATGGGCTGAATTCTCCATGCTCGGAGAGGAAATCGTCTCTCTAGGAACAAATTCCACCTCCCGAGTAGAGGGCCTCGCAAGCAGATGATTCAAGGTTTACTCCGAAAATCAAGTTGCACATGACTTACTCATACCGCTTCCAAGACAAAAGAAACGCAGTGTACGTGCGGGATCCCAGCCGGGTCTGGGTTCATGATCTTTAACGAGCTAGGGGTTTATGAGTTGCGGGAAAATGAGGTAGAAAAATGAGTATACCCACAATATTTTGCGAAATCTGAGCAACGATGTCACCGAGAGCATTCAAGGTTCCACCGGTGACAGCGAGAGTGTAATTCGGGTAAGTGTGGTATGCATACTGATAGGCACGTGCGATAGTGAGAGTGGCCATACAAGAAAATAGAAGGGAGCGTGACTGGGAAGAACAAGAATTTGGATGGTAGTGGTTATGAGACAAGCTCTAAGTAAGGTCGACGATGGTGCTCTCTCCACTCATTTTCGTTCCACAACGGTGACGCAAATCAAATTGTGTTCCAGAAGTTTCCCTTTTCTTGACAGATGAGCGGGTGGCTGTGACACTTTTTAGCAGAAAATCAAATCACGTGACCTAGTCGCGTCTGTTATACACTTGTTTGTTTGGGTCAACCACCCGTCCAGACGCATAAATACCCGCCCGTATACATTCCATCTCGCCAATCCCCTCTTGACCGCCAACCTCCACCACCTTTTTCCGTTCATCGTCGTACATTCTACCCGCTTCCCCTAACCATCATGCATTTCTACATTACCATTATCGCTCTCACCGCTCTTGCTGCCAACGTCAGAGCCCTACCACCTCGCAGAGTCACGTCGCGCAATGCAATCGGTAACGTCATGACAGGTACAGGCGGACTAGCACCTGGCGGGTCGATCAACGGTGCAAGCAAAAACTGCACAGACCCCTTAAGCTTGTCGTTGGGGTTGGGGTGTTTACTAGGTGGTGGCAGTGTCGTAAACATCGGATCAAGTAAGGGAGGCGCTCACCATAGTATCCCGCCATCTGACCCACTATCTAGACAACGCCGGAGCAGGAGGGATAGGAAGTTCAGGTTCAGCAGCCATCCAAAGGGTTGGGTCAAAAAAATTTAGAACATCAAAGTTCAAGAGCATGAAGGGCGCCCCCACAGGGAACGTGTCCACCGGAAATGGTGGATTAGCACCAGGTGGATCAGTCAACGGTGTCCCCGACGGTCTCATCAACATTGGCTCAAGTAAGGTCCACTGCATCTTGGTCGGCGGCATTGAGATCTGACACGGTTTGTGCCTTTATAGATAATGCAGGAAATGGCGGGACGGGAACGAGCGGTGACGTACTGTGAGCGGTGAAAAGTGGGAAGGAAATCTCCACAACCTAGACTTACGAAGCATAGACAGCATGCACACGGACTACTCATTTGTACTATATCGCACTATACTATCCTCACATTGAAACGGACACCTGGTTGACTGGGCGATACAGGCGTACAATTTGCATGGGCGTCTTGTACAGCTTGTAAATAAGAAGCCCGCCGGAACTACAAGAGCTTCAGGTGGCCTGTCACCTGATTGATGAGATCTATGGGCGCTGTAAAGAATCTCAGTATGATTACCATGACCAGCAACTTATCCTACCAGGACCAATACCAAGAACAGTGCGGGAACCTGCCGCGATCTGTGTACGACCACTGTATAAAAAAAGGGTCAGCGAACACGCATGGTGATGTATATTTGAAAGCAATACTTACGCGTCCAGTATTGATCGAGCGCAGAGATTGAGACTCTTGGAAACTGCTTCGAGTTCAAGGAGCTCATCCTCCGACGAACACTTGAGAGCAATTTTAGCTTGACTGGGTTACAGTGTTCAACAAGTGAAAGGCAAGTGAGTTTTTCCAACACATACCCAGTCTTCTCCCAATGTTGTACGAGCTATAGATAACTCAATGACCAGGTTGAAAGAATAATCATTTGAAGCATACCGCAGTATTTGTCCTCGATAATGCCTTGTAGCATGCTAGTGTTGCGTGTCTGAAAGTCGTCGCGCCATCCAATATAGTCTGTCCCCCGTCAGATCATAAGCACTCACCCACACCTAAACAGTCTTTCTTAATTTATCCGAGGACAAACGTGTGGTACTTACTGTGCAGCTATTTTCCCAGTGGTCATTTTGAGATCCGTTCGCACGACTAAGACCTGCAGAGGTTGAAGTCAGCAAGTGAAGTCTCAATTGGATGCCAGCTCATACCAATTTGCAAGGTTGCATAAAGCCTGCTTTAACCGCACTAAGATCTCCGTCTGCAAGCGCATCATTCTCTTCTTCACTATCTACCTCCGGTTCGACCTTGGGTGGTTCCTTATCCTCTAGCTCCGACGGTGGTATAGGTTGAGCGGCAGGTGCGGAGTTTTGGGTGCCTATTCGTGACCCAAGATAGTAGCCCAACCCTAGGGCAGCTCCTGCGACCACCACATGTGATAGTGCTATAATGATGCGGTTACAGTATAAGTTTCTAATGTCTTATGTCCAATTACTTACCTGACGGAGACATTGATATCACAGAGAGATGTCGGAGTTTGCCGAGAATAGCTTTTTTGAAATCTTTGATCGACTACACATATCTCGCTTAGGTTTTAGGTCTCTTCCCGTTTTTATATCCAACAAAACTATCACACTCAAACTTTTGAACGTCTACTCATTGACATCAGTGAATTACAGATATGGCAGGGGACTCTACCGCACCATCTGCGGACCCTCAGCAAGATGTCTCTGGCCGCGAACCGTTCTCATCACTTGAGCTCTCAGAGCCAACAAACAAAGCCCTCGCAGATATGGGCTTTACCACAATGACTCCCGTACAAGCCAAAGCTATACCCCCACTCCTTGCAGGAAAAGATGTTCTAGGTGCTGCTCGTACAGGATCAGGAAAGACACTCGCATTCCTCATACCTGCGGTTGAGCTCCTGCATCGGATGAAGTTCAAACCTAGAAATGGTGCGCCCTGCTTTCACTTTATCCTATCAGGAAGCCGAATAATTATGTATGATAGGTACTGGAATTATCATCGTTTCTCCCACACGAGAACTGGCGCTGCAAATTTTCGGGGTTGCAAAAGATCTCATGGCACATCATTCGCAGACCTTTGGTATTGTTATCGGCGGTGCAAATAGGAGGGCCGAGGCGGAGAAGTTGGAGAAAGGTGTTAATTTGATTGTTGCAACCCCTGGTCGGCTGTTGGATCACCTCGAGGTACGTCTTCAAAAACTCGCAGACACCACTGATGTATTGACTTTGTTTCTGTAGAATACAAAAGGGTTCGTTTTCCGAAATCTTAAAGCCTTGGTGATAGATGAGGCGGATCGAATATTGGAGATCGGTTTCGAAGAGGAAATGAAGAAGATAATAAAGATTCTTCCAAATGGTTTGGTCATTTAACACCCTACCCCTTTGGCAAGGAACTGAATTGCAGTATAGACGACCGACAGTCCATGCTCTTCTCGGCCACTCAGACCACAAAAGTCCAAGACCTCGCACGAATATCTCTTCGACCCGGGCCTCTGCACGTCGATGTAGACAAAGAAGAGGCAACAAGCACTGTCTCAACACTTTCACAAGGATATGTTGTTTGTCCCTCTGACCGCCGCTTCCTCCTTCTCTTTACTTTCCTCAAAAAGAACCTGAAGAAGAAAGTCATTGTGTTCTTCTCGAGTTGCAATTCCGTCAAATATCACGGCGAGCTGCTAAATTACATTGATGTGCCTGTGCTCGATTTACATGTATACTCTAAGCCATCTATATTTTCCTGTCATAAGCTGACGCAGTACATCACAGGGCAAGCAAAAACAACAAAAACGGACAAACACATTCTTCGAGTTCATAAATGCTGAGTCTGGAATTTTACTATGCACGGACGTCGCAGCCCGCGGCCTCGATATTCCACGGGTAGACTGGATCGTCCAATTTGATCCCCCAGACGACCCGCGGGACTACATTCACCGTGTGGGCCGAACTGCGCGTGCTGGCAAGGTTGGGAAGAGCTTGATGTTCCTGCTAGAGAGTGAACTTGGTTTCCTGCGGTACCTCAAGGAAGCAAAGGTTCCGCTGAATGAATTTACGTTCCCCGCGGACCGGGTTGCGAACGTACAGAGTCAGGTGGGTGCTCATAGGCATTGCGATATGAATGAATTGATCATGTTTGTATATAGCTGGAGAAACTTCTGCAAAACAACTACTTTTTGCACCAATCGGCAAGGGACGGTTTCCGGTCGTATCTGCAAGCATATGCATCGTATTCACTGAAGAAGATATTTGACATTAATGCACTGGACCTTGCAAAAGTGGGGAAAGCGTTCGGGTTCGCTGTTCCACCACGCGTGAATGTCAATATTGGTGGGGGGAAACCTACTACTACTGGTAAAAAGCGGCAGAGAAATGAGGTGGATGCGGATGATGAGGAGTGGGAGGACATGCCATTGGGTGGTGGTGCAGAAAGCGCAGATGAGGTTATGGAAGAGGCGGAGTCCCAGCGAAACAAGGCGCGGAGAAAGGGGAAAGAATGGCGGGTGGAGACTTTAGGCAAGAAAGCAGTCGAAAAGGAGATGTATCGGAAAGGAAAGGAACGGAAGAGAGCAAAAGCGTCTGGACAACAGTGGAGCGGGTGATTTTTGAGAGGGTTCTTGACCGTCACGCTACTATATGTCTACTACTCCTGTTTATTTGTTTGTTGGCCCATCGGCGTGATATTCTAGCCATCGGGATGCTAACTTGAAGTACTGGACCGGAAACCGGAAGCACCATAAGCGCCTACATTGCGTAAAGAAGCATGTTTGCGCCTGCCCTAAATTGAACACCAGGCGTAAGCCTGACATCTCCAACCACACTCATCTGCTGCCAGCTCAAAATTTCTTCTTCAACCACTCCTTTCACTCACTCAGTGATCTACCTCAAGTATAATGGCAACTACGCAGGTCAGTCTTCTCATTTGACGAAAAACTGTTCTGACGACGTCGGCTTGTCGCACTCCGCTTCCGTCGTTTAACTCACATACAAACTCAATAGCACTATCTCTGGGCGGGTGGACACTTCTTGCTCCTTCTCTCAGGGTTTCGTTATCTTTTAGCATGGATCATGTTCAAGAGCGTCTCGTCCTGGTGGTACAAGGGTGCGCAGCTCATTCCTCAATTCTCAAAGGCTTATTCTTACCAACCCCTCTGTGATTCTTACAGCTAGCTTCCTTGGCGCCCTAATGTCCTATTTCATTGTTTGCCAGTGAGTGCTTTCCGCGTGCCAACCAACGTGATGATCGCGTGTTGATGTGGATGCTGCGTGTCCAGGAAGGCGCTTGGTGTGAGTTTATGACGTAACACATGTAAAGCGTGTTTTTCTGAGACATGTTTGTAGACTCCCCAGCCGAGCATGGCGTATGTCAGACGGGCCCTCGCGGATGAGGTAGGTTATCTGATGTCTCCTTTTGACCTCTTGAGAATAACCGGTGGACACAGAACGTGCAATACTTTTTGTTGGCTATCTTCTGGTGGACTTCCAGGCCGGTCACCTGTAGGTTTTATCGTTGGAGTCAGCACAGGTACTGATGTAACGCAGTCGCATTGTTACCTTACTTCGTGTTTTCCCTTTTCCATGCGCTGACGTTCACTCGTACGACCTTGATGCCTCAATTCTTGCCTCCTGGTCCACCGCTCGCTGCTGGAGGCCCACCTCAACCTCATCCCCTGGCGAAGAAGCTCCACCTTTGGGTCAAAGGTAAGATTCCAAGTTTATTCAGTCAACTTCGCGAGTGACACGTCATCCAGCCAACTATGACACTGCCATGCGCATCGTGGCCATTACCGAGCTCGTCATCTTTGCGCGTGTTGTCTTTGGCGCGCTTTTGTTCCGCAACTCGCTCATGATGCCACTGGTCTTTGCCAACTTCCTCCATCAACGTTACTTCCACTCGCAATTCACGCGCGATGCAGTTACGCTTACGGACAAACGTATCACGGATCTCTCGAATCACCCTTCGCTTCCACCAGTGGTGGGTCAAGTGTGGATGCGCGCGAGGGAGCTGGTTGCCAAGTGGGGCGGCAGTGCCGTCATTGAGCCTGCTGCTGCCAGGAGGGATTAGTGATGGGGACGTGAACGTGGATGAGTTTTTGGGAATGGACATGTGGAAGGTCGTCGAGGCATTTCCCATTTACTACACATATGCAATGGCTCTCTATCGTCTTTTTTGCACTAACGTATAATGATAGATTATTATTAGCAAGGCTTCTGAGCTCTTGGCAATGACGCTGATGACCACTACTCCACTGAATAAAAAGGGGTCCAGGGCGAGAATCAATCTAATTCTAACTTGTCCATCACGCGCTACTTATGGCGACGATTATTGCTGCGTTGACGAACTTTGGGCTGTCTTTGGCTGCTATTGGGCTGTCGTTGTTGTATTCTGTGCTAGCTGTGTTCCAAGCTGCCTTCGCGCTTGTTCAAAGCATGATTGAGAGTATACTGAAGCTGGGACAGAGCATCACTACTCTGGTGCTGGAGTTGTTTCAGGGAATGTTCGGGTTCGTTCTCGGTAGGTCATGCTCCTGGGCCTTTGCAGTGATGTTCTCAACATGTAACTGATACGCTTTTACTAGCAAACTTCGCTGCAATTTTCGTCATTGGTGCAGTGTACTACTTATACACGCTCAGACAGCAGGGAAAGGGACCCAAGGTGTTGCAGAAGAGGTTCTGACTTGACTGCGTCGGTAATCGAAGAGAATCCCGGGTTCTCAGGCTGTGCATCATTAGTATTACGACCACACATGCTGCCCCAAGCTGAATCGTTTTGACATGACTATGAGCTATGGCGACGATGACTGTCATGAAACTTGTGGCAATCCTGAACGGCACATCTTTACCCTTACGTTCGAAAGTGTATTGAAGCTGGGCACGGTGACCCTGGTACTGGAGCTATGTCAGGGACCTCGTTTGACTTTGCAAAACTGCCGCATGTCTAAACGTTGACAAGGGACTAGTGCCACCAGTGGTAGATGAGAAAATGGAGTCACTATCCAGTGATCTCACCAATATTCATATGTAGCACCGCCATCCAAGGGGCGGGCCTATGATATAACTGCACTGCCACTGTAACCAAACATGAGCAAAGTCCGAATATTGCTTTCTTGCCAGAAGATTGAGAAGGATCAAACACAGGCAGCGCGAGCAACGTCGACGACAACGGCAAGAGATTAAATCTGCAGTGACGGCGACTGTTGTCAACGGCGTTCAATTGTTTCTCAATACAATTCATGTCTCGCATTCCTGTCCCGTCATCTCACTCACCGTCCGCTAACAGAGCTCCCCGTCACGATTCTCCTTCTCCAGTCCCACCAGCACCCAAATACCCTTCATCAGCATCAATGTCCAATTTATCTGGTGTCTCACCGTCTGTCGCTGACACGCGAAGAAAGCAGTCCAAACGCGACGAGGTGAGCATTCTTTCCGCTTTTCGGCTTCCGGACGCGTGGTTTTGTTTACGGTACCCGTCGGTACACTTCTTCGTACACGTGTACACACTCCTTCGATGAGCTCCTTATCACCTCTTTACCAAGGGCGCGCCCACTCTGTTTCAAACACTATATCCCATCGCCGCACGTCCGTCCGTACTGTTTCAGTCGCTAACCCTCCTTCACAGGCCATCCGGAAGAAAATAGAATCAGAGCTTGCCCGAAAACGTACTATCTCTACAACGCATCATGCAGGTGGCCGCGGAAAACGTGCTACAAAACCTGCTATTGCGAAAGGCACGGTTGCTGCACTGAAGCCCAGCCCTGCACTCACCGTTCCCGATAATATTACTGTTGCAGAGGCCAGTCAGCTATGCGCAGCGAAACGGACAGATTGCGTCCTTGTTGTAGACGATGAAGAGGGACTGAGCGGTATTTTTACCGCTAAGGATCTGGCATACAGAGCATGTCGTTCACCGTTCTCCACTTGACAGTCAGCCCTGACAGTTCACAGGTTACTGCTGATGGTCTCGACCCTCATACCACGCCGGTCAGTCAGATCATGACCCGGAACCCAATGGTCACCCGGGATACCACCAGCGCGACCGAGGCTCTCCAGCTTATGGTTCAACGTCATTTCCGTCACCTGGTATGATTTTACCTGATTCTCCGAACACGAATGGTATTAATGCAAATGCTAGCCTGTTTGCAATGAAGAAGGCAATGTCGTTGGATTGCTTGATATTACCAAGGTCTTTCATGAAGCACTGAACAAGGTCGAGCGTTCCTCCTCTGCATCCGAGAAACTCTACACTGCTCTTGCGGGCGTGCAATCCGAACTTGGCCCAGGAATGGCTTCAAACCCACAGGCTGCTGCCATGCTTGCTTATGTCGACGCCCTCCGCGAGAAAACCGCATTGCCAGATCTCACGACTGTCATGGACTCGCGGACGCAACCTGCAACTGTCACTCCAAAAACAACTGTCCGTGAGGTGGCCAAGCTGATGAAGGAGCGTCGTGTCACTGCTGTTTGTGTCATGGAAAATACGCCAGGTGTCGGTGATTCCTATACCAAGATCGCCGGTATCTTCACAAGCAAGGACATTGTTCTGCGGGTCATCGCTGCGGGTTTGGATGCAGGCATATGTAGTGTTATCCGTGTAATGACTCCTCATCCTGACACCGCTCCTCCTACCACGAGCGTACACGACGCACTCAAGAAGATGCATAGTAGGTGTTCTGGTGTTTGGTGTTGCCTGTGCTGAACGTGCTGCCAGACGGTCACTATCTGAACTTGCCTGTTGTCGAGAGCGACGGACGGTTAGTCGCCATTGTTGATGTTCTGAAGCTCACATACGCCACCCTGGAGCAGGTAGGTAAAATCTATTCGTAGGTTTATCTGTGCTAATTCAATCTCAGATGAATGCCATGAGCACAGAGAATTCTGGTGAATCTGTGGAAGCCGAAGGTGGACCAATGTGGGGCCGTTTCTTCGACTCTATTGGTGGCCACGACGATACTGAGTCCGTCATCTCTGGTTCGCATGTCCCCACCGACGGCCCTTCTCTCTCTACGCATAACATCGCTCGCCTTCAGCAGTCCCCACACTCCGAAGTGCACCCGAACGACTCCGCCTCCGTGGTCGATGAGGAGCACGAGTCTGTTCTCGAGGGCTATTCGCGAAAGCGCAAGGGTACGATTCCAGCCATCACAGGCGCGACTTCCAGCGTGCCAATAGACGATGGAACGTACGTCTTCAAATTCCGCACGCCAAGTGGGCGCACCCACCGGTTCCAGGCGCGACATGACAGTGTTGAGATGCTGCGCGAGATCGTGCAAGGCAAGCTTGCGACGGACCCGTTCTTCACCGAGTTCGCAGGCTCACCCACTGAGCGGCCCGACCCTGAAGATTTCACGTTATCGTACACGGATGCGGACGAGGACACAGTGCTCATCACGAGCGACACGGATATCGCGGATGCAGTGAAGATCGCGCGGTCGGCGGGCTCGGATCGAGTTGTGCTATTCATTCAGGGCGGGAAGCACTGGATCGGAGCTGGCGCAGAGAAGAGCGAGGCAAAGGCTGCGGAGGTGAATGCAGCTGCGAAGGAGGAAGAGAGGGAAGTCGAGAAGGCAGAGGCTGTGGCAATCCCCGAACCTGTTGTAACTCCCCCTGCAAAGGCATACACACCACCGCAGGAGGAGCTGGTGATGGGCATCCCGAAGGATTTGTTACTCCCTGCCAGTATTGGTGCACTTGCTGTCGTCATCATTGCGGTGTTCACCATCTCAAGATTGGCACATGATTGAAGAGTTAGGTCTACCGTGTTCATCGATGCCTTTTTTACCCTAAGGAACTCATTAGACTGTTCGTGAATTATGTATACAGGGACAGAATTTGTCGTTAAACCTGTCATTCACTCTTTTGCGTATACGACTTGTTTATGAATTTATCACGAATTTTGCGAATGAAGTCACTTGCGTCTCAATATGCCTGCTTGTCCTTCTGTTTGCTGAAATAACTCATTTCACCTCGCTACAGACTATATACACGGACATACAACGAGTTGAAAGTACAGTCACAGTTGTTCAGATATCTCACAAGGAAATTGCAATGAACCAGGATATGAACGTAAGCTATCTAACTGGTCTCAATTTTATTTTTAGATCGATCCACTGTATCCACCAGTCGAAAGGGAAGGAGGCAGAGCATCAGATCCTTCTCCACAAGTGGTATTGATATCGCTTGTGAGCTCAAGCTCGACGGTGGAGCCTTTGACGAAGACATCCCAGTCTAGGTAACAATTTGAATGCCATGATTGGCCATCGACAGTCACGCTCTGCAGCAGTTCGCTTTCATTAAGAGAAGGTTAAAGATACGCGATTGAACTGTAACTGACCTTGACGAAGACAGTTCCGCCAATGCCATCCTGAGGATTGCCCGTGAAATTATTGGCAATGATCGTTGTCGTGGTATTGAAAAGCGGGTTATGAAATGTGACCTTCGGGAAATAGGGTGAAGCGAGAAGGAATTGGCGTGTTGCGGGAAGCGGGTACATGCCCAAGAGGTAGAAAACGGCAAAGCTGGCCATGGCACCTGAGAAAGCATTAGACAACGTCTACTGAAGCTTTTTCAAGACTTGCCAGAATCATCGTTACCCGGAAGACCGCTGACCGAGGTGTTGTAAGACTCAGCAATTATCATCCGGGAACGTTGGGTACTGAGGCCAGGCCGATTGGCGTAGTGGTACATGAAAGGAATTTGCTGAGATGGTTCATCTGTAACATCGAAGTAGTTCTGGATCTAATTCAATCTCCGAGCGTCATTTGCAGTTGGGGTATTTACCTGGTCGAAGATCAAGTTAAGTCGGTTTATGAACGACTCGTTGCCTCCCTGCAACAAAATCAACTTGGCTGTGTCTTGAGGAATATACTAGGGATAGTTTGTCAATGGACTTGGTAAGAGATATATTCGTGATACGCACTTGAGAATACTGAGAGCAAGAAACTGTTAGATGAAAATAACTACGGAGTCTAGTAAAGATACATACCACCATTGGAGATGACTCATAAAAGCCATCGTGGTTTGTAACATCGAGGTAACAGGTTGAGTCTAGAGGATCATTTACGCTGCAATGACGAGGGTCAGTGTAATTCCACTGCCCATCTGCGAAGCGAGGCTAGAAATCAGTGAGTCTTATACTGCGTTGACAATGTTACGGGCGAGAGTGACTTGCCTGCATCATGCCCTTGATCGAGGAATTCCCGGGAAGTGTAACCTTCTCATTCCAGACATTGATGAAGTTTCCCGCTCGAGCTTGGTACTACAATCGCAAAAACTAACGTTCTGGTTTCACACACATGGAGAATGGCAAACCTTGGCTACATCATCCGTTTTGTTGAGAATCTTTGCAACTTGCGAGATGGAAAAGTCACCGAATGAATACTAATCAAAGTAAGCAATAATGAAATCGCAGATTGAACACGCTTCTACCTCTAATGTGCGGGAGACTTGCTTGGTGGCGGTACCTCCCGAGTCATAAACGTCGGAAGGGATGAAGTCTGGAATGACGATCATGATAAGGCACATGATGAATATTGATTTGCTAACTGTATTGTTTCCAGACAGTCGTCTGCCTTCCTTGGAGATTCCAGTTGGGCGGTTGTTCTTCCGCATCAGCAAGAAGGGCAGTGTACAGATCATTAGCTGAGACATTCAGAGCACTAGCATGTTCATGAAATCTACGACAGCAGTCAGTGACCATACAACACTGGGTTTTACGCTCGCTGACTTGACAAGGAATTCTCCGAGAATAGGGTCACCGTCTGTGGCCATATTTTAGAGACGAACCATGCAAA